AATGGATGTTAAGATACAAATAAAGCAGTACAAAATACTATAAAATACATAGTTTGCGATACTTAGATGCATAAAATCGAATACTCGCATTGAAGAAGCCTTGGTATTTGCATTTTATAGTATATCATACTATCTCTTTTTTTTTATCTTAATGTTTTTTTGGCATGACTTTTAGAACTTTTAAATGATATTCGTTTGTAATCATGGACAGATGCTTACTAGCAAGAATAATGTCAATCCAAATAAAGACGACTGTCAATTATATTTTAACATTTTCTATACGGGTTTAGGCCTATCAATCAACAAATTATTTTGATTTGTCAGTTTTATTTACCTGACTGTATGAAATTTCAACCATCTAACACATACATCAGATAAAAGATATGACTGAAATAACACCCTACTTGTTATTTTTATGACATTTAATTTTGTCGTCAGAAACTATATCTATGTATCAATGTTAAAAAGAAGAAGAAAAGAACAAGACAACAAAAACGTTTCACCTGCAAAACACTGTCACAGGAAACCTTATTTTGGGAGCAAATAAAGTTCATCCCGACTTATTGCGGATACTCTTATTATCCTGTTATAGTTTTCTATTTAGTTTTGTGTGCAATTTTATTTTGTCTTTTTTTCTTTTATACATGCACTGTTTTTTCTGTTTGCCTTTGACATGCGGATTTTGATTGTTAGCAATCTATGCTCGCATTCAAAGTTATGAAATACGAAAAAGGATGCACAAAGATGCAATGTCCTGTTAAGACATTAAATATTTGCTAAGAAAGCCGTGGTATAAACAATGTGTATTTCAAATACTTATTCCTTGGAAAACTGGCCGTCTAATTTTGTTATGATTACGTATCTTCAAAAACTCAATTGAAATAAAACATTGAAAAAGAGTTACAATAAATTATGCTTATATTTTCATAACTTAATCGCTATTTTCGTTTATTATCGTGTACATCCTCGACCTCGTTTTGCATTAAAAGTATAACTGATCGCATTTTACATAGCTAACTAGTTAAATCACAATATACCGTTCATCTGAGGAATCACTCAACTGAAATAAAGGAACAACAATCTATTTGAAGCAATTTGGGTACAAATATTAGGTTAGGTGGATAATCGAGCCAAATGATATTAAATGTGTAGGTATAAAGTGTCTATACAATGGTTGTGATTGTGATGAGGTGATCTCGGTTATGTCAAAAGTGATACAAGTCGAGGCAGTTTATATCCAATTTCACAAAATTAAAAGTGTCCGAGGTTATACCCACTCATTACAGTCACCAAACAAATATTTTAAGTGACTTCGATTGATGAAGTTTTTTAAAAGTTAAAACTTTCACGCTTCAGTGGGTATATAGTGTATAGATCTGTTTTAGTTCAAATAATACAATCTTAAATTCTTGTCTTCACACGCTTTTTCATCTTAAAAAATAGAAAAATACAAATCAGTAGTGAAATAAAACTATTATAGATACCAGGCTTAAAAGTGTATACGCAAGACGCGCGTTTCGTCTACAAAAGACTCATCAGTGACGCTCGAATCAAAAAGTAAAAAAAGGCCAAATAAAGTACGAAGTTAAAGAGCACTGAGGACCCAAAATTTCGAAAAGGTTTTGCCAAATACAGCTAAGGTAATCTATTCCTGTGGTAGAAAATTCTTAGTATTAGAATAAACTTGCATTCATTCATTCTTTGTACAACAAGAAAAGACTCAAGAATTGATTTGGTCGTTTCATAATTCATAATTTAAACTATCAAACACCCTGTTCATATTTCCAGAACTTTCGGTCGACTGGGTGTATATAAATACACTGGGTGTTTATAGGATACACATTACAGTTCCTGATGAAGTTGAAAACAGAAAAACACTTCGGACGCAAAAAAAAAATATTAAGTGTTATTATTATTTTCTATAGCACTGGGTAGATACTGTTGCTATAGGAGTCCCCGAGTGCATCACAAAATTACACTATAATAGAAGTCGCAGATAGAATGGTATATTGACAGACATTGTTTGAAATATGTTTTTCATATGTTCATATGTTTTGCAGTAGACGCCTTGTCCAACCTCTGGGCAGCATTATAATCAATACATTTTAAACTCATTTTTTTATGTAGAAAATGATACCGTCAGGCATGCACACATTTTAAATACCCCTGACTCGGAGGCAATTTCCTATAACATCCTACTTGTAACTATATTTTCAGATCACATAACTCGCCAAATTGAAATGTGCATTGGAATAAAAAACCCACAAATTATGGTACAGGACATTGAAGAGCCTTTATTGAACGTGAATTGGATCTTGCAGTACTTTCTGAAAGTAGTAGTTGAGAAATTGAAATATCAGAAACATATATCTTAAACAAATTGCGATAAACTGGAGGTGTGTAAACTAAAGTAATAACTTAACATACTTTTGACAAGTTTCATAAGATGCATTCTATTCGGGAGAGCCTGTTTGGTTGGATTCAAAGACATTGAGGTTTGGTATTTGCATCTTGTTCCCAACACATGCAGCCTTTAGAAGTAATAACTAAGACTATTCTATTCGTTAAGTTTGTTCCTGTGTTTTGATTATGCGCATCTGTCCCAGGAAAGGATAGAGTTAAGCGCTCACAAACATGTTTAACCCGCTACGTTCTTTACGTGGCTGTCCCATGCCAGGAGCCTATAATTCAGAGGTTGTCTTTGGTTGTTGTCCGTCATAAAATTTGGTTTTTTTTTTTCATTAATAATTTTAGCGCAAATAAAGCCTTTGGTTTTCTCGTTTCAATTGTTTCGCATTTTTTCATATCGGGCTTTTTATAGCTGACTATACGGTACGAGTTTTGCATACTGGTAAAAGCCGTACGGAGACAAATATTTGCTTTCATTCACTTTTTTTGGACGCTGGTGGATAATTGTCTCAAAGGCAATCATATCTTTATAAGAGATAGAAAAATGTTTATGCTAAATTGACATGTCTTCCTCGTAACAACATCGTTTTGAACTAGTCCATCTATTAAAAATCCAACTCAACTGTTTGTGTGTACAAAGCAGGGTATATCAAATGACACAAATCGTGTCGTCCTGAATATGCATGTAATATTTGCCACTGGAGGCTCAGCAGTAAAACATCAATCAATCTCTCTATTAAATGAAAATAACTCTCAAATATGAATGTAGTGCGTCCTAAGAATTCATCAGGAATGCTCAACCCCAAACATTTGAAAGCCCCTGATGTATAAATACAAAGAATAGTTCGGAGCTATATAACCAAGGGGGCCTAAAAAGAATAGCCAAATTTAGCTAAGGTCAGTCAGCTTTTGGTACTACGGTAAGAGTGATTTGCATTAGTTCGAGATTCTTACATCTTATCACACTGTGTATAGATCTTATTTCAATATAAACTTAAATATTTTATTTCCTTAGAGTAAATTCTAATTCAGAAAATATAAATACAGGGGTCTTTTTTTATTAGTTGGATGAAAGCTATAAAGTTTGTATTCATTGAATAGATCATATTCATGGTATTTGAATAGCACATACCAAACATAATGTAATTCAATTTTAATTCATTCAAATATGATGTAATATGAATAACTGTTATTATTTTGTTTATTCTGTATAAAAATACTCCATTGTGTTGCACGAACATTGCATTAATCGAAATATCCATAAAGTGCTTTTAAACCGGGTAAAAGTATTGTGTGTTCATCTTTTAATAAGATTTTTGTCAACATTATATAAGAAATGTTATCTGGTATGTAATTGAATGGATGATACAAAATACTTTAATTCATTTCTTGTCACGTGATCACAAAACCCAAAACATGTCATATAAGAAAAACCCAGTCATGTTCGGCTAATGAGAAGTAAGATGAACAAACATGTACAAATATGAAGGTGACACCAAACTAAACATACACAAGAAAATTAATACCTTTACTTTTTGATATAGTAAACACTTAAATTTAAACTGTGTTTTTCAATGCCATATATTCTCTAATGTAAACGTTTTGAACTTATAAAATATGTAGTTACATCTTTCTGTTGAATAATTTAAGGAAGTCGACGTAACTATTTTTTTCATTTGTCACATGTAATGGTACATATATCATCTATATAATTTAATATTCAGTATGTAGAACCTTTCATATTACAATATTATCCATTCTATGATGATACATACATTTTTGAGTGTTTCCGTGTTTTTACCTAAAATTAGATAAAAGTATTATTCAACGTAAAAACAACAATATGCTATTGACTTCAAACTAAGTATTGCCTTTCAGATACAAATTAACCCAGTTTGGTCAGTAATTTATGTTCTTCCATGCGAAATTTTACAAAGAAGTAAATTGTGCAGTAAATCATCGATATTGTGTTCATCAGAGCTGATGTTTGCTTTGTTATTGTGTATATATGTCGACTTTAAATAAATTAACGTATGGGGAGGTTGCCATACTTACGCAGAAACCAGCATTCAAATATAGTTTATCAATAAACTTAAATGAATCCAGAAAGACTGGTCATTTTTATTGTCTCCGAATGTCATGAGGTCAAATTATCATCAATTGAGGTTTCACATTAATTCGAAGCTGTATCCGACTATTGTAGTTGTTCATGTTGTTGAGTAGCTATCACATTAATTGAATATACCACCTACCTTCTTTTATTTATGTATACATGTATCTGCATTATAATACACGTTCAATATAATTGATATGCTCAACAAACAACATTCGAACCATGCTAATTCGCACCTATGTAATTAACTACAATTGTATCTTAGACTGTGTAGGATTGATTTTTCTTCCTTTTTTCAGTTTGAACGTAATGTATTGTCGACATCACGTTGAGACTCCAGATAAAGAATATTGAATTTTTTATGAGAAAATTTATTCAATTTGGTAATTCTAAAACCGGTTTTCGTCAGAATCTTCATTCACACAACTGGGAGTTTATTCACATGATCGCTTCATTAACTGTAGAACCTCAGCGTCTCTCCGAAATAGATTTTCTTACCTAAGCAATTTAGAGATTATCGAATTTCAAATTAAAAACCAAAAGCCAGTACACCGGTGTGAATCAGAAAGACACTACCACGGTCCAATAGATATATAGTTAATGTATAAATAAGATTATCAGTCTGTGTGTGTTTTTCTGTATGTAAAGTCGGGAACCGAGACCGGGATATTTCTGTGGTTGAGTGAACACTATCAGTCTCACCCGACATTAAATTCAGCAGAAAATTTGAAGGTAGGACAAATTTCATATATTCTGCCTTGAAATTGGACATCTAAGTTTTAAATAATTTAAGGACTAGTCTATTTTGTGAAGAAAGTTTTGAAATTAAACCACTTTGAATATTATATTGCGAGCAAAAGGAAACACTAGGTATGAAAACACTGTGTTCTGAAAAATCTAGTATTGATTTGATGAAAACAGATGTAAATAAATTAACTAGTCATATTTGTATACATGTCAGAACCAAAACAGCAACGGTTTAACTATTTATCCATTTATTTGGTTCTTATCATTGTGATGCCGTTTTTTATTTTGTAAAATCGATTATGAAAAATATATATTTTTACATGGTGCTATATTAACATAAAAATGATTGTAGTGACATTTACGTGCATTCGTTGAAGCGGACAATATGCAGTATACAGACATGTTAACGAATACTGACAAAAGATTCAAATGTGTTTTGATGAATATTGGTACCAAGTCCAATCTTCTTAAAAAATTAATTTATTAACAGCATCTTTCTCATTGAGCTTTTATAAATTTCGCAAACCGTATAGATGTTGTATAGTGGACAAGCAATTCAGGTGGGAGATTTTGCTTCAAATTGAAAACTTAATCTGACTTTTTGATGAAAAACAACAATAAAGCAGTGTTTTTTGCTTTTGTTTCATCAAGTACTTGTAGGAAGTATGGGTCATGAATAAATACACAAGTCCCCTTCTTTTTCATTTTAAATATCATTAACAACTTATTTTATACAAAGCACCAAACCCCTTTTTTAAATAATGACACCCAGAATACTGGAATATTCGTCTGACATGAAATATTCGGAAGTCCCACAATCAGATAGCATTTTAATGTTTTATGAATGTACACAACTCTTCTACAGGGTGTGTATGTTTAATGGAATTAATCAGTGATGCTTGTAGGGCAATCGATGACGCAAGACCGAGTGTTTATGTATATTTTTTTAACATAAACCAATTATATTCTGTAAGATCCTTTCATGTAAATTATATAACATATGTATCTATTTTTAATTTATGTTTCATATTGGTGTAGGAGTAAATTTGATTGTAAGGGTGTTCTTATTTTGCTTTAGTAACAATTTTATTTTTAAGGGCGTTGCCTTTAATGGAGTTAGACCACTAAATATTTATAAAATAATTTCTTGTTGAAAAGTCTTTATTAGAAAGAATTTCAAGGTGAGTGAATGAATGAATAAGCGTGAAGTGTTATTCGTGATCGTGTTTTGAATATATTTTTTTAAATGGAAAACCAACCTATGTCTGTTTGTTTAATATTGTAATTATCATGTTTACTTTATTTGCTTAACGTGAATTGGAGTGTTTTAAAACCAAAACTATCATTGTTCGTTTTTATTCTTCCGCATTATATATATTAGGAGAGATCGTGTTGTCGCTGGGACCGTACCGTTTAAAGTTTGTAAATGACTTATTTGATTATGCTTATGAAAGTTTTTAAAGATATTATTAAAGAAGTAAGAAGCCACCGAGGCAGTAATTAAAATTTGATAGTCGAAAACAGACAAACAACAACACTACCAAAAGAAAAAAGACAAGAACACAGACAACAATACACCACAAAGGACACTAAATATTGAGGAACATAAATGCCATCATAAGCGAAGATCCCGCTGATAAAAGTCCTTTGGTGACGTTATTGAAGGCTTTAGGGACGGGATTGTAGTTACAACAAATAGGAAATAGATGAGGTCATCATTGGCACACCTATCCAGTTAAAATCATAATGCATATATTTTAAACCTCTACCATTAAGAACCCTTTGTGCTATAACCCATTGTAAACGTAAACGCGGGTAATAGAACATCGTATCAGAAGGAAGATATATATTATATATACTCCTTATACATGTGTCATTGTAATTATGGTGGATAAAAATAGGAAAATTCACAATATGAAAAATAAAGACTTCTCTTTCGTCATTACAGTTAGTTCTCAACCGATCCTCGATTTAAATCATGATATGAAGTAGGTCTTACTGTACCTTGTGGATTGAAATTTGGTCTACCGTGTATTCTACACTTGCTATCTTATCATCATTGAAGATTAAATAGAGAATGGTATACTTGTTTTGGCAGTAATTTTGTAAGCGAAGCTACGTGCCATTTTCATAGTATTTCGTTTTTCTCATGGACAATTTAGGTTATATATAACTGTACTTCTTAAATTTTGAAAGATTATAATTAAAGGTTATTTGATAGTTTGTACACATATTTATCCAAAATATTATAGAAATTCTAATCTGTTTTTCTTGTAAGTTGTATGTCCAGACCATGTCATTTCATTTTACACTGACCAGTATGTTTCCCAGTCGGTGATAATCCAAATACAGACAGGTGTTCAATAGAAATTTAAGCATTCAATACTTCAATAATTATCATAACTTCTTAATATGATCGAGTTTGTTTATGTATAATTTAGAGTTTATGTATTTCTCATCTCCATTTTCCTTCCAGCAAATCATATTTAATACGATTTACTTACAAGAATGTACTTATCACAATATCACTTATTTTTCAGGCGAGACCAGAACATTGACAATTTCGAGTCCTGAGTCTAACCGATCATTTCCAAGATGAAGTCGAGTTATGTTGTTATAAGCATGGGCTGCTGTGCCCTAATTTCGTTGAATTTGTTCATTATTTCACTGCTTGCTCCTGGATGGCTTGTCTACAGTAATTTTAACGACATTGACCTAGAATTACACATGGGTTTATTTTACTTTAATGAATGCACTAACATGAGGAGGTACTGTGCATCACATTTCTATGGTGATTTTCCAGAAGTCGTAAATACCAAAGGAAGTAAGTATACTTTGATGAGGGTCGTAAGAAGGGGGAGGGGACTATGCTCTTACGAAAGGAAATGAATTGGCCATTCACCATGAACGAAAAGTAAATCAAATAGTAAGCGTTTTACCAATTTACATGAAACACGGTGAATAATGGTTATCTATAGCACGAAACCATGCACGTGTGAAATACAAATTGCCAATTAACAATTTGCACGAAAATAACCCTTTTCCGCCTGAATTAATTAAATATACAACATTACTTCATCTTCAGCACAGTGTTCTGTATACTTTTATGCTCTTTAAAAGATCCCCTGTGATTTATATGAATAAGGGCAATGAGGCAGCAGCGTATCGACACTAAAAACATAAGATATCCAGAGATCAACAGACGGTCTTCAACATTTGTCTCCGGATTACAGCAACGACAATGTGGACATTTATTGAGTGATCGAAAAAAGGATCACAATTTATATTTTTCTCTTGATAAAAAAATAGCTTTCCATTACGTGACTATAAATTGTACATGTGTACTAACGAACGAAGATTGTGTATTGAGAGATAGTTGTTTTTGGTTTAGTTTGTGATTCCTCTGGCGTTTGATGAGAATTGTAAAGACCTACAGTGGAACAAACTACCCCCCCCCCCCCCCCACACACACACACCTCGTTTAACGATAGAGATTTCAATAACTAGATGTTTTACTCGACATATACTGGTATATATATAAATGATAGAACCATTGTTTATCTCCATTTCAATGTTGTTTCTCGTTTTTTATATAGATTAGACCATTGGTTTTCCTGTTTGAATTGTTTTACACTAGTATTTGGGGCCCTTTATAGCTTGCTGTTCGGTGTGAGCCAAGGCTCAGTGTTGAAGGCCGTACTTTGACCTATAATTGTTTACTTTTTACACATTGTGACTTGGACGGAGAGTTGTCTCACTGGCACTCATACGACATCTTCTTATTTCTATTTGAAATGTTCTGCACGATCTAGGTTCTTGATTGAGTATGTTAAGATTATCAGACTCTAGGGGGTTCTGCACGATCTAGGTTCTTGATCGAGTATGTTAAGATTATCAGACCCTAGGGTGTTCTGCACGATCTAGGTTCTTGATCGAGTATGGTAAGATTATCAGACCCTAGGGGTTCTGCATGATCTAGGTTCTTGATTGAGTATGGTAAAATTATCAGACCCTAGGGGTTCTGCATGATCTAGGTTCTTGATTGAGTATGGTAAGATTATCAGACCCTAGGGGTTCTGCATGATCTAGGTTCTTGATTGAGTATGGTAAGATTATCAGACCCTAGGGGTTCTGCACGATCTAGGTTCTTGATCGAGTATGTTAAGATTATCAGACCCTAGGGGTTCTGCACGATCTAGGTTCTTGATTGAGTATGGTAAGATTATCAGACCCTAGGGGTTCTGCACGATCTAGGTTCTTGATTGAGTATGGTAAGATTATCAGACTCTAGGGGGTTCTGCACGATCTAGGTTCTTGATTGAGTATGTTAAAATTATCAGACTCTAGGGGGTTCTGCACGATCTAGGTTCTTGATCGAGTATGTTAAGATTAACAGACCCTAGGGTGTTCTGCACGATCTAGGTTCTTGATCGAGTATGTTAAGATTATCAGACCCTAGGGGTTCTGCACGATCTAGGTTCTTGATTGAGTATGGTAAGATTATCAGCCCCTAGGGGTTCTGCACGATCTAGGTTCTTGATTGAGTATGGTAAGATTATCAGCCCCTAGGGGTTCTGCACGATCTAGGTTCTTGATTGAGTATGGTAAGATTATCAGCCCCTAGGGTGTTCTGCACGATCTAGGTTCTTGATTGAGTATGGTAAGATTATCAGCCCCTAGGGGTTCTGCACGATCTAGGTTCTTGATTGAGTATGGTAAGATTATCAGACCCTAGGGGTTCTGCACGATCTAGGTTCTTGATTGAGTATGGTAAGATTATCAGACCCTAGGGGTTCTGCACGATCTAGGTTCTTGATTGAGTATGGTAAGATTATCAGCCCATTTACATATAACTGAACCATTATTTTTGTTTAATATGAGGATTTAATGGGAAATGTGTTGTATGTCTACAAATGAATGTTTAAAGGCCATTTTGGTTTTGATTTAATGTACCATGAAATGATTGATAGAGAATAGACATGTTCAAGGCTACGTTATTGTTTTTTTTTCTGTTTAGGAAGGGCGTTGTTTTGCTCTCTTTCTCTCTCTCTCTCTCTCTCTCTCTCTCTCTCTCTCAGAAATATTACCAAGCATTAACACATGGATATATAACTGAATTGTTTCATTTGAGGATGAAATGTTTTAAAGATTCACCTTGTATTTTTTATCGACTGTCTTTCTATCATATCTTTAAAATCGACCATTTAAAGCACTTTATGTATGCATATGAAAGAGAAGCTATTTACATTGATCAAATACAAATACAATTTATTTTTACACCCAGTGCACACCCATGAAAAACCAAAACCGGTTTCAAATACAAATATAATGTATCTTTCATGTGAATCATCCTCTGTCACTTTTACAGGTGTCTCCGACTGTATGCTTTTGAATTTAAATATTTTTATAATTGTGTTCAATATCCCGTAACGAGATAATATCTATATCGCCTGTAGAAAGAATGGTTCATTCATCAAAATATGTTATTTTATCTATATCGAATCTATGTTCTTTTGAACAGGTATTTTCAATCTGTACTTTAAGTAATGAAAATTAAATAACTTTTTATAAATGGTTTCGCCTACAACTACAAGTTTATAACCACACTGTAACTTTTGATTTGATTGACTTGAATTGACTCAGATAGTTATCGATCAATATCAAACTTTAGTGCATAATCGACACAAAAGGTCGCCATCTTCTTTCTGTGAGATGTTAGAACTTCAATTAGCATGGCAGAGATTAAAGTGATAATCATAGGGACTGTCCTTTATAGTTATTGCCTGGAACTTCATCCATCAATAACTATATGTATTTCAACGAACAATATAAAGCGATTTTGATTCAGAATGTCCTAGCTTTATTTGCGATGCACAGAAAAGTTTTGATTATCTTTCTCTTTCTCTCTTTAGGGAGCTACCGTTTGATTTTTATGGGGGGGGGGGGGGGGGGGGGGGGGGGGCTAGGATGAAAAATTTTGTCCTGCATTTTTTTTAGCTGTAATCTCTGTCCTGCCTTTTTATTTTTCACTCTATTCAGTCCTGCCTTTTTTTTTTTAGTTTATCCTGACTTTTTTTACCTAAATTGTCGTCCTGACTATTTTTTTTTTGCAAGTGTCTCATCCTGCCTTTTTTTTTTACTCAAAACTCCTGTCCTGCCTATTTTTTTCAAATTTCATCCTAGCCCCCCAATAAAAATCAAATGGTTACTCCCTTAAAGATCACAAGGCGAATGGAACAAGTACTGTGTAAATTCAGAAAATATTGCAAGGTTTATAAATGCGAATAATGCGACTTATTGGTTATCGCCATAATAGGAACTCGCATTCTGATATCTGATACATATAAATGTATGCAGATATTCCTGAAATCGCATAATTAATCTCGGATATTTGTCCATTCTTCAAAAATCGCAATAATAAATGAACACAATAATGTCTTAATTTGCAATATTTTGTTATAGGTTCTAGATTGTGGAGCGCATCTTCATTTCTGTATTTTTTGTGAATTGTCGGGCCTATTTCTCTATTGTATAATTTTCTTGCTTATGTTTCTTTTTTTTTCTCCATTATTCTCTAATCTGTAAAGCCTACACAGACACCCTTATTATGTTCAGGATCTGTCACACAAGTTTGTCTTTGAAAGTGCATTTCACATTTATGGTAAAAATGGGATTGAACATTGTCTGATACTAGTAATGCAATGGAAGTTCGTAACAGCTGATATTCACGTCGAAACATTTTCTTTCTATAAGGTTGTATAGACAGGGATAGTGTTTCCTTTTGCAAAAAAAAAGTATATTTGATTTTTGTATTGATAATTATAGTTTTTGTTTTTATTTATATGAAAACCATTATAGTTAGTTTTTATTTGCAATTCAAAAGTTATTTTCGACATTTATAATTTGATCATTCTTGTTTTGCACTAATCAAAAATACTTTTGATATAATAGTGTAGGAAACTTCAGTGTGAAGTTGGATAAATGAATGTAAGTCTTTAACCTTCAATTTTGGGTATGAAAAACTGCATATTAAATTTGACTTTTTCATGCTTCATTTCAGGGTTTACGACAACAGGTGCATTAACCAGTGGTATGTACTTATTTCTTAATAAGAATAGAGAGGCATCATATATAAACTATTTTTATTGTAATATCGTATGAACAAGAGCAAAAAAAAAACCTGTTTAATACTGTTAGTTAAATATTGAAGAAGAAAAAACACAGAAAATACAAATACAGAATAAAGGGGGTCCATTCTCCATGGGCCTGTGCTCCTGACTTGGACAGGCACATATATAATGGGAGGGGGTTTAAAATACTTGAAATCGCTTAACCCGTCCCTAACCTGTGACAGTGTAACAGAAGACCATAAGAAAAAAACCGTAGAATTAATTTGGAAATGGCTTAACTCTACAGGTGGTACGAAACACAAGAAACAACTGTCTTAACATAAAAACACAAAGTACCGATCTAAGAATATTCGCAGTTACTAAATGCTCGTTCAAATCCAATTCCAACTGAAAAATAAATCGGGTTCTTCCAGACAAACGGCTGTAATTAGTTTTCTCTGGTTTATCTTTGTCTACAAAATTAATCTCAATGCACGAATATACGTATTAATTTATTCACGAATGTGGCAAACCGACAAAATGATTGTCAGAACGACCCAGAACTCTACAAACCCTAAGACGAGTGTGGCAAACCGACAAAATGTTTGTCAGAACGACCCAGAACTCGATTAACCCTAAGACGACTGTGACAAGCGAAAAAATGATTATTAGAACGACCCAGAACTTTACAAACCCTAAGACGAGTGTGGCAAACCGATAAAATGGTAATTGTCGAACGGACCTAAAATTCGATAAAACCCAAAGACGAACCGGCAAAATGCTTGATTGTTTGGTGATGAGTTAACGTCGCATTAGCGCAAAAAAGGCTATATCACGGCGACAAAATGATTGACAAAACAGACCTAAAATACGTTAAACCCAAAGACGAGTTTGGCAAACCGACAACAATGATTGACAGAACGGACCTTAAATTCGATAAACCCTACAACAAGTGTTGAAAAGCATCAAAATTATTGTCAATACTGATCCAGAGCACAATAAACCCTAAGACGGGTGTGGCAAACCGATAAAATGATTGTCAATGACGTTCATTTACAACTCGAGAAAAAGGAAAGCCGAGCCATTTGTCCTTTAACAACCCCTAAACATTAAAATTGTTTGCAAGTAAAAACTAATCAAGAAATCGATTATTCAAAGTTTACAGTCTATGATTTGCACATGAACTTTGGTCTACTTTAATAGAACTACGCATGAACGTAATGTGACATACAACCTAAACAACCAAAACAACACAACATTAAATCTGACCTGTCAACAACCAAAATAACACAACATTAAATCTGACCTGTCCTCAACAACCAAAACAACACAACATTAAATCTGACCTGCCATCAACTTAAAAAAAAGTAAGAAGCATTTTGCACCTTAAATATGGATCAACAATTGCTAGTTTTATGATTCATTTTATTACTTTTCAGTTTTCGGCACCGACAAGGTATATGAGGAATACTTAGCAGAAATGTTAGTTGCAATTATTATCATGATGTTCGCAGTTTGCGCAGTGTTTTTCTACTCGAGAACAAGCAACCCAGCTTATATGACGCTGCCTGTAATACTTCTTTTAATCCCAGGTAAGAATCGAACACAAACTGCTTAATATCTTTTCTTTATATCTAAGGTTTATATCCGCAAGGATTAGATATATTAGGTAAATCCTTTCGGATTTGGGTTTTCAATGCTCTTTACCTTCGTACTTTTTTGGCCTTTTTAACTTTTTTATACGAGCGTCACTAATGAGTCTTTTGTAAATGAAACGCGCGTGTAGCGTACAAAATTCTAAACTTTGTATCTTTATTGAGTTTTTTTTCTCGACATGATAGGTTTTTATAATAGATAATGGTATTTTAGTGCAAATTCAATAGACCTCATCGAGTGTTTGAGATTTTTGCCATTTGTTGAAATGTTGACATAATGTTTGTCAGTTATACAGTCTTCCCGAGTATTCATAATAATTCTTTGCTAGCTCAAATTTCCTCTACCTCTTTTGTTTCAAGACTCCAAAATCAAACTAAACTCCAAGTCTTTTTTTTTTAATGAAAAAAACGAGAAATATTTAAATAACTTAATTTCACAACTTCTAAAACGGAGCCCTGAGCTCAAAGGCTAGCTGAGGTATAGAAATGTGGAGGATGTATACATTCGCAGCCACCGGTTCGGTTGGGATCATGGTGACGTTAAATTCGATTCCTCGTGTAGGGAGAGTGCAAGGCTTTCTGCAACAAATGTATGAAGGATTCGTAGGTCTGAGTCGTAGGTGGCCTGTTTCAAGGCAAAACTTCTTCATATATTCGACATTCCTTCATTCCGCTAACAACCCGGGCAGCCTACATTGCAAAACCTACCTATTGTATTAATTGTAAATTTGTTCACGTCCAGAATATGAGTGACATAATTGCCACTGAACGTCAAACAAGCAACTACAATCTAAAACTTTAAGAAAGATGTGCTGATCAAACTTATATAAAATCTAAGCGTTTGTATGTAATACCAACCAAGAGAACGACAATTCCATAAATACTGTTTCCTCGTATTTTGAAAATTGTAAAACGAAACTGTTTCGATTCTCTGGTGTATAAATCAAGGAATGAACGAACACTTTGCTTTGACATAGTCTAAGTAGGAAAGAGTTAATATGATGTATTTGTTAAATGATAAACAAACTGAAATAGTGTAAGGTACATTTACTGTAATTGAACTTGAAAAGATTCATTCATGAATTGAAATTAAAAGGACGGTATAGTTAAAATATATGAATATCTTAAGTCGCCTGGTTTTTATTTTTCCTAATGGCAATTTTCAGTGATGATATGTATTCAATGATAGTATTGTTAACTGCAATTAACGTATGAAATCGAGTCCCTGTAAGGAAACACATTTCGACAATTACTCTCGGAAGTAACAATAATTATTTCTTATTGTTACTTTTTGCGGGTAATCGTAGCCAGTACTATTAAGTTATTGCATAAAACTGTTTTACGTCAACGAGACAACACCCCATTGAAACAAAGAGCCAAAAGATGAAGAACATCAATACACGCGTTGTTCCCTGTTGGAATTCCGTGTAATGAAATGAGAAGGCATATGCCCTCTATTTCAATTCAATAATTTTAAAATATATATACTTCCAAATTTCATTTCGGATTATTTCAGGTATTTTGGTGTGGATTGCCACAGGTCGCTGGATTCAGCTTGAGTACTTCGTCATGGGTGATATGGGTATACCTTATAGCCTTATTCTCAATGGGATTGGTGCTACACTGTGTTTCATCATCATCATCATTCTCCTGGTTGTCATGTGCTTTGATTGGCAAAGATACAACGGAAACGACAGGCGCGTGTTGGTTAGCAGGAAACAAGATTCAATTGCAAACCCACAGTACGTTTACAACCAGCCAACAACTCAACCACAACTTGTGTACTATTGATCATTTAGAATTTTAAACAAATAACAGTAGTTAAAACTTTACCATGGAAAAGAACAATCAGCAATACTTGAATACTATAGCATACGGGCATTTCTATATATGCAACTTCGTTTCATAAATGAATATGCAAGTGTTACATGCTACACACGAATGGGGTGATGATTTAGGTTTTTCATATGATATGAAATCATATATAAATGGCGAAAACTACTTTTCCATACCATCAAGTCAGGTTGAGTTTAAAATTTACAAATGCATTTTACATAACATGCAGTTGTTTTTAGAGGAAAAATTCCTTTCTCGCATTCAGATATTAAGTGAAATAGAAAATAGAGAATACTGGGGTGCTAAAATATATAGATTAGAGAATATTGGACAAAAAATAAAGATTAGATAATCAAGACCCTCAGATCACATCGAATCCAAATTATTCTAGTATTAAAAACTAAAAGATAAAATTACATAAGAGATTGTCACCACATATATTCATACATCATTTTGATAATATACTTTGTTTGAATTAGTTTAACTGTCATTTGTATGCTTACATATCTCAAATCTGTAGAATTCGTGAAAATCTCAAATCTGTAGAATTCGTGAAAATCTCAAATCTGTAGAATTCGTGAAAATCTCAAATCTGTAGAATTCGTGAAATAGAAAATCTATTTCTTTTTATCTGAAACTATATTCTGTTAACTATTTAACTTCTCCAAGTAAATTTGGAAATCGCGAAATTAAATCACCGCAAAGTGGACTAGAAAGGGCTGAACGCGAAATAAAGTATCAACAAAAATTAGTTGGTTTACAGTATTCATCCGGATACAAAAGGCTCATCCTACCATTACTTTACCACTTTAGAACGTTAAGTATGTTGTCATTAAAAATGAATCATATAGTTTCGAAGGTAACTTCTTTATTTCAGAAATTTACTTATTATATATTTATATTGTATTTTTATATCTTTAAACATTTGCTTTTTTTATTTATCGTATATGATATATTTACATCTGAGCAATAAAAATACAATTTTTAAACTTTATACTACATAATTTCTTCTCCGTGTGTGTTCTGGACAATTACGAGATTTGGAGTATATTGAATATGCGTTTTCAATGTAACTTAAAACTTGATGGATTTAATTCATTCTTTTTTTATGGTATTGTGACGACCGTCATTTCTAAATGCGAATGAAAAAAAGGTGAAGTACAGCGGGCGGGCGGATGTCAACTGTTTCCGTCCATTTCAAATTTTAATATGACGACAAAAAATTAATGAAGGTCGATATCGATATTGACGATTTTTACGTTTACCGTTGAGTAATTATGGTCCTTGACAGATTGGAAAATGACACTTTATGTCGTTTCCATGCAATAACTCATAAACCTTTCAACCAATGCTTTTCAAATTTTAGTATGTTTTTACTTGTCATTTGGAATTTAAGTTTGAGGATAGTTGTCTCATGACAAGCAACCTCCTTTTTTCTTATTATTGTTCGAATTATTTGAATGATTGTAGTTTGCTTAAGGTCCAGTGGAAAATATTCCATGCATGTTCAAGACGAGAACAAATTAACACTAAAACTATTAGGAAGGTTTTACAAAGTGAATTTGACTTCCACTGGAAAACGCGGAATTTATGTTGATAAGGGGAAAATGATTTTGGTTTCAGTATGAGCTGGATGGGAGAAGTCAGGTGGTAACAATATTGTATACCTCTGTTAAACTTTATAAGGTTTTGAATTGCTCTATGGAAGATTACCTCAATAATTCTATGTTTGTTTCTTCCAACTCAATTTCCTAATTTCATTTATCAGTGGTCTTGAATATGGATGTGATATTTGTTGCACTATTCAATCAATAAACCAATAATGTATTTCTGACATTCTTGATTCCAGCTCACTGATTAGGTAGTTTACGTCCTTGTGTCATTCAAACTTCTATTTCTCCTTTGATGTGTACCGGTAAAATCTCATTCGTGTCTACGTTAACGCTGTATGAAGCTTGCATATAACTATTCATTGGGTAAACCAAAACCAAAGGCAAATCCATTAGGTAAACCAAAGGCAAATTCATTGGGTAAACCAAAGGCTAATTCATTGGGTAAACCAAAACCAAAGGCAAATTCATTGGGTAAACCAAAGGCAAATTCATTAGGTAAACCAAAGGCTAATTCATTGGGTAAACCAAAGGCAAATTCATTGGGTAAACCAAAGGCTAATTCATTGGGTAAACCAAAACCAAAGGCAAATTCATTGGGTAAACCAAAGGCTAATTCATTGGGTAAACCAAAGGCTAATTCATTTGGTAAACCAAAACCAAAGGCAAATGCATTGGGTAAACCAAAGGCTAATTCATTGGGTAAACCAAAGGCTAATTCATTAGGTAAACCAAAGGCTAATTCATTTGGTAAACCAAAACCAAAGGCAATTTCATTGGGTAAACCAAAGGCTAATTCATTGGGTAAACCAAAGGCTAATTCCTTAGGTAAACCAAAGGCTAATTCATTGGGTAAACCAAAGGCAAATGGCAATGAAAAAAAAGAGAGCAAAGTTTCAAAAGTACATGTATATATTGACAGGTCAACTTATCTGAGGCTTTAGTTTTCCAGGTATTTGCTGTTCGTACAAAAATATGTAGTGTGACTTCCTGATGACTGAGAACGATATATCACATGGTAGTCTAAGGGCAAGATTAACAAAAAACTTGCCCGTTCCAGCTACCAAAAAGGACGATTACAAACGGTAACGAGGAAATTAAAGACGGCACATAATTGGAAAAACAGGATTAACGTGTGGTAAATAAATGCTCGAAAGGGTCCTGTGATTAGGAAATTATGAATTTGAATATGAAAACAGGTTATTCACACTAAGTTCAATCTTAAGAGAGGTAATAAGTATTTGTAAAAACAAATAAATTTAAAGGGAAGTCTCCAAATTCAATGAAAAATTTTGTTATTAAATATGATTAAGATTATGGATATATGTCAATAAGATAACCATGCATATTTTGTCACACACAAGGCAAAATATATTTGACACAAAAAAGAAATGACATATATATACATTTTTTTAAATCATTTTTTTTTATCCAAAACATAGTCTATCTTAATTTGTGACACAAAGCACACACAAAAAAAAAACAGGACTGCATACAATTATGCCGCAGACCAGTAATCATGAAATTAATGTTAAAAATACTTGTCATTATACCCCCACAAAAAATGTTTGGTGGTATATAGGAATCACTTTCTCCTTATGTCTGTCTGTTTTTCTGTCCTGCTTAGTGTCCGGTGCATAACTTTTGTATCATTGAACTTACTAGGTTTATCAAACTTTGTATACAGATGCATCATTGGCTAGGGTGTGTCATATACCAAAGTCAGGTCACTCTGACCTTGACTTTGACCCCTATTAAAGTTACTTCTCGTCAGATTCCTGTCAGGTCACTATAACTTTGACCTCTACGACAACTAACTCTGTGATTTAAAACGACCTTGACTGTCTGTTAAGCCCTCGCACGGTCTGTGGATAGTCAAACATTGTTTGATTTCTGCCCTGTGCATAACTTTTGTACCGTAGAACTTAGGTTGACCAAACTTGGTATGCTGGTCCATCATGGGATGGGGTGTGTCATGTATCGAAGCCAAACCACTCTGACCTTTGACTCCTATGATAGTAAATGTTGTCTGATGTGTGTTCTTTGCATAACTTTTGTACCCATAGCACTTAGATTGACAATACTTTATATACAGAATTCAAACATCATAATGATCTTGACTATGACCTTTGACCCCTATAACAGTAAAACATTAAAGTATCATGGGATCTGGATGTGACAAATGCCAAAATCAGGTCACTGTTTGGGGCATAATTGTTCTCTGGAGAACTAAGGTTAACAAAACTAAGTTAAACTAAGTGTGCAGAGATGCATAATGGGAAGTTGATTTGTCAGTCAGATTAGATCATTGTGGCTTTGACCTTTGACCCCAATAAGTTGATTGACCTTTAACATTGATATGGATTAAGGTAAAAAATATAAAAATCTCAATACTGAATTTCACAGCAGCCACTAAAATGCATGTAGGATATGTCTATACAGACAGCTCTAGCTAAATCTAAGACTGAATTTTTCGTGAAACAGAATGTTTAATTGTTAACAAATTAATAAATAGGTGCAAAACAGTCACCTTTTTCTTTGTGTTGAATATCTCATTGTGACTTATATTGAAGAACTGCAATATACAATTTGTTTCCTATGTTTTGGATCTGTAAGTGTGTTAAGGGATCTTGTATCATGAATTAAAATATCATATCCTATTTTATTCATGAAATATTAATATTAACCATATTCATATGGTAACAAAAAATAATATCAAATAAAATGCTTCCCCGAGCGCAGCCTGATACGACCGCAGAGGAACAGTTGGGCCAAGTTTGGACACAATATTCAAGCTTGATACTGTCTGAATTTGGATTGTGATCAAATTTTTGACATAATATAGGTTTCTGACACAAAATAAATGTGGTCAAAGATCTTAAAAATTTGAAATGGGACATTTAATTTTCCTAGTATGGTCGGATATCCAATATCTAACAACATGGTTAGATTCAGCATATAAAAAACCACCAAAAATTTAATTTTAGTTGAAATCAAACAAAGTTTAATTTTGGACCCTTCAAACCTTGATATGGACTTATTTGAAAACAGGGCCCAAAATAAAAAATCTAAATGCACAATAAGATTCAGCATATCATAGAGCCGCAATAATTCAGTTTTCGATGAAATCAAACAAAGTTTAATTTTGGACCCTTTGGACCTCAATGTAGACCAATTTAAAAATGGGGCCCAATATCCAAAATAGTAATACCAGGTTAGAACCCCCAAAAATTAAAGACTTTAAATTAATCCGATTGAAATTGGTTAAAAGATTTGTATTTATTTTCAATTGAAGATTTCTTGCTATTGCGCAATACTGTGCTATCGCGTAATACTGTGCTATTGCGCAATACTGTGCTGTTGCACAATACTTAGTTAATCTGTTATATATAATAATTTACACACCCTGTTTGGTGTGTATCTCCTGCCATATCAGGAAAAAAATTTGCCCCCCCGCCCCCAAAAAAAAAATTGAAATTTTGAAAAATCTTGAAGAAAAAAAGTATGAATCCACCCCAAAAAAAATTGAAAAAAAAAAATCCCCCCTAAAGAAAAAATTTCAAATAATTTGAAATTTGAAAAATTTTGAAGAAAAAAATCCCCCCCCTCCCAAATTTTTTGAAGCCCCCCCCTCCAAATTTTTTTTTTGAAATTATGAAGATTATTTTGTTTTCAGGAAAAATTTACAATTTCAGAGAGTTCCACAAACTTCAACACAAGTTATTGTCTGGAAACTAAAAAAATGCTTGTTTTTGGCCCCTTTTTTGCCCCTAATTCCTTAACGTTTGGGGCAATTACCCTCAAACTCAATCACAGCCTTCCCTTTGTGATATGGAACCTTGTGGTATAATTTCAGAGAGATCCATACACTTACACACAAGTTATTGTCCGTAAACTACAAAAATGCTTGTTTTTGGCCCCTAATTCCTAAACTGTTGGTACCATAACCCCCAATCTCAACCTTCCTTTGTGGTATTGAACCTTCTGGTAAAATTTCATAGAGATCCATTCACTTAAACTAAAGTTATTGTCTGGAAACCAAATGTGTCTTCGGACGACGACGACGACATCATAGCATTATACGAACACAAATTTTTTGCTGTCGTATAAAAATGTGTATCCATATTTATAAAACATCTTGCCCAGCTTGCAATATCCTGTGTCCATGTTCAGTGACCTGTAAAATTTGGGTCAAAATCTTAATCTGGGAAAAAAATCAAAAAGTTACCCTCACAATGAACATGTGTATTATGATTCAAGTTAATGTGACCACAACTTAATGGAAAGCTATTTTAATCAATGGAAAACTATTTTAATCAAAACCTTTAACCCAATACAGAATGAACTTATAGGAGACTGGACAGAGGGACTAAAGGATGGACCTACAGCCCAGAAAACATAACTCCCTCTCCTATCTTAGGCAGGCATAAAAACGTAAACAATGATGCAAATATTTAACACAAATATGATTAAAAGCCTACTTTGAGTATATGTCAATGAGGCAGCAAACCAATGACAAAACAAAACCATTTATATCAAGAAGTCTTAATATAGTCAGTGTACAGGTGTAGACATATTGTTTTAACAGAGATGCGACTTAATATATAAAAATTAGTAAAGGTTCCGCGGAACCCAGTGTCTTGCCTACCTTTGCTGTTAATCGCAGGCTCAACAAAAATGAGGAAAAAAATTAATAAAAATATTCCTCTCTATACTATCTTTTGATTGTAAGTAGCTTCTGTCCAAGTTTGGTAAAAATCCAGGATAGTTTATGAATCTAATAAATGTTTTAAAAACTTAAACTGCAGACTGTATGTAATGTTAACTGGAAGAAAAACTAAGTCCATTTATAAGTAAAATATGGAAAAAAATGAAACAAAATTTTAACAAAATTTCCTTCTAGATACTAGCTTTTAATCATAAACAAGCTTTTGTCTAAGTTTGGTACAAATCCAGGATAGTTTAAGAAAGTTGTTAAAATTTTAAAAAACTATAACCACAGAGTGAATGTAATGTTAACTGGAAGAAAAACTAAGTCCATTTATAAGTAAAATCTGGAAAAAAATGGAATTTTTTTTTTACAAAATTTCCTTCTTGATACTATCTTTTAATCATAAACAAGCTTCTGTCCAAGTTTGGTACAAATCCAGGATAGTTTAAGAAAGTTGTTATAATTTTAAAAACTTTAACCACAGAGTGAATGTAATGTTAACTGGCAGGAAAACTAAGTCCATTTATAAGTAAAATACGGAAAAAAATGGAAATTTTTTTTACAAAATTTACTTCTGGATACTATCTTATGATCGTAAACAAGCTTCTTTCCAAGTTTGGTAGAAATCCAGGATAGTTTAAGAAAGTTATTAAAATTTCAAAAACTTTAACCACAGAGTGAATGTAATGTTTCCTGGCAGAAAAACTAAGTCCATTTATAAGTAAAATACAGAAAAAAATGGAATTTTTTTTTTACAAAATTTACTTTTGAATATTATCTTATGATCATAAACAAGCTTCTGTCCAAGTTTGGTAGAAATCCAGGATAGTTTAAGAAAGTTATTAAAATTTCAAAAACTTTAACCACAGAGTGAATATTTGTGGATGCCGCCGCCAACGACAACAATGACAATGACGATGCCGACGACGGAATGTAGGATTGCTATGTCTCGCTTTTTCGACAAAAGTCGAAGGCTCGACAAAAATCATCTCTCAATAAAGCTTTTAAATCATAAGACACAGCTATAATGTTTTCTGACTAACTTGGGTCTCAAGAAGGTTATAACTTAATCTGTGTGTATCAACTCAGGGCAATTTAGAGCTTGACATATTATACAGACACTTACCAATGCTGAAATCTGTATGTTGACCTTAGGTTAGTTTTATTTATTTGATGTGTTGGTTGGTTGCTGTCTCATTGACATTTACTCCTATTTTTTTTTAATTCATATGCAGCTTTCACAATTCATATTTTATTACAAATATAAATTAACAATACAAATGTACTGGATTTTCTAACGGATTATATTTTAATTTTCTCTAAAATATCCTAAACTTGACATACAATTTGCATAAAATGATAGATAATCTATATCTGTATAATATCTAAAAAAAATGATTGGTATATTTAACAATTCATAAAATATTCAACAGATAATACTCCTTTTTTATATAAAACTTATCATGAATATATAAAACAAAATCTGCTTAAAACACATGTATGTGTATAAAGTTCCTGAGACTAATCACAGTCACACAGTACAAGGGACATTCAAATCTTGTGCTTTAGTAGAACTTCATTCCTGAAACCAAAAAAAAAACAACATAAATACAGCAAAAAAGAATATCAACATTTTTTTTTGTGTTTTATAGCCTTAAGGCTAAGTTTATGGTATTAGGTGGTATTTCAGATTTTAAATTTAGATTTGGTTCAACTGCATCTGAATATATACTTCTAGAGATACAATCAATAACAAATTTGTGAATTAAAACTAAAAATGATCATGCAAAGTGTTGTAAAAAGACATTATTCACACTAAAAGTTGTGATTTGTCAGAAATTTATCCTAAGAATTTTGTTTAAAAAATGATATTTTATTGCAATGAACAATTCTGATTTGATGATATGAAATTTATATGTGTTTTGTGGAAATTTTCTAAAATTTTCTATTTATAAGAATGTTGCAGCACTCAAGGGATATATACCATTATGCTAAGTTTAGAAATAGGAACTTTACGAAAATTTACAGATTTTATAAAAATTGAATTAATTTGTTTAATCCAAATTCAATATTCTTTTTTATAGCTGATAGGTCCAAGGTTAGGGGGAGAGTTGAGCGCTCACAAACATGTTTAACCCTGCCACATTCTTTATGTGCCTGTCCCAAGTCTGTAGTTCAGTGGCTGTTGTTGGTTCATGTCTGTCATTTTTGTTTTTGTAAATTGTTTTGTTATAAATAATTAGGCTGTTAGTTTTCTCATTTTGTTTCACATTTTTCATGTCCGGGCCTTTTATAACCAAGTATATGGTATGGGTTTTTCTCATTGTTGAAGGCCATACGGATGCCTATCATTGCTTACATTCACTTCATTTGAACTCTGGTGGATAGTTGTCTCATTGGCAATCATACCACATCTCCTTATTTTTATATATTACCTGATCTACGAAAACAAAGGATATATGAGTCTCAAAATAGATATACAAAAGTTTCTTGTGGACAAGTCTATTTGTATTTGGCTAATTTTCTTACTTTCAGAGAAGAGGCATTTTTTAAAAAGTTTACATATGGACAGTTAAATATCTAAAGAACACACAGTTGAGAGGGTGATAGAGCAGGTTGTTACCCTGAGAAAACATGGTAAACTGAGGCGAAGCCAAGGTTGATGATGTTTTTTCAAGGGGTAACATTCTGCTCTATCACCCTCTCAGCTATGTGTCATTTAATTTCTTCTACTGAATTATTGGTCATTATTGTCTTAAAAAATTCAAATTGAAAATAACAAAATATGACATCATATTCACAATAACATTATAGTCTTTAGAAGAGAAACACAAGTGAAACAATATGAATTTTTTTATGTTGACATTAAAAAAAAAGTCCTGAGACCAAAGCATAGCATTGTCTTTAAAACTTTTGAATTTTGATTGGTCTGCAAGAGAGGGTGATATTAAAAAGATTGTCTATCGCTGAGCCATGGGATAGAGTAATATGTATTTCTCTTATTAACCAATAACAATCTGTCATTTAAGCAAAAGTATAAGTCATCTTACTTCAATAAATCACACTTTGTTTTCGACCACTGGTTACTGTCTGGTGAGCTAAATACTTTTTGAAGTCCTCCACTACATAGTTTCAGGAATAGCACAAAAAAAAGGAAACAATCAAATGAATTATAACCCAAGTTTTAAGCTATTTGCAAACTCCTCACATACTTACTTTACTGGTACTCTGTTGTATACAATAAATCTTATGATAGTTCTTTTTTGTATAGTTCAGCACATCTAAAGGAGCTATTTGCAATCCACCATGTTTAAGTTTACCATCTTTATAACATTGTACTATAAACCTGTTAGTATCTGTAATATCTGGATCTGATAGGTATTCCTCTATCTGTAAAGAGTATGTTAAAAATAGTTAATCCATTAATTTCTTCTATTTTGTCCGTAGCAAGGTGGAAGAAAAAAATAAATGGGGAATGTGTCCATGGGACACAGATGATGCCCCTGCTTGCATATAATGTTATAAAGGGACAAAACTCAAGAACTGTAAAAGTGACGCTACCCAAATTTGTACTTGATCAGAGTTTTGTGGTAATTAGCATTGTGTATACGTTTCATAACATTTAGTTGAGGCAAACTTAGAGAACCGAAACAAAAAATCCAGCAATTTTTCCATTTGTAAAGGAGCATAACTTTAGAACAATAAAAGTGACACCACCAAAGTTCAAATTTGATCTGTGTTTTGTAGTAATAAGCATTGTGTATAAGTGTCATAACATTTGGTTGGGGCAAACTAAAGTTAGAGAACGGAAACCAAAAATTTAGCAATTTTTCCATTTGTACAGGGGCATAACTCTAGAACAGCAAAAGTGACACCACCAAAATTCAAACTTGGTCTGTGTTTTAAGGTAATAAGCATTGTGTATAAGTTTCATAACATTTGGTTGAGGCAAACTAAAGTTAGAGAACAGAAACAAATAATTAAGCAATTTTTCCATTTGTAAAGGGGCATAACTCTAAAACAGTAAAAGTGACGCCACCAAAATTAAAACTTGATCTGTGTTTTGTGGTAATAAGCTTTGTGTATAAGTTTCATAACATTTGGTAGAGGCAAACTAAAATTAGAGAACAGAAACATAAAATTCAGCAATTTTTATATTTGTAAAGGGGCATCACTCAAGAACGGCAAAAGTGACGCCACCAAAATTCAAACTTGATCTGTGTTTTGTGGAATTAAGCATTGTATATAAGTTTCATAGCATTTGGTCGAGGCAAACTAAAGTTAGAGAACATAAACCAATTTTGGGACATACATACAGACGGACAAGGGTAAAACTTAATGCCCCCTCCGCTACAGCAGGGGCATAATAAAAAGTATAAATGAAATATCTGGTGTGATTAAATATTTGTAAACTGTTTTGTGTAATGAATGGAGTTTTATTGGTCTAAAAATAGATCATAATATGATTTGTTTGTTTGTTTGTTGGTGTTTAACACCACTTTCAGTGACCTTAGCTGTACCATGGCAGCTCTTTTTTATTGGTGGAAGAAGCCAGATTTTCAAGAGAGAATCACTTATCTTCAAGGGGAAAACTGGCAATACTTGTCAATTAAAATCAGAGTAAAGCACATCTCACCATCAGCAGAATTAGAACTCACAACCCAAGTGTTGACAGGCTAATGATCACTGTAGATGAACGTCTTTAACCACTCTGCCAGTGAGGCAACCCAACAGTAATATAACCTGACAGCTTCTCAAGAAAAGGGCATCCCTGCTAAAACTTTGAAATCTTGTTGGCAGGTTTGGGTTGAGCATCTTAATATAGACTCATGTACCTTCCAACCTCTTCAATAAATTCTACAGAAATAACAGAATCATAAAACAATATTCGTAAAATCTTACATCCATCCATTTGCAGTCCCCAATCTCATGTGGGCAAGGTTTTATCTCTTCAGTGATTGGTCTCATCAGACATATAAAGTACCAATCAGAACATCCGTATCTAAACTGATGTTGGTGTCTAAAGGCTATCACATTTATAAACTCAGCTTTAATACCTGTCTCTTCAAGTACTTCTCGTATGGCAGTTTCTTCTAAACTTTCTCCTTTTAAAAACAAGCAAGACTTCACTTTAAAGAAATCAGTCAAATTGTTCAACAAAAACTAAGCCAATATTAAAGTACAATTTCGTGGAAGATTTCATTTTGAAATTATAAAAAAGTGATTAAAATGGTCTCTCACAGGAATTTATATTCCATAAACTAACAGGGTCAAATAAGCCTCAAAATTCACCTTCTCCTTAATAACTAGTATCAATTGTTTGTATTAAGAATGTTTTATATCATAAAGGTACCTAAATCAGCCAGTCCTCCAGGCAGCTTCCAGTGTTTCTTTATAAGGTTATATTTTTCTTGTATCACAAGTAACTGTCCTTTGTCATTGACTACAAATCCAGCTACACCTAGAAAGGAGAAATAAACTTTTGACAAAGAGATATGTCTTGCCTGTTTGTAGTTTTGATAGTAAATGCAAGTGTTGAAATCAAAATGGCAAAACTTTAAAATGTAAACTATGCAAAACCTTCAAAGTTAATGAACCATGACTGAATGTGCAAGGCCAAATGATTTTCGTGGAAATGAGATATGTTAATAGACTATACAATAATAATTACATACAAAAATACAAAAAATAATTGACTTGTCATTTTTTTCCCCCTTAAACAGATAAAATCACAAAGAAACTTTTGATGCCCCTAACACTGACAGAAAAAGCATATTCTTGTTATTTTTCTACTTGTGAAAAAGAAATCGCTACCGAAAATTACAGTGTTTACAGTATTGTCTAAGTCACTGAAGGTTGTGGAAATGGTGTTAAGCTTTAACAACACATTTTTGTTTACCTCAACTTTAAAAGTGTATCCTTGGTACATGTATGTTTATAATATGGCAACATCAGTACGGTTTGCATTTAACCCATTTTCTAAATCTTTATTAATCTTTAACAAAAATAAAATTTTAATTATTTTTTTTCTTCAGAATCCTATTGAATTTTCTATCTAACTTACCCAGATATTGGTTGGCAAATCCAGGAATTCTGTTTTCAATGTTGTCTGGTAACCATTTAGTCAACATAACATAACCAGGCTGAGCATGGTGGAAATCAAAACCTAACTATCAAAAATAATATAGTTATTACAATTTATTATTCAATAATGGCAATTGGTCAAGATAATTGATGTCTGAAAACACTTTAACCACAGACTGAACCTAAATATTAATGCTGCTGCTGATGGAAACTCATGGAATGTATGTTAGCCATCATGACTCGTTATTGTGTCAAACTGTAGCAGGCTCGACAAAAATTACATTATTCTTTCTGTGATTAAAGCAATATATATCTTGCACATTTTAAAAAATTTCAAATGTTATGTTAGAACTCTGTTTCTCAAACAATTATCATTCTATCTTTCATGACCATCACAGCTACCTCGGCCTTGTTAAGATTTTGGAAATTTAAGATATATGAAGATCCAAAAGTTACACTAGAGTTTGCCATTAACGGCTGTGGGATTGCCCCTGACAAGTGAAAGTCATCATCAGGCAAGTAAAAGCTGCAGTATACTTGTCCAATTGGCCAGTAAAAATTTTAAGTTAAAAACGCTCAAAAATACTAAATCTAGTCTTTTTTCTCTTTCAATCAAGAAAATCATCAGTTGTTGACGCATTCTTTGTAGAATCTAGCTATTTTAGTAAAACTATCTGCGACATAATAATTAATGATAACAATTCTATATCTCCTTGAATTCATCAATTTTTAAAAACTTGAACAAAAGTGAAATAAAAGAAGATTAGAATATATAAATAAATACGTTTACCCAGGATATTTATTGCTGAGCTTTCTCAACATTCAGCATTATTTAATTTTTGGGATGGTTTCTGTGGGTAAAAAATAAATGACAGTCATTTTAGTATCAATCCCAGATTAAGCACAGCTAGGGGCCCAGGAAAATTGTTTTTTTTCTCCCAGTGTTTTCATTGGAAAGAGAGCAAATAACATTCTGAAATAACATTCTATCTCTGGAGGAGTTTTTCGGCAAAGTACTGAAAATACGGAAAGCTGACAATGATGAAACCAAAAAAATAAAAATGTAAAAAAGAGGAATTTGAGATTTATTGAATCCTGGAAACACATTTTAAGGGTATCAGAGATGTTGTAGATTAAATATTTTGTATTAGACACCAAAAAATAAACACAACATTGTATGTTCTGACTTAAACCATATATATCTTGCTTTGAGTTTGCTCTAAGGTAACTGGTGAACTTGTGGGGTTCAAGTGACTTGGTACAGCACTTTCCGTGATCCACCACATTTCATTCCTTTTTTAGTTGCATTTACCTGATTTTATGTCCATAAATGGCAGTTCAAAATTTCTTAAGAATGTACAAAATTTGGACAAGTGGTTATCTCTTTCGGACCAGTAATATATCATGAGTGTGGACAAGTTGTTAAAAATTTAATGTCAAACCCTGTAAAGCACATTCAATTCTTCTCTTTTTATACAAAATGGGTTAAGTAAGATAATTTTATAAGAAGCAGTTGATTTTGAAAGGATAATTAACTTGGGACTAACATTGCTCATTGATTATCTGTTCTGAATCCACTGCTTCCTATAAATTCTCTATTATGAAATCATATTAATATGATCATAATTTTATTTGCAAATTACACCCATATGGGTCAAGCAAAAAAACACAAAATATAACACAATATTAACAAAACAGTCAGGAACTATAAGTTTAAACATTAAAAAAAACATAGTAATGTTAATGTAACTTTTAATGGACATGGACCTTGTTTCACAACTCTAAAAAGATTGCTTTATAAAGTCACCAACAGCTGTTAAAAGTTCATATTTGGGATTTAACAGTTCTTTTAGCTTGTACAGTGGTTGAGAATTTGTAAAACAAGGTTTTATATTATCGATTTTTAAAAATAACTGATCTCCGAAAGTTGAGTTCAGTTTACAATCTAGAAAAAAATTATTAATATGCATTATACCAAAAAGGGTTTTAAGTAGGACAACCAGATGAGAAAAACATAGACCTTTCACTTTTTCAGTAGCTTCATAAGAGCAAATGGCATGCAAGACCATTATCTTGATTACCATTGTTCTTGGTCTTCTACCATAAAATTGTATCCTTGACAACTAACACAAATCTAGGTATATCAACAGATGACTGTTAAATAAATAGTTCAATATAAACTAACCTCAGTACAGACTGGCACAACCTCAGAATGATTCTTTCTTGCTTTTACCCATACTGCTTTTATTCCCTCAGTCTTCCATTTGGTAACAGCTCCTGGTTAGAAAAAACATGGCAGTGTTAAATGTATTTTTAATAAATAAATAACACATGCTCTATTCTAATGGGTAGAATTGAAGCATGTAAGTAATATTATACATAAGTTGATAATAAGTTCAGTACCAGAGGAAGTGTTGACTACAAAGGATTGATTTAAAAAAAAATACAGCTGGTCTTATGGTGGTGGTGAAAAAACAAAACAGAACTTATCTTTGTTTTTTGATATATAGGAGTATCTGGTTTTTTTTATGCCCCGCCTACGATAGTAGTAGGGGCATTATGTTTTCTGGTCTGTGCGTCCGTTCTTTCATTTGTTCGTCCGTTCGTTCGTCCGTCCGTCTGTCCCGCTTCAGGTTAAAGTTTTTGGTCAAGGTAGTTTTTGATGAAGTTGAAGTCCAATCAACTTGAAACTTAGTACACATGTTCCCTATGATATGATCTTTCTAATTTTAATGCCAAATTAGAGTTTTGACACCATTTCACGGTCCACTGAACGTAGAAAATAATAGTGCGAGTGGGGCATCCGTGTACTATGGACACATTCTTGTTTTAATCAATTATGATAATAATGCTACACAAAGACAACAACATAGTAGATTACTGCAACGAAAATCTTTATTGTGGTCTACAGGTTTCCTGAGGTTTTAAGACAATTATGATAATAATCAAAATATAATATTGGAAAACACTTTCATAGATATAGTGAAAAAAAATTACTTACCTTGCAATTTTTCTTCAAACTCTTTCTTGATATTTTCACAATTTTGGTATTTTGTATCAATTGTATAGCCATTATACCTAAAATATTATAATTACATTATCATGATGAGAGAACTATTAAATCTCTTAAAATGATATAATTATAATTAAAGAAGATGCTGTATAAAAGTCATGGATACAGCAAGAGAGGCAAAGATACTAAAAGGATATTCAAACGCATAAATCGAAAACAAACTGAGAATACCATGGCAAATAAACTGTTGACACAGTGATATGTCTCGCCTGTCGGCATAAAATTTAGAAAAAGACAATTGGATGGACAGCAAAATTGTTAATTAATTCAAAGTAGCTGGACCATGAACTAGTGGCAAGGTCTCGAAATGGTCAACAAACTGAGATGTACAGACAGTAATGTAACTTTATAGAAAATATAATTGTCAATTGTAATTAGTTTCTATCAAACTAACTAAAGCAGAAAACTTAACATAGAAAATTGCTAATTAATTCAAAGTTACTGGACCATGACCTAGGGGGCAGGGCCTCAAAATAGTTGTCAAACTGATATGTACTGATACGAATGCAACTTCATGCAAAATATCATTGATCTTTCACAAGTAGTTCTTATCAAACTAACTTATGCAGAAAACTTAACAATTGTTGACGCCAACAACGACAACGATGTTGTCAACAGAAAAGCAATATCTATGTCTTGCCTTCTGTCGCAGGCGAGACAAAAATGAAAAAGAAGAAAAGACAAACAACAGAACATATAACACAACATAGAAAACTAAAGACTGAGCAACAAGAAACCCCACCAAAAACTGGGGCTGATCTCAGGTACTCTGGAAGGGTAAGCAGATCCTGCTCCTCATGTGGCAATTGTCATGTTGCTCATTTAAGTACAAACCTGGTGGTAAATCTCATTCGGCAGGTCACAAAAGAGGACTGGGTTGTGGTTTCGACAATTGGAACAACCAAAAATAAGAAAAGGACATCTATAATTCAACATACTGCATAAACAATAGACAAATGTTTGTCATATGTCAAGTTTTAAATTGCAATGAGTATAACCTGGATGTGTGATGAATTTAAAGAGATGACAACAGACTGGCATCAGTACATAGTATTAATAAAAGATAAAAACTAAGATACAAGCAAAGGAAACCAATGACAAGGTTTATATCCATGATAACTAGAACATATTCTTCAATTTAGGAACTTAGAGAAGAAGAAAAATTGTTCATAGAGTGAGAAAGCAGACATTTTCTCGCTGCATCAAAAACCAATTGGTGGCCTAGGGCTTATCCTGCTCTTTGATAGGGTTGTTGTCTCTTCGACACAATCCCTGTTTCCATTCTCTATTATATTTCTGTGCTTAAAGTTTATTCATACATTTAAGAAATATAATGATCTTTATTCTACAAGAAATCTTTATCATTCACATTTATTTGATAATACTGTAAATTCAGAAATTATTGCGTGCATTTATTATTGCGATTTTGTCATTTTAGACTAAAATGCGATTTTAATTTTTGCGATATTGAGAAAAATCCTGTTTAATTAATATAAAAAATTTCAAAATGCGAGTTTGAATTATTGCGATTATAACCCTGTCGCATTTTTCGCAATAATAAATACATCGCAATAATTTCTAAATTTACAGTAGTTATATGAATTTAAATTGAAATTGCTTTAATTATGTATGAGAACTTACATATCTTTTCTGACAGAAAATCCTTCTGACTGTAAAATGTTTCTGTTCACACCTGCCATCTTTTATCTTTATTTTCCTGCTATACCATTATGGATAATAAATATCTGAAATAATGATTTTATTATTGATCTGATCAGATCACAATAATTTGATTGACAGCAATCATAAATGTACCAAAATGGTATTTTCATTGTCTTGCTTGATGTATATGTACACTGGGACTATTCCCCAATGCTTTTTGCATTGATAATTTGGTTTACAATTATGTCTGCATTCAGGGTTAATGCCATAAAATGTCAAGCATGACTTTATCAGAGAAAACAAACAAAATCAGTACCAGTATTTTATGAGTATTGGTCAGGTAAAATACCACACATATTGTTTAAATAAATCAAATTTCACAATTTTAGCTGTGGGGAAAACAAATATGGACAAAAAACCCTTCTATAAAAATTCAGAGAGCAAAAATAATATTAAACTTTCCATAATTGTCATTTATTACCATGCAAATTTTGATATTTATACATGTAGGCATAAAATATATAGGAAGGCCAATATTAATGTATATATTTGAATACACTATTTAAAATGAAAGAGCAATCTTTTGTACTTTTGTTTTATTTGATTCTAATTTTTGCCAATTGTCTCTGAATTTTTATAAAAATCAAAAAGTGCAAGAGTGAGCGTTTAAGGATGATAAGAACTGCTGGCATGAAACCTGCTTAGAATTATTTAGGAGACATAGTGTGAGAAAATTCAAAAATGAGGAATATGGCTTTAGAAACTTTTGAATATTAAACAATTCAGCACCTGTATGGTCATCAAATTTAGTCTATTCCAAAAATTATAAATAATATTTTCAGTACAACAATATCATAGGAATTATACAGGTGATAACACAGAACATAGAGTATGGTAACATTTATATAAATTAGCCACTACTTTATGGAACAGTCTTCCAGTTCACTATTTCTAGCTTAACTTTCAAATAAGAATTTAATGGCCATTATCACAATTTATCACAGTTAAAAAAATGTTAGGAGATTCATATTTTCTTTTTAATTTACACATAAACATTTGTTTATGACATCAAAATTAGCATACATTTCAATTTTACACACAATTCAACGGGCTAGTTTCAATTTTTTTTAGGACTATAAACATATAGCGCAAGGATTAACAAAAGAGATCTTCCAATATAAAGTTTGTTATAACAAATCTGACTTAAATATTTAGTTGTCCAATTCTGGAGTCATTTTCAAAAAAAAAAAACTTACGACTAAGATTGGTCGTAAGTATACTAAAGTGTTCATGACTTACGATCAATCTTAGTCGTAAGTTTTTTTGTGAAACCAACTCCTGCTCTCTGTGTCCCAGGTCAATGTGTGGTTGAAATTCAAACGATTTTGTTAACATCAACTAAAATCTCTTTTTTAGGCCTATTTGGGATAAAAACGACAACGCATTATAAACAAAGCTCAACAAATTTGGATCTATTTCACTTTCTCAGATGTTTATGCATCATCTTGAAAGACTTTTCATCTTGAAATAATGGGCCTAATATGGGAATCACATCACATTTCCTTATTAATACTGAAAGCCACATAATGCATGAACCACTTGTACTATAAAAAACTTCTGCATTCCTGGAATATTTTATAAAAATTGTTCTGCATGTAGATTAAAAAAATTACTCACTTAATAAATACCACTCTTGTCAGTTGTTAATTGCAATATTACAAATGATAAAAACTTGTACATGTATTTATTTTATTATTGTCTTACTACTGTAAATTCAGAAATTATTGCAAAGTTTTTATGAATGTGAGGATCACAACAATAAGGACTTGCATTCTGATATCTGATACATATATCTGTATCTAGCTTTTCCTGAAATTGCAATAATTAAACTCGCATTTTTGTTCATTCTTCAAAAATCAAAATAGTACATGCACGAAATAATTTCTGAATTTACAGTATTTCTAAATACCTTTATAGCTGCATGTCTGATAGAATCTATTTAAATGCTCTAGATTTCCTCTCTTATATATCAAAGGTTTTAATCAAATAAACTGTTGACACAGAGATATGTCTCACCTTACTTTTATGTAATTTGGATAGTATAATGCAAATGTTGAAATCAAAATGGCAATATTTGAACTACGCAAAACATTTAAAGTAAAAAAACCATGACTGAAGGTGCAGGGCCAAATAACCTCCATGAAAAATGAGAAATGCCAATGCTTATAAAACTGCATACCAAATACCATTGACTTATCGTAAGTGGTTCCATTTAAACTTATCTTAATCCAAACTTTAACATGTAAATTATGCAAAAGTTGCAGAGTAAATGAACCATAATGAGGGGGCGGGCCATATAATCTCTATTTAAATAAGAATTGCACATGCTAATACAACTACATACCAAATAACATTTCTTAACTATTCAATTTGATTTTTGGTGTTTTAACGCCACTTTTAAGCACCGCTTTTGGGCTATTTTGTGGCGGCCAGTTTTTATGGGTGGAGGAAGCAAGAGTGCCCGGGGAAAACCACCAATCTTCGATAGGAAAACTGACAATCCTAGTCAATTAAGATTGGAATCAAGTGCACCCGCATGAGCAGGGTTCGAACTCACAACCTCAGTGCTGACTGGCTAGTGATTACAGTAGTAACTACTTAGACCACTCGGCCACCGAGGCCCCACTTAACTATTCAAAGTCAATAGACTATGACTGAGGGGGCAGGTCGAATTATCTCTATATGGAAATGAGATGTGCCAATGCTAATACATCTGCATGCCAAATATCATTGACCTACCACTAGTGCTTTTCCATAAATTGACCTTATCACAAACTCGAACATTGTTGCTGCCGCCACCATCAGAAACACCACGCCTACGTGTTTCTTTTTCAACACAAGACAAAAATGTGTTTTGAATATTATCTTGTGTGCCTCCTCTCAACTGAAACATTTTTAGTTGGTGCAGAGCATCTGTGAGGAAACCTAGACAAATGATCAGCTAGGCTCTTTCCTTATGAGCTGTTTTCAGGAGCTCATACAGTACTTTATACATTGCATGGCTGTTTGTACCTTATGAGCTGTTTTCAGGAGCTCATACAGTACTTTATACATTGCATGGCTGTTTGTACCTTATGAGCTGTTTTCAGGAGCTCATACAGTACTTTATACATTGCATGGCTGTTTGTACCTTATGAGCTGTTTTCGGGAGCTCATACAGTACTTTATACATTACATGGCTGTTTGTACCTTATGAGCTGTTTTCAGGAGCTCATACAGTACTTTATACATTGCATGTTTGCTTGTACCTTATGAGCTGTTTTCAGGAGCTCATACAGTACTTTATACATTGCATGGCTGTTTGTACCTTATGAGCTGTTTTCGGGAGCTCATACAGTACTTTATACATTACATGGCTGTTTGTACCTTATGAGCTGTTTTCAGGAGCTCATACAGTACTTTATACATTGCATGGCTGTTTGTACCTTATGAGCTGTTTTCAGGAGCTCATACAGTACTTTATACATTGCATGGCTGTTTGTACCTTATGAGCTGTTTTCAGGAGCTTACAGTACTTTATACATTGCATGGCTGTTTGTACCTTATGAGCTGTTTTCAGGGGCTCATACAGTACTTTATACATTGCATGGCTGTTTGTACCTTATGAGCTGTTTTCAGGAGCTCATACAGTACTTTATACATTACATGGCTGTTTGTACCTTATGAGCTGTTTTCGGGAGCTCATACAGTACTTTATACATTACATGGCTGTTTGTACCTTATGAGCTGTTTTCAGGAGCTCACACAGTACTTTATACATTACATGGCTGTTTGTACTGGTTGTTTCAATTTCTAAATAGTGAATGACATATGAGATGTGTAGGAAAGAAATCATCCTTATGCAAGTGCAGGTATACATGTACATGTATAAGGCTTTGATTGATTTTGGAACATTCAAATACGAAATAAAATATGGATTTTGACCTGTGTTGTTAGGTTTTTATAACAATTCAATTTTTAAAACAGTTATACAAACTTTCCATAGTGATTTTTTCAACCCAAAATAGGTTAACAGATCTATTGATATTCATTTGCATAAGGTCGATTTCTATCCGAAGCAGCTCATATCTTGTGTTATTTGTTTAGTACATTTCTGATAAAAGCTATTCACAGCTCTTATTTTGTAATTGTTTGAACATGTGTAACTTTTTGTGTTGTTTGGTTGCTGGATGGCTGTTTAATGTCCAGTGGCAAATTAAATGCATATTTAGAACAACCATGGCAAGTACCCTGGTTTATACTAGAACGAAACGCTGAGCCAGATTTTTAACGTCCTAAGTCATAAGTTAACAGTCCACAGGATGGCATGTCATCCTATTGAACACATTATTCTGACTCCGATCTGACCAGTCTTTGCTCTTACTCCTTTATGCGGCATGATTAGGGGAGAAGCAACAAATACCAATTTTAAAGTCTCTATTTTTACCAGGCTTGAGTTCGAACCAACAACATTCAGCACTCCAGGCAAACATGCTACCACCAGACAACCTAATCTCTTTGTATACAAATAATATTTTCTGCAGTTCAACCAATTTCATGTTTTATAATTTTCTGTTGAGAATGATTACAAACTTGAGTTATCTCCCATTAGTTTAAGTTAATTTGTTCATCCTGTGGGCTCTGATTGACACTGTTGTCCATTAAACACAATTTTTGGTTATGAAATATTCTAATCTGATCTTATAAATATCACATTTTTTTACTCAAGCTTAAACAAATGTTTTTCAACACCTTTTCATACAAAGACATCAAAATGATTTATATTTCGATATTAAATCTTTTCAAGGCCAGTGTAGTGTATTCATTAACAATCTAAATGTATTAAGTTTGCATACAAAGATAATTATCTTCTAACATACAAATAAATGTTATATATTTGTTTAGTTCTGCATCCAAACTTATTTACATTTTTTTAACATGACAAAAGGCATATGCTACAAAAATCAAGAAAACATGAGTTATCTCCCATGAAAAAACATAAAACGAAGAAGCTTTTAACAAAACTGTTGTCATATAAGTCATTCTTAGGAAAAGAATTTAGAATTGAAAAAAGTGGACAAATATTTTTATAAATCTATTGATAATTAATTGTGCACAGAATCTTTTTTTTACCCAGATATTTTTAAAAGGTATTTCGTCAAAATAAAACATAATTGCATAAACATCAGTTTCAAAAAGTTTATTCTGCTGTGTCCATGCAAGAACACTAATAATTTATATTTATTTCTATGGTACAACAAAAATACCTTTTTGTTATTATAAATTTAATTTGCATGACTTTATATATTTTATGCCAAGAGTTATCTGTCATTTGAACACTTTCTTCTTTATAACCATTTCAAGAAATAACATTATACACCCCAGTTAAGACATTCCTTTTTGATGTATATTAACTTATGAACACATGATTTAACTGTCATAAACATTTTATTAAAACAGCCCTTCAGTTATTCTTCATGGCCATCCAAAGAATCCAGTTTTTCTTTTAAAGCTTTTTTTCTTTCCAGTCTTTTTCTATTCCTCTGTCTTTTTGCCAGTCTATTCTCTAATCCCTCCTGTACTTCCTGAGATCTAAAACTATTTTCTCCATGTATATGATGGTCTACTTCTTCCTGCATCTTCTTCCTTGCTATTTTTCTATTTTGTTCCAAAGATCTGGTTTCATGGCTCTGCCAAAAAGTTCAATAAAAAATTCAATAAATTGTAAAAATAATGTTGACATATTTATAGATTGTACCACTGCATCAAGTGAGACACTATATTCCTCCACTTAACAGTTTTCAAATTTTAAAACATGAGGCATACTGAGTATTAAAAAAAGAATTTGATTGTTGTGAGTAGCGACATATATAATCAGACTCGATAGTTGTAGAAATACAAGACATTTTAAGAATTTTAACGTTCTGTTAATGTGTGTTCAGCCTTCGATATGTCATCATCCATGTTGTTTGTGCTGTGTGGATGCAGTAGAATGGAATGTGTCCCTGTGCCTGTGGTGTATGCCCTTATATTTTACAGTTAGGGTTTTCTGCTTGTGTGAGAGCTGTCTACATCTTCTATTTCTGGTGGAGAGTTGTCTCATTAGTAATCATACCATATCTTCTTATTTTTATATGCATCTTTTTTCAAGATGCCACAACAGAATTTATACCAACGAAGAACTGAAAACATGTAAACCACACCTTAATTAAAAAAAAAATAATCAATTAACGGAAAATTTAAATTGGCAAAAAATTATAAAGAAACTGTTATAAATATCATAATACAAACAAGTCAGTATTGACAGCACTGAAAGTAATACATATAGAATAATGGCATTTTCTATTTTGATACTGACTTTATCAGCAAGAAGAGCAAGTAAGACCACTAGGGCAAGCTGATATTCGAGACGATGAAGTCAGTATCAAACAAGAATGTGTCCAATGTACACGGATGCCCCACTTGCACTATCATTTTCTATGTTCAGTGGACCATGAAATTGGGGTCAAAACTCTAATTTGGCATTAAAATTAGAAAGATCATATCATAGGGAACATGTGTACTAAGTTTCATGTTGATTGGACTTCAACTTCATCAAAAACTTTAACCAAAAACTTTAACCTGAAGCAGGACAGACGGACTGACGGACGGACGAACAGACAGACGGATGAACGGACGCACAGACCGAAAAACATTTATAATGCCCATAAATGGGGCATAAAAATAAAATGCCATTATTCTTTTTATCAGTCATTTGTTTAAACTGCATGTTTTTTTTTGTTGATATTAAAAATATTAGGCAGTAAGATCAAACGAAAAATGTACAAATTGCCGATAAAACAGTTTAAACAATTTCTATGTGATAAATTCCTAATGAGTAAGTGCAATGCATGTAAGTATGATTAGCATCTCTTTTCAAATCTAAAAATTAGCATAAAAATAGTTTTATGAATAAAATATGTACTTGTACTTTCAAACCTAAAAATTAGCATAAAAATAATTTTATGAATAAAATATGTACTTGTACAGTTTTAATTTTAAGTTTAACATATTCATGGTATGAAGATTGATTGACTGTTTACTGCTTAATGTCACATGGTATTAAAGCATGTTCAGATAGATTGGTTGTTGACTGCTTAATGTCACATGGTATTAAGCATGTTCAGATAGATTGGTTGTTGACTGCTTAATGTCACATGGTATTAAGCATGTTAAGATAGATTGGTTGTTGACTGCTTAATGTGATTATGTCACATGGTATTAAGCATGTTAAGATAGATTGGTTGTTGACTGCTTAATGTCACATGGTATTAAGCATGTTAAGATAGATTGGTTGTTGCTTGATAAATTATACATGGTAGCAAGATTGTTAAGATTGATTGATTTTTGTGTGCGTAATGTTCCATGGTATGAAGATGCATTGATCCTTGTTTGCTTAACATTTCATGGATGCACCAAAGAGACAGTAACCTAACAATTAAAAAAAAAAGAAAAGACAACTAACTTACCCTTACAACAATTCCAGTAGGTAAATGTTTCAGCACACAACAGTTATTTGTCTTTGCCACTGCTTGACCCCCGGGTCCTCCACCTCTAACAAACTGTTCTTGTAAATCACTTTCCAATAGATCTGGAAACTTGTATTGTTTTCGCGAGATCAATCTTCTTGTCTGATAAAATTGACTTTCACAAGCCAGGAACTTAATGTTTGTTAAACTTTTTTCAAGATTCTTAGTAACTGGTCCACAGAGTTGTGAATAAAACTTAATTCTGTTAGTCATCCATAAGTTCGAATTATAATTTCTTACGGTATGAGAAGAAGTTAGTTTATATGTCAAGCGACTATAGTTGGTTACACTTCTGAACAATCGTACACAAAATTCTGATAATAATGACATTTTTTTCAATTCTGAAACATCAGCATTCAATATTTTTGCAAATCATCAGACATACATATATTCTACAAGAGGTGAACAGTACCATCTTAACGGGCAGAAGTTCTTCTTTACTCATGTAGTTTGTACAGTAAAGAGAGTCACACTTTCTATGTGTTAAACTTCTGAATCATTGTCAAACATTCAATTTACTTGTGGATATATCAGAAATTTCACTGTCATAAGTTCATAACAAAAGTTATTTTGTGAAAGTTCTTCTGATAATTGATGCAGTAGAAAAGGTGTAAAATACTCACAGTGCTGTTGATATTATCAATACAACATCCTAATGAAAAAGAAAAAATAATATTATAATCTCAATATGGCTGGACTCAAGTTATATGGTAGCTCTCCACATGTATTTTACAGCATATATTCATGTACAGGATTATGATGATGGGTGGCTGTTTATTGTCCAGTGGAAAATTAAATGCATTTTAAAAACAAGAAAATGTTAATATGATGTAAATATGAATCCTGCTTTGTACTAGACAGTCGCCCTGAGCAGGATTTTTAACAAGCTTATTCACAAGGTATAAAGACATGTCTGTAGTAAAACATGTCATCCTACCGGGACAGATTATTCGGTCTCCATGCCCACCAGTCTTTACTCTTACGCCTAAATGCTACATGCTAAGTGGAGAAGCAGCAAATACAAATATTGAAGTCATTTGTTTGACCAGGCCATTACCTTGTAGAGTTTTCTTAATGCAACATTGACTTGTTGTACAGATATTCCACTGTACATTAAAGCGCTGTACGAATTACTGTTAGATACTAATTTATTGATGATAGAAAAGTAAAACGTCTTCATTTTTCTCCAAGTTTGTGCCCCAACAGTAGATTTTGAGTTCTTAAATCTAAATCATGATGGTTTTCCCTTGCAAATACTTTGTCTTTCAAATCCATGTAACCTTTTTTATGAGGTGAGTTTTTTTCTGTGAATTTTGGATGCTTATTCGCCTTTTCAGAATCTAAAGGACTCTATATGGGTAATATTATTGTTCGTACACCAAAATAAAAATAACATTACGTTATTGGTAGAATTTCCATTGTTTATAACGTTTTTGATCAATTACAACGTTTTGGTGTACGCTTTTGAAAATATAACCCAGAATGCATTAAATTCTGAAACGGCGAATTCTTATCAATGTTTCTAAAACAACGAATTAAATTTACATTGTTATCTGCACTGTCTACTGTCATGAAACAATAAAAAAAAACTAATTTATAGCAATACACTGTCACTGACTAAAACTAGATTAAAAAAGTATTCAACATATAACCAATAAAAAGGGTGCGAAAATGAAAGTGGGCGAACATGAATTGGAGAGAACGTCAGGGGCGGATCCAGGATTTTGGAAAGGGGGGGCGTAGTATGTAAAATTTTTTCTTACCTTTTTTGGGCTAAAAAACATAAAATAAGTGTAAAATGCACATTTTTAACGATTCCTGACGTGGGGCATGTATATTTTATAGTTAAAGTGTAAGCTAGGGTTGGACATTTTTGATGCCGCATTCTCCCCATTAATTGTCTATTATAAAATGATTGAATGGATCCAAAGTTATGTACTAATATATTTGATGTGGGATTTGTCAGTAAAAAATGGACATATGGAAAATTCTCGTTTGTTGTATGGTTAATAAGAATAACCTCACAGATTTCTTGTTGTAAACATGATATACGGCTATTCAATGAAGTTTATAATACGATCGACACGAACAAAGACAAACAAGCAATTTTTATCCAATTGTTTGGTTGAAATGTTTCACCCAACAAGGGAAGTGAGGGGTTCCAAATCAACCAAAGGCTACGAATGAGTCTGAAAATCAAATGACAACGAAGTTGTGAATGACGGTCGACAAATGGAGACATAAAGGCCACACCCAGCAGGCAGGTTGCAGTTGGGCCTTGAAAAAAGTATTCAGTGTATCAGTTCGGCGAAACAGACATTCCTGTCAGATATGGGATTTACATGCAAATCCCCCAAAAAAATTACGCCTGTTTTTTATTCACCATTTTCATTTAATGCTGAATAATTTTGTTGGATTTCTTTTTTTTCTTATTTCAAAAAAGGGGACACGATAATTGTTTTCAATACAGATACGGCCAGAATTTTTGTTTAAGGCAAAAACCAGGGTCAAAATTTTTTCTCTAAAATATCTCAGACTGCCCTATCAAATCAAATGGTCCGTACCTTAGACTTTAAATCTATCTAGAGCTTACTGACTGGGGATCATTATTCAGCAATGTTATTAATTGGCTGGGGCGTGTGGGGTTACACATATTTTCGTAGGTGAATAATATTGCTTTGGAACTTTTTTTTTCATGAGAGTGTAATAGAGTATTACTTTCTGTTGAGTGGAATTGTGAAATAGAAGTCAATACGTTCTTGCTCAATCCTTTGTCGCTTTGAAGGCGTCATGCTTGTCATCTTCCGCCTAAGCAATGTGTTACTGTAATTTGAATTTCAAATTGCATGACTGAGTGTCGTTTTTTCGATGTACTGATCAACTCCACCGTAGCCAGGGGCGTAGCTGGCCTAAAATAAAGTGCAAGCATAAGACTTGTATCGCCGATCGGAGGGAGGCGAAAAATTTTTGGGACCTTTTTATGCAGAAAATTTTCATTTTTCTGTCATTTTCCAGGTATGCCATGAAATTCACATTACTCCTTAATAACATGGTTGTTTTCAAAAATAAAATAAATTTTATGAAACGGCAAGATCAGTCGACAAGTCCTCCGAGGCGTTTATCAATAGAAGGGCAATCAATGGACACATGACCAACCCGGGAACAGATAAGACACAAAAGAACTAACAAAAACATTCAATATTGAAAACTAAATACAGTTAAAAAACACGAACCCTGAAAAAAAATGTGGCGACCTCCAGTGTTCCGAAAGGGTGAGCAGGTCCTGCTTCTTGCAAGACACCTGACCGTAGCGTTTCTCACTACGGTCATTTTCGAATCGAGGGTGGGATTTCTACGACAACGGTAGAAGGTCACTTGGGACACAGATACCCAAGGTGAATCAATAGTCTTTTAGACGAACGGACAATGGAAATACGAAATCAAACGGCGACTTTTAAGTCTTGACTTATAAGTGAGGGATATAAATCTAAGATGTGTTCAAGGTTATTGCATGTATTGAGCCTTTATTATTAAATGTTAATACTGCATGTAAGACTTATAGTATAGTTAATATCCAAAGTCCATACATCTATTTTTTGCCAAGGCAAATGATTGCAGAGCTCTCTCGGTGTCGATATTCATTTCTCTGTGAACATGCATGAGCGCCAACGAAGATAGTCCGTCCTGTACCATGGTTGAACGGAGATAAGTTTTTGGTCGCCGTTATGCACTAAATGACCATTCAGTAGTTGATGAAGTTACTGGCATTGTAACTATAGAATTGACACGATTTCAAATATTGAAGGATATAGTTCCTTATTAGTCACTGCTAGAGACGACATCAGAGATTTGGGCTTCTCTATAACATCTGGACCCGACCAGCGTCTCTGCCATCTCTTTACCTCAGAGTTGTATGTTCCTTGATTGTCCGTCAAGTCGTGTCTAAATGTTTCGTATAGTTTGTCTATACACTCTGCTGTCAAAGATTCCAAACATGCAGGTAAAAGGTTCAGAGTTATCCAGTAAACGTCCTCTGAGTTCTTCAATGAAATAGTCAAAAAAGGAGAAATACAAGGCTCGCTTCCAATACTGACTTGGAGTGTCAGCTAGATAGTTAGCCCGGTTGACCTGTCTTACTACTCATTCGTAATTCAATTTCAGAATATTTTTTTTGTGAAAATAATGTGCAAGCAAATGATTTTTGGCGTAAAGGCAGCTACGCGCCTGGTAGCGAATCACATGACTTCAACATAATCAATAATATATTACAGTAAATACGAGCGAAAAATATCTTTATAAGTTAAGAATTGACGCATAAAAATTAAATACACTGCCGGGAAATGGCAAAGTTCACTAAGTCTAGTCTGATTAATAATTTTACAAAAAAAAAAAAAAAAGTTCAAGCAAAGGGGGGCGTACGCCCTCTACGCCCCCCTCTGGATCCGCCACTGAACACGATTTTGGGCGAATTGACCCTGATTCAGCTTGCTTCGGGATATGGCCAGGTTTGGTCCAAATAATTATGACACCTTGAAAGACTATTTTATGTTTTTGCTTTGACGCCTTTCAAGACGTCATAATTATTTGGACTAGGCTGGGTTTTGATCCTTGTTGTCTAATGTTGAGCTGTACACAGTACAGTGACCTATACTAGACTAGTTGCTAACTTTAACATCATTTGGTTTCTGGTGGAGAGTTGTTTCATTGGCAATCATATCACATCTTCTTTTTTTTCATTTTATCAACACCAATCTATACCTATATTGTTGTGTCTCTATTTTTTTTATAATTATCTCCCTTGTCACAATGTAATATTTTTTTTCTGGTCTTCCAAGGTTGATTTATTGAATACCAATCAATATGTGTGCTTTAATTTACCCTCAAGAAAATGGGGTCTTAATAAAAAGAAATCAGACATTGGATAAAACTGTAACAGATGGAAAAATTAATATTTCATGAGATTTTGTGGGAATCAGCGAGCAGCACCTGTCTAATCTGTTACAAGCGTTTGTCTAACCTTGATTGTTAGTAGAATTAGAAGCGAGTTTATTATTTGTTTTGATAACGAAAACGGATTACAAACCACAAAATGATATCATTTGTACTATTTTGTCAATTAGTTATCAACAACACTTGATCTGCACGTGACAAAAATCCTTTTCCATTCTGTAGGTATGGCTGTTCATGAATATTTGTTGTGAAAAATAACGGTTAACGCGCCTCTTCAAACGCAAGTTTTGACCTGAACTTTAAATTTTTATGTTTGTGATTTAAGTCAGTTAAATACTGCAATTTTTTTTAATTTTGGTCCTGTTATATACATTGTTTCATTATACGATATTACATGGTAAGTGCACTTAATGTTGTGTTCAATGTTATGTCATGTGTTTTGTATTTTGGATTTTGTCCATGTTGTCCATTGCATGTAGTCAATTTAATAATTATTACATCTTGAAAGGCTATTTTAATTTTTTGCTGTTACGCTTTCCTAAATTAATCTCTTTTGTTTCTAAAGTTTTGTTCTCAATGGACTCTAATTGTTGTGCAATATCTAGATGTTAGGCAGACTTTAAAAACTGTATCTGTTGTATAGTTTGGGTAAGATCCTAATAAATGGATTCTATCCTCATTTATGCAGGGCTGCCAAGTCTCACGCATTGAGCGTGAGACTCACGCATTTTCATGCTTATTTGGCGGCATTTTCCTCTTTGATCTTTACGATTTTGGCCAAATCTCACGCATTTGCATTATTAAAAGTTGGCAGAACTGTTTATGGGTATTATGTAACCGGAGAGCATGATTTTCATTAGAGAATCACATGATCTCCTCTGGGACTCGAACCTGGGACCTCTGTGTTGCATTAGGCAGCACTTTATTTTACCGACAGAGATAAAGAAGTACTTCCCTAGTTCATTGTACAAAATGTAGCTCAACCACTTACGTCTGGCTAAGTATCTACTATGTGTACTAAGGAAAGCAATCCTGTCACACTTCAACCACCTCAAGAGTCATCATACCATTATGACTCAAACAACACATACCCTGGCTAGAAATCCTCTAACCACTGGGTTTTTAAATCGTTGGACACCAAATGTAACCAGAGAGCATGATGTTCACTACACAATCACATGGTCTCCTCTGGGATCTCTGTGTTACAAGGCAGTGCTTTAACCGACTCACAGAGCTAAAGAAGTATTTTCCTAGCTCAACCGCTTACGGTTGGCTAAGTATCTACTACGTGTACTAACATGACTAAGGGAATCAATCCTGTTACAATTATACCCCAAAATAGATATCAGTGATAAAGATAAAAAATTTGGATTTCAAGATGTTTGCTGTCTATCATGGCGCAAACATTCAGGTAAATGACGACATTTTACCCCAAAAGCATAATGAAAAGACCATGACTGAAATATCTTCATGGTGAAAGTTAAAAGCCTTCAAAAAGTAGGATTTTTGGAGTCTTTATCTTTGTATTCAGTTCTCATTTAAACTACATGTATGGTCTTAAGGGCATAAGATACAGTTACAGTGGAGGTAATGATGTCGCCAACATATTATGTTATTGTTTTACAACGCCAAACTGTGACATATTGGGAAAAGATGCATTTTTCTACTCATTTTAATCATTAGCTTGAAAATGAGTGCTGTTAAAATGACATTTGACTTGATTATAGATGAAGATTATTTATACCAATTTTTATGAGAAAGTCAGCGATTGAAATGTTTTTAATTTTACTAAATATATACCACAAAAATTGCTGTTTTTATTTGAAATTATGATGTTAATAAAAATTAATTATTTCCAAAGAATTGTAGAACAAATTAAGGGCATACTTGTGCAAATAAGGTACATGTGTATTCCAAATTTCGACCCAATTTATCTCTAAAAGTACACATGAAGGTATATATTTTATTACATATATTTGAATTGACAGGGTGTAAAAAAGCTTATATATAATGCAAATTTTTCTTAAAAAAGATCACTGTGGGATCAAACTGTATGGTATGCCCTGAAGAGGGAAAAATGTTCCCCTTTATATGAATGTTTGCGCCACATCATTCATTATGGTGAAATACATATTTCAGTTTTTTATCACTGCAGATTGATACCTGTAAAAAGGTCCCAACCCATATAAATGTATAGATGACTTTCAAATTCTTGCATTTTCCTGTACATTTCTTACATCACAATGCTTATATGTTATTATTTCACAGTAAGAACTGATTTTTCAATGACGCTATTTATGCTGATTGACATTGGGTTTACCGGTGTTACTTATTCATAAAAATGTTTGAGTTTGCAGTAAATTTCAATTGCTTAAATACAACATGTTTGTTTTCATTTGCATATACTTTCAAATTCATGTAACTGACACATGACTGATGGCATTAGTGATTTTTCTGTGAATTTTGGTTGCTAATACATGTATCATGAATATAAGCAACATTGCCATGATTGCACATACAACACGTGAAATTTGGACACATTATCAACTGCCCTTGCTACTGTATCATTTGCACTTAAAATTTGTTCTAGGCTATATATACATGCATTTCCCAAACATAAGTCTCACTTAAGGATTAAAACCACCTTTACACTCTTGACATGCTGAAAGAGATCTTTACCCAAGAGACTACTTTCTGTTTATCTCATAAGACTATCAACTCTCATGTACTGTAAATTCAGAAATTATTGCGTGCATTTATTATGGCAATTTTTGTAGAACATGTAGAATGGACAAAATGTGAGTTCCATTATTGCGATTTCAGGAAAATCTGCATACAGATATATGTATCAGATTTCAGAATGCGAGTTCTTATTCATTTGTTATTTATATTGCGATAATCACCAAGTTGCATTACCATGATTACTCAAATTAATAAAAACCTCGCAATAATTTCTGAATTTAAAGTATCTAAAATCTACATGTATCTCAGACCATGTCACTCTCTTTTATCACAAATCAGAGCAGACCTTAAACGTTAAAGCAACACATTTTTCAATCTTCAAATTCAGTCATGATTTTTAGTAAATACTGCAAAACTAAGGTTAATTACACTTTCAAATTTATTACAACAAAATCTGAAAATAGTTCAAATGATCAATAACGATGACCATTCATTAATTCTAAAGAAGTTCCATGTAAAAATGTATTAGGACTATCAAACGATATATGTTCAAATGTACATGATGTAGGTGCTAGGTAAAACCCTGAGGCAGATGCATTTTTAATGACGCACTCCTCAACTCATGACCTTTACGTGAATATAGATCCGGTGTTTACTGCTAACCTGATTTATCACACTTTTTGGTTTATTGCTTTATACATATATCATGTATATAGATGGGATGAATAATGCACAAACATTTACATTTTTAGTTTAATACTGGCAGATAATTAAATTTTACTAACTATTACTTTTTTTCTAAAATATTGTCATACATGTACATGCATGACATGTGTAAGTACTCTCGATTAAAAAAATCTCTCTAATTACATGAAACTGAGAAAATGATTTAATAAATCTTTTTAATTATTACAAGGAATGTGTAGCCATTCAACATGTTCAAAAACTAAATAACAAATATGTATCTTGAGGTTTATTTTAGATTTGACCTTGAACTTTTTCTTCATCTAAAAGTTCATTTGCAAGACAACATTTTGTTATTGATCTTTCCTAACCGGAATTTGGATACTGTGAAATCAACATGATTTACATTCATTAATTAGAAATTGATGGTTAAAGTGAATTAGATCATTGAACATGTTGAATTGGAATGAAATTGATTGATAAACATGATTAAGGCAGTTTACTAGCAAGTTATTGTCATTTCCGAACCATCACAAGAAAAGTGTGGGTATTCGTACATTGTATTTTAGTAAGGATTTGTTGTTTATGTATGAACTGTTTAGTCTCCAGACCATAGCCATGATGTCTCTGAGGGGGTTAATTAGGGGCCATGACACTCTGTCTTTAATAGCCCAACTTCAATCTAAATTTCAACTTTACTTAGTAAATTTTTGTTTTCAGGGTGAGAGGTCCTCCGAACATCAAAACCTCTCTGGCTATATGTGTGGTCTCTGACCAATGGCCATACAATCTTGCATAATATTTAAATTGTATTCTGTTTGAAATTTCAGCAAACTGTAAAAGTCCATAATCACATTCGATCAAAATTTTAATGGTAAAACATTTGCATCATGGCATTCATGAAAATTCACCTTTTAAAATACTATCTATAATGAGCAGACATTTTCCCATACTCATTAGCAAGCTCCAACTTGCATTATGCCTAGACAAATCTCCTGTTTTAATGAAAAAATGGTGTATTACAATCACTGGAATGTTTAGATACATGTACATTTTGAATAATGCTTGTAACATTTTAATTTAAGACCAAAATATCTTTAAAGCATGATAACTTACATATTTTGTATTATTAAACTTCATGTCAAAATGCCAGATTTTGATTGGTCAATACCAGGGAAACAATTTACTCTATCCCATGGCAAATACTCTATTACCCTTTACGGAGACGGTTGCTCAAGTGTCACTTTAATAAATACATATGATTGTTATGTACAAGACGTCATAGTTTATAACTTTGAATTTAAAATTTGATAGACAGTAATAACAGAACATTCAGTATAATCATTGATAATAAATCAAATAACACATAGCTGAGAGGGTGATAGAGCAGATTGTTACCCCTCGAAAAGACATTGTCAACCTTGGCTTCGCCTCAGTTGACAATGTTTTCTCGGGGTAACAATCTGCTCTATCATCCTCTCAGCTATGTGTTATTTATATAATGATGTCAAAGGGGCCTTGATGGCTGAGTGGTCTAAGAAGTCGAACTACTGTGTCACTAGTCTATCAACACTGAGGTTGTGAGTTCAAATCCCACACGTGGTAGGTGTGTTTGAATCCAATCTTAATTATCTAGGATTGTCAGTTTTCCTTCCGAAGGTCAGTTGATCTCTCTGGGTTTCTGCTTCCTCCACCAATAAAACTTGACTGCCACGAAATAGCTCGAAGTGCTGAAAGTGGAGTTGAACACCAATCAATAAATCAATCAATAATTATGTCACACTATGTTACAAGCTGTATCAAGATAAAACAATAAAATATTCTTTGCCTTTTATCATATTTTTTGCATTCAACTTGTTGACGGTAGAAAATGTCTCCAACATTCATTTTCTAGTAAGGTACTGTAAATTCAGAAATTATTGCGATGTTTTTATTATTGTGAAAAATGCAACAGGAGTTATAATCGCAATAATTTAAATTTGCATTTTGAAATTTTTTATATGAATTAAACAGGATTTTTCTCAATATCGCAAAAATTAAAATCGCATTTTAGTCTAAAATGACAAAATCGCAATAATAAACTTATGCACGCAATAATTTCTGAATTTACAGTATTCATGGATCAATCTAATATTTTAAGCAAAGATCATGAAGATAAATACATATATATATCATCATTTACAAAGTGTTCACTTTTTTCATTAAATATAATCAGGGACTCTACCGTACTACAGATTCACCAGGTCTTGGTTCACTTTCGTTTAAATAAAATATGAACTAAGTAAATAATCTTTTACAGTGATGCTTTACCCTTAAATAAAATAGACAAAACTACAAAAATCCCACTAATCTTAGGAATATGTGACCATGAATTTGTTATAACATGGAAGTATTATACTGTCAGTAGAATACTTCCATGTTATAATTACCATCATTGTGACCATTATCTGAAACTGTAGGAATTTACAGCTATACAACTTTTAATTCCTCATCATATTTCTTTTATTTTTTATCAATAGAAAATCTATTCTATCCTTTATTATAACCACTATATAATGATATATATCCAAATTATCAGTCTTTTCAGAGTTTTACTAAAACTTTGAAGAAGTCATTTGATTTTTAAGAGTTGAAGGCAGGGATTTCATTGTAAGAGGAGCTTGTATTGCTATAAAAATCTTTTTAAATTATATTAATCTGACAGAAGAGTAGACAGCCAAAATCCTGGAAATTTTTTTAAGCTGTATTAATCAATCAGATCTAAAGACACATTATATGTTTGTAATAAATTTTATATCACTTAGCTCTTAGAATTTATTTTGATTCCCAATTTGTGTGTTTGTAATTTTTTCCTCTACATTATCATGATTATGTCATGTATGTTTATTAAGGGAGATAACTGATGTCAAAATAAAAATTTGAGACTCAAAATGATCATGATGATTTTATAAAACATTAAAAACGATCATCATTTTGTATTTTTATACATTTAAGGCAATAAGGAAATCATTGCTTTGACTATCAGAAATTAGAAGATAATTCTTACTCTTTAAAGCGAAACTAAGATGGACTAAAATGTAGACACACAAAAAATGTGTAACAGTAAAGTTTGTAACCTAGGCCACAGAAACAATGGGGAAGTCAGATAATTTCTACAGCATGTATAGTTCTCTAATTTTCAAGTCTTTATGTTTAACTGACCAATATTCAAGTAGAATAAATATTTTGTATTGACAGTTTTTAGATTCTTTGTCAGTTCAAATTAAAGTTTAATCCCCATGTAATGATATTCATGATAACGTATAACAAGATGGGTGTTGATAGATGTCAAGCTAAAGTTGAACTTTAATGTAGACTTTATTGTCATTTAAATTCAGAAATCACTTTATAAATGACAAGATTTATTACTTGGTCTTTTATTAATCTAGATAAAAGATAGAGTTTAAATGGCCATCAGTTCTGTTAAGACAAACGTTAGATAAAATGTCTTAAACAAGTTTAAAGTTGATGTTTTCCCAACAAGCTTAGCATTCTCAGGTATGTCATGTATGTTAAATATTTTAAATGACGATCCAAAACCTACACATATAGATCTTTATTTTAACAACTTATATTCTTGATAGCAAAAATACAGCTTTATGCTTCATTTTGTTTTTCTATAATTTAAAAAGCTAATAATTTTCTTGATCACTCTGTGAACACAGGTTAAAAAAATGTACTGTTTTAATATCCATTAAATTGTAGCACTGTGATTGTTGTAACTATGGTTACATGATACTAATTTAGGGGTGGGGGGATGGAAGAAAGATCCAGGGAAAAGGACAAAACACTTTTTTTTTTCTCACCTAAATCAGTTAATTATTAAGTACCTATATGACCTTTAACAATTGATATATATATAAAACCCATCGGAACCATACATGTAATAAGGTAGGATAAATAAAATGAGAATTATTTAGAGGGATCAATTAAGTATGGTCTATAGTATTAAAAATATATAATAAAAACAAAAATATACTGAAAAAATAACCAAAAAATATTGAACTATAAAATTAAAGTAATAACTAGTTTTGATAGAAATCATGTTTACTATAGCCTTTAAGTAAAATCACCTAAATCCTGTTAGTACTCATTCCATGTTTGCTTGTTTTTTGGGGGAGAGGGTTATTGTTGAAATAATGTCCTAAGATCAGTCAAGGGTGTAACTTGATTAAGTTATTAGAGAAAAATAACATACATGTGTTATTATGGATACTTTCTCTTAATTTGTAGTAACATATGTTTTTTATCAGTTAAATGTACCATAAATTTTTTTATTTTCAGTGGGCACTTGGGAATTCTTGAAACTTGCGCAGTAACTTAATACATAACCTTGAAAACTAATTTTCCAATTAAATTAATACATTTTTGATCAACCATGGTAAATCAATGAGACAAGGCTTTTAAGTAATAACTTAGCTGTAATAACAATGCTTAGTTATTACAGGCATTTAACTTATTACATGAGACATTTGGGAATGACTTAAGGAAGCTTGCGCAGAACCTCATTACATGCTCTTATCATTATTTATTACAATAAATTAAAATACATTGTGATATATGTAGGAGAAAAGGCTTTGAAGAGATGTAGAGAAGCTGTAATAACACCCTTTAGTTATTACAGGCATACTTTTTCTGTAATAACATGGGTGTGTTATGCATGATTGGCAAACTATGGGCTGTTATATCTTTCTAAAGTTTAATATACATAAAGACAATTATAATATCAATAGAACTAGTACACGATTTAACAAAATAAAGGATGTATAATGCCCCTTTGAAACATGTAACATACATATGTTATCACAGATTTTTGATTTTTTAGCCCTCAATAACAAATGTGTGTTATTTTTCTCTAATAACTTATTTAAGTTAGACCCTTGACTGAAGATAATTGATTAGATTGATTGATTGTTGGTTGCTTAATGTCTAGTGGCAAATATTTTATGCATATTCAGGACAATAATTGATTAGAAGATTTGGAAAGATAAACAATGCTAAAATTAACAATCAATCAATCATTTTTTAATAGTTTAAAATTACAAAATTGTATCTTGAAAGAAGATTCCCATGATAGTAACAAATAATCTGAGAAAGATTACAAACCTCAACTTTTGAATTTCATTTTTTAGTTGTATTTCAAAATATCTGGCAAGGACAGTATATTCAAATGAAGTATATACACCGCTGATTATTTCTGATATATATATATTCTTTTTTTTTTTAAATTGGCCAACACTAGTAAGGGTCACCATCTTCTGTTGGCCTGTAGATATTTTCAAATGTCAATATTTTCTTGACCCACTGCCATTTTGGTATTTTCCAGTATTTATATTAATTTCTACCTTTGTGAATCTCAAGCTTTTACAGTTATTAGTATTTATTTATTTCCAGAAGAATGGAGTCTCCTCCATTGGAAGAATCTAATCAGGTAGAAGATATTGGTGCAATCGGAGACACTTCCAAAACAACAAAGACAACAGAGCAAGACACTGAGTCCTCTAAAGACAGGACTGAAATTCAGCAAGACAGTGAGTCCCCTAAAGAAATTAAAACTGAGGATCAAGGAGATACTGGGCTTTTTAAAGACATAAGAACTGAGGTTCAAGGAGACACTGATCCTTCTAAAGACATAAGAATTGGGGTTCAAGGAGACACTGAGCCTATCAAAGACATTAAAACTGAGATTCAAGGAGACTCTGAGCATTCTGAAGACATCAGAACTGAGAGTCAGGAAAATGATTATGAGAATGACACTTTTGAAGATGAAGGTTCAGAAATAACTGAATCCATAAAGGAAGAGATTCAATCTGAATCTGAAAGCTGTGACAGTAAAACATTTGGCTCTGATAATGGGCAAAATATTGTCACAAGTGAAGTTAAAAAAGATGAGATAGGAATTGTGGATGAAATGAGTGATAGTCATGATAGTAAGCAGAAAGAAGAAATGGAAGGTGATGAAACAAGTCAGCAGTCTGTTAGCATGGTTAAGGCAGTCACAGAATATCATCAGTATGTAAATGTTGAAATCACTACTGATGAGGATGATGATAAAAAAGAATTTATAGTAGATGAAAAGATTACAACAACTGAAACTAAAGCAAGCACAGACATTGGTGCTGTAAAAGATGAAACTAAATCTAAGGAAGAAATAGTTAGTTCAGAGGAAAGCAGTGTTAATGATGATGAAAATGGAAATTTTCAGGAAATATCAGAAGAACTTTTGATGGTGAAGCAGAAAACTGTTTCTGACCATGTAGATTCTGGAAGTGAAACTAATCAGATCGATGAAAGAAATAGCATTAAATCGGAAGAACATTTTGATTCCTTTGATAGCTCATCGGGAAATGTGCAAAATATAAAAACAGAAGAAATAAAAAAAGATAACTTAGAAGATCAAACTGTGCATTCTGAAAAAGATCCGAATTTAGAAAAACCTGAGAATGAGATAATTGTCATGGAAACTGAATTTAAACCAGAGGAAAGGGAAAATGAAGAAGAAGATGAGGATAAAAGCAGTGCTACTGACACCAGTAATTTGGCAAATATAATCGTCAAACATGTCCTCGATACAGCTGTGTCTACTTTTAATAATGATACTTCCTTTTCTTCTGATGAAGGACTTGAAAATGATGAAGAATCAGTATTAAAAGAAAGGTTGACAACAGAGGTAGATGAAAGTCAAATTAAACATCCAGATGACAAAGATGAGATTGAAATAGATGAAAGAAAAGAATGGTCTCAAACAGTTGTTGATTCATTGACAAGAGAAGAATGCCTGCCCTCTGGTGAGGAAAGTGCAGATGGACAGGAAGTTGAATTTGATGAGAATGGGAACAGGAGAGGAGAGCCTGAAATTACAGCAAATCCAGTTGCTATGGAAATTGCAGTTTCAATGGTTATTGATAGAAAAGAAGCAGAAGCAACTCGGGTAACAGATCAGATTCAGGAAGATATTAAAGAAATTTCTGAGCACATTAGTTTAAACGATACAATTGAAACAGAACAAAATGCTTCAAGAACCGTAGAAAATGGAGATGAACATTTGTCTTCTGAAAATGAGGCAGATATCCAATCATCAGTTGAACCTCAAAAGAAAAACATCTATGAACGACAACAAAGTGAAGAGGCTTGTGGAAGTCAAGGAATGCCAAAACTTGATCCTCTTCCAAATTATCCAGACTATCCAATTAACTATGGAAATTATAAAGTTTGTCGTAAGTTATCTCCCCGTGAAAAAGAATGTATAATCATTGATACTGGTGAAATATTAACATGTAAGGATAAAAGTCAGGAGCAGAAAGAAATACTTCAAGGTCAAGGTGACCCAAGTGAAAATTTTTGCAAACGTTCTAGTACACCCCAACAAACTATGAACAACTCTAGGGAAATTTTTGGAATTGAAAATAATCGTTCTCCACAAAGAAATGGAGAGAGCTCATTTAGAATAATGAAAAATTCATACGATTTAAGGCAGAGCCCTGTTACATCTCCCAGGGACCAGTATAAGGCAAATAATATAACAAGAGATCAAACAGCCAGTAATCCAAATGTGACAGAAAACATTGGTTATGCTCATGTTAATCTTTCACAATCAAAGTACCCAGACGAAGATGCAGGAACATCAAGTGTTCCAGCAAACCAGCATGTTTTGTTCAAACATCATGATGATCATGATTATGAAACAAGCAGACGACAATTAAGAAATGAAGATAATTTACAAAAACTGAACAATGAAAGTGATTTAAGGCATGGAATACAGCCAGGGAGTAGAATGCAACACATGGACCATTCACCATCAAGAAATCTATACAATACACAAGGAGAAATTGATTTATCAGATCCTAGTGTTATGGTAAGATACCAAAGAAACATTCTTTCACAAAATTTACATCAAAATTTTGCAAATGCTTCTGCACCCGAAGTTAGTATGGATCATTCACATTCTACCAATCCATTGAGGATGTCAGAAACAGATACTGCTCTATTGTCACAACTGTATGCCAGATATGGAAACTTGTCCTCACAGAGCAGGAATATGACTGGATCTTACAGTCATGACAGTGATGAGAGAGAGATTTCAACTTCAACAGATGCTATATCAACCCCTCCAAGATCAGGCCCTGTACCTGGTTATAGAACCTTACATGAACAACAGGTAAAACTATACAGTGACTGTAGACATGGTAGAATTTGAATACTGTAAACTAACTTATTTGCATGGATACTTTTTTGGGGGGGATTAGTCCTTTTCAGCAGATTTAGTGCTGATGACCATAATGACTATTCACAATTTTCTAACTTTGTGTATACATCATCATGATCTTGTACATTTTAAGAGGAGATTCAAGTTAAATCCATGCGAGACATATCTCTGTGTCAACAGTTTATTTTGATATTTGGAGATTTTGGTGTTAATGACAAGTCTTTCAATAGATTTTATTTTATATATTCACATCAGATTTATTACTTAAACAAGTGATTTCAGAGTCACTTACATTGTATTATTATGGATTTAAAAAATAGAAAAATGATATCTTAATTTGACACTGAATCTTTTTTTTAGCTCACCTGGCCCAAAAGGGCCAAGTGAGCTTTTCTCATCACTTGGCGTCTGTCGTTCGTCCTTCGTCGTCCCTTAACTTTTACAAAAATCTTCTCCTCTGAAACTACTGGGCCAAATTTAACCAAACTTGGCCTAAATCATCCTTAGGGTATCTAGATTATGTATATGATGACCCCGTTCATCAACCAAGATGGCTGCCATGGCTAAAAATAGAACATGGGGTAAAATGCAGTTTTTGGCTTATCTCTGAAACTAAAGCATTTAGAGCAAATCTGACATGGGGTAAAAATGTTAATCAGGTCAAGATCTATCTGCCCTTAAGTTTTCAAATGCATCAGACAACCTGTTGATGGGTTGCTGCCCCTGAATTGGTAATTTTTTGGTTATTATCTTGAATACTATAATAGATAGAGATAAACTGTAAACAGCAAAATTGTTAAGCAAAGTAAGGTCTACAAATAAGTCAACATGATCAAATGGTCAATTGACCCCTTAAGGAGTTATTGCCCTTCAAGGTCATTTTTTTGTAAATTTTTGTGATCTTTTACAAAAATCTTCTCCTCTAAAACTAATGAGATAAATTTAACCAAACTTGACCACAATCATCATTAGGGTATGTAGTTAAAAAAAAATTATCAGATGACCCCGCCTACCAACCAACATGGCTGACATGGCTAAAAATAGAACATAGGGGTAAAATGCAAGTTTTGTCTATTATTTTTTGAACTGTTATAAATAGAGAAAATCTGAAAGGAGCAAAAGTGTTCAGAATAATGAGCTCTACCAAGTGTCCATATACGTCAAAACTGTTAGACAAATTCTTATAGGAGTTATTGCCCATAAATGACAAATTTTACCATTTTTTTTTTTCCATTTTTGCCTATTAACATGAAAACTATGATATTTAGAGAAAAACTAATTTTTTTCTGTTATGCCTTATATGATTTAAATTATAATAGATAAATAAACACTTTAAATCACAAAAATGATCAGCAAGGCAAGATCTATTAATAAGTCAAAGAAACTAAACAGACTAAAAAGATCAGTAATACAAGATCAACAAAATGGAGATTTTTGTCACGAAGTCTATTCTCGTCTACAATGTTGGAGAGTGTCCTTTGTTTGATATGCCCATAGACCAAGGTGAGCGACACAGGCTCTTTAGAGCCTCTAGTTTAAAAATCACTTAAAAAATTTAACTTTTTTGAGAAGTAAAGATTTGAACACTTATAAATTTTATATATATGAAAATAATAATGTAAGTCATCATACATGTCATAACTTGTTTTTAATTTATTCTCAAAGCTTAATTTTGTCGGGGTTAAAAAAAAAGACTGTAATTCCTGGCATCAAAGCCCCCTAATTATAAACATGTTAATATGCCCTCTTATCAATGCAATGTTCATTAAATTTTTTACAGTTTATTTGAATTATCCCCGGTAAGCATTATCTGGAACATTTTATCAAAACATTACAAAACCTTGAACTCTACTATCATTCTGAAAATTAAGAGGTCAATTTAGGTACTACAATTTAAATTTATTGACCTCTGTCTGAAATTCAGATTCTGAATGATAGAGTTATTCATGAATAATTCATTTAAGAAAAATTCCAACATGTCCAAAGGGGGCTTTTTAAAGCTTCTGGTAAAAAGTATCTGAAATTTTTATTTGACATTATTTGGCAAATTCATGAAAATTGTATTTGAGGATCAAAAGAAAAGTCAAAATCACTTAGAGCTCTATATACTGTATAGACAACTGTCTATTGTTGAAGACTGTAAATTATCCTTTAGATGTCTTTTGCTTCTTTCTATTCTTGGTTTGGTGTCTCATTGACATATATATCTCACATCTCAAAGTTACCCCATTTTATATTTTCACTATTTCTTCAGAACACATGGATGCAGATGTTCAAAACATTAGAAGAGAAACATCAACTTGATCTCCAACAGCAGAATCGACTTCACAAAGAATCTTTATTTAATTTACAACAACATATGGAGAATGAGCTATTTGACCAACAGAAAAACTTTCGTCAGAAACTGACTACACATAAAGAAGCACTTTCTCACTCTCTAAATCGCTCATTAAGTCCTATAAACTCAGTTCATGACGAGCATAGTAAATCTTATTCAAGGATGAATGACTCACAAATTTCACGGACAGCTGAAAATCTCCCCCAAGGTAGAGATGGTACATTATCATATCAAGAAACATTTCAAACCCACAATTCTTTGCTTCGAAATCGTTCACCATCTTGGCGGGAAATCTATAAGGAGATCCGTGGCGTTGATGCAAGTGATTGTGATGAAGATCACTCACCAAGGGAAACTGTTAGAAGGTCCTTGAATAGAGATTTTTCTAATTCACCGGAAAGGTCAAGGTCAAACATCGAAGGACAAGGCCAAAAGGAGAATAATTTGACAAGACAATCTTTATCACCAAGGGAGAGACCTACAAGATCAAGCCATCAAGAACCACCAAGGGCTGGTGTTTACAGTAGTCCTATGCCAATCTTGAGAGGAAAAGTAAACAACACTGAGGTACTTAATTTGTTCTGATGATATATGCTGCTTCTATAAACAAATAAAGTAATAAATACTCTAAATTCAGAAATTTTTGCAATGTTTTGATTGTTATGAAAATTGTGACAAGATAGGTTTCGCAAAAATAGTAACTCACATTTTAACATTTGATAGTACTCTGTATGTATTCAGCATTTCCTGAAATAGCATTATTTAATTTACATTTTTGTCCATTGGTCATGTTGTTCACACAAAAGTTTCTATATTTACATGTACAGTAACTAAATAACGTAAAAAAGAGTCATATACCATATTCACTAAGTTTTGAAGTTCTTTCATTTAACATGTTTAAAGATACAAGATTTAAAATGTAAATTTTTCAGAACACTAAAGCATACTTTTTCAATATTTGAATTTTTTTTTTATCTAAAAATTTTTGTTTGTAATGGGGCACACAGAATTGTGACTCTCAGATGTCCTCAGATCCCCATACTTCATTTTGTTGATTAGGATAAATTTAGGCATGACTTTATTTTTTATGTTGTTGGGTTGATATCTCATTGGTGTATACCCTACATCGTTTAATCCTATAAATATAAATGTTTTATCATATGACAAATTTTCACATGGGATAATGAAATAATCTCCTTTTTTTAGGCAGTTAAGCTGCCTTATGCTAGCACCCTAGATTTGTGTTCTTCCCAACGAATATTGAAACAAGTGCCATTGTTATAATCTAGCAGGCTAATATGTTATTTATAACTAATTGGACATTTTTTTCATACTTTTAATTCTGGAATACAAAAAATATGACCAGAATAACCTTAAATGATCGTCGAACGACCCATAATATTTGAAGTTGCACATAGAAAATAGTGCTCAATAGAAATCCGTACGTAGTTTATTATCCCCTGTGCTTTTGGCTAAGATGTCAAAGAACAATTGTATGAAATATTTCATCGCCGAAAATCTGCATTTACAAGTCTTTTATATTTCCCAAATAGCAAAATGCGCAGGAATATTGTTCATGTACACCAAATCTCTATGACAGAGGAAATAAAGTTATATATAGTAGTCTAAGTTGGCGGTAATTTTAACTTACACTTGTTGTTATTTATGAATGAAAAAGTACCGGAAATCTACGTAATCAACGTCGACCAATCAGGTCGATGTTTTAAGAAATGCGGAACAACTCGTCCCAGAGACAAGTTGGACCGTCTAAGAAGACGACTCGGACCGCTTGTCAGATTTACTTAGGGATTCATAAAATGTAAGACTAACATGTCTAGCGGAGCCATCAATCTTTCGTTTGTGCATTGGGGACTATTTAATGGTATTTTGAGGGGTCTAAAGAAGGGAGGGGTTTACTGTAGAACCCTATGGGATTTTATTATTTTTTTTATTTTTTAATGACTATTACTCGAAAACAGTAAATGATAGACACACGCGGTCTTCAGTAATGAGATCAGGACAATAAAACAAATCAAATAAAATATAGGGTGAGTCCCTGGGGGTCATCTCACCCCCTTCAATTTGAAAATGTGCTTTTATCTTGTGAATGGTCGTGATCCCCACCCCTAAACCAAATATATACTTGTATGGGACAATAAAACAAATCAAATGAAAATAATTTGGGGAGTCCCCGGGGTTACCCCGCCCCCTTCTGTTTGAGAACTTGTAAACGATCGAGATCCCCACCCCTAAACCATATATATTTATGTATGGGACAATATCACAAATCAAATGAAATATAGGGAGAGTCCCTGGGGGTCACCCCACCCCCTCCTGTTTGAGAACTTGAAAACGGTCGAGATCCCCACCCCTAAACCATATATATTCATGTATGGGACAATATAACAAATCAAATGAAATAAAGGGAGTCCTGGGGTCACCCCACCCCTCCTGTTTGAGAACTTGTAAACGATCGAGATCCCCACCCCTAAACCCAATATATTCATGTATGGGACAATATAACAAATCAAATGAAATATAGGGGGAGTCCCTTGGGTCACACCACCCCTCCTGTTTGAGAACTTGTAAACGGTTGACATACCCACTCCTAAACCATATTTATTCACGTTCGTCATTTCAAAAAGATTTGATTGACATACTGGGTCAATCTCCTAGGCGTTACATATGCATATCACTTTACTAGACCAAACCAATAAGTACTGGACTTTGCCCAATGTCAGGCGACCATGGGAATGACGAATTATGGGAGCTTTGTTTAAGAGACTTCATGACAGCATCCTGTTACAATTGTTTCTTGTTTATTATAAAATTTTATTGATGCAAAAAATGAGTCTAGGTTAATTGAATTTACTTCAAATTACTTTTAAATTATTTATGGGCCTATAAAAATTTTCATTTATGGCTCATTTTAAAGAAAACATATAAATCTTTCAAGCAGTGTAAATTTTAGCTCAAGAATGTTTGACCAACTGTTTTATAATCACCTGTCATTTTATTCCAAACTTGGTATGGAGTGACATCATGGACTTGGGGTGAAGGTGGGGATCCCTGTAGTAGTAAACATTTGTCTGATTTGTGTCTCATAACTTTTGTACTGTAGAACACAAACTCAGTGTTCCTTCTAGGGAAGCAAGTCTATTCATTCTATTACAAACTCGTACTACGTCAACTTGTACCATTGAAAGTCAACTGGTACCAACGTTAACTACCAACTAGAACAACTGCAATCATTGCGAACTTGTACCGCTGCAGACTCACCATTAAAAATATACATTGATATATGCGTTGCTTTTGAAAACCTTGATAAAATATTAGTTAATTTGCCTTAATAATAAATTCATTAGATAAACATAAATGTACAATATACGAATGTTTAATGTTTGTTCTTTCAAATCTTGGGGAAAAAAATTGAAGCAACACTGCCACAGTTTTCATAACTACGTTTGCCTTGGTTTTTGGTTAACTGCCTGAAGCGCTTACAGTGCTTTGATTTTATAAAGTGTATTATTTTTTTCAAATTTTCATTTTTTTTTTGTCTTTTATAACAGCAAGAAATAGAACCCACAGTGACCCCTCCAAGGAGAGAGGACAGAAATTTTAATAGTGGTGACAGAGTAACCTCCCCTTCAATGAGTGAGAAGAAACAGAGTTCATCACTGCAGCGTCTGTTAGAAAGTCATCACCAAGAACGACTACAGCAGCAGGCACAGAGAGATGTGGAGCTGGCTGGAGATTCTACTAATGCTGATGATGTATTTTTATCTGCAAGGTAAAAAATAAAATTCTGAACAGTTAACATACATGCATGATTGTCTTGATTGGGATCTTCATTTCTGTATTCTTAAATGTTAAGGTAATTATTTATACATGTTATAATGTTTTTTTTTATATTTTGCACAATATTCTCCCTTTTTATCATTTTAGCACTCCGTTATTCTCTATTCCTTATTTTTTCAGCCAATTTTTTCAGAATTATTTATTTCTTGTCTGATTATTGTCTATGCTGTAAATCCCATAAATATTCTCATACATGTGCATGTCTTTTGATTTTCAATTGATCAAGAAAAAAGGTATTTTAGTACTCGCAATTTTAGTGAATCTTCATGTTTTAATATCATGTTTATCAATGAGGCACCAGCAATAAACCAAACAAAAAGTGGACAGAAATCTGTTAAAAGGATTTTATGATTCAACATTTGCTATTGCAAACAAAAAAAGGCTAAATATGATCATGTAATTTTATTTTTGTTTTCCAGCACTAGAGTAAGTTTACGGGAGAAGCATGCAAAACATATGGCAGACTTACGTGAATACTATGAGAAAGAGTTACGTGACCTCAGGGGTTCCTTACTCTCAGATATGACAGAACAATCACCATACAAAAGAGTTTCTAGTGAGAATCAGAATCTAGTCATAGAAAATCGTCTCCTGAGAGAAAAAATACAGGACATGGAAAATGGTACCACAGTTATAACTAGGTAAAATTATATTAAAAAATGTAAAATTAGTTTTAGCTTATCTTAGAAACTTTCAAAATATGCAGGAAATATTTTAAACCAAAACTGTAAAGTTTTATAAGTAAAAATTCCACATTTAATTTTGTAAATTCAAGATATTTTTTAAAATATTTAGTTTTAGCGCTTATTCAGCCCCAAATCTACTCTCTTTAAGGGTTTTCAAAACTAATATTACTTTTAGATTATTATTGTAGTAGCCATTTGTTCACTGCGTATTAAGCAACAACTAATCGATTATATTCATGTCTAAGGGATGCAAGAGGGCTAATACCAGGACTGATTTTGAAAATTATACGTTATGATGTGTTATGAGCTGCTGAATACCAATTATGACGAAAGAAAAACTCTTATTGTATTTTCTTTGAGAGACACGATTAGAACTTGAACAACTGGAATACATTGTTTTTCTCTTTCAACTTCAAAATCATTTGAACCCCTAGATTCCATTCATGTATATCTTGCAAGAATATATTGCAGTAGTTTTAATTTGTGTTTAAATATATTATAAGTTAGTATAAACAACATGGTCTTTCTAAGTGTAAAGGGAAGCTAAAGGGCTAATACCAGGTCTGATAAATTTGGAAGATTACAATGTATGATGTGTTGTGAACTGCTAAATACCAATACTGACGAAAGAAAAACTCTGTCTTGTATTTTCTTTTAAAGATCTTTAGAAAGATGATAACAACTTGAATGATTTTTTTTAATTATAATTTTTTTTTAATTCTACAGGCAGTGTAGAGAACTGGAACAAATTAACCATGGGCTAGAAGTTAGAGCGGTGAGTATGTAAATCTGAAACTTGTATGAACATGTATTTATGATATAAATCATTATCTGTAAGGGTATATATTTAACAGGACAGCCAAGTTTTCTAACAGTTGAAAATAAAAATAAAGTCTAGTGGATTGGTGTAAAAGTGTTTGCAAAATGTCAGTCATCAACATGATCTAGTGGATAAAATTGAATTTAATAAAACACTCTTCATCCAAAAGAAATTCTGTATGCATCTCCTCCTTTAAAACTTTGGACTTATGTGAAGCAAACTTTGTCAAAAATATATCTAGTCAAACTATCCTCATTCAAATTCCTTGTCTACAAAGGGCAGTGTTAGTATATTTCTTTAGTGAACAAAGTTTATAACAGGAAATTTGTAAAAAGTACCTGCTTATAAGGCCTAAAAGATAATAAGATAATAATACCTGTAGTACTAATAAAATGCTGAAAAAAATAAGGTTGGTTGTTTAATTTTTTATAGTTTTTCGACTGATTTAAACAGGGGAAACAGTCTCATTTTAATACTGTTCATTAAAAAATGACAAAAAAATCTTGAGGGAAGGCACTAAGATTAAGGGTTGGTAGGGTTAGGGGAAACTAGAGAATTATTTAATAGGCCTACGGCTCCACATTTCTTTTATCTTTGACAGTTTGATGGATTCTACAAATTGATTTGACTTTACGTAGTAAAAAGAATAAATACTTCAGGAAATGTTTTTTAATTTGTTTATGATTTGATTTTGTATAAAAGCATGTGTTCATTTATGATTTATTGTTGTTAGTTTTTTCTGCATCTTTTACGTATGTGGTAATATTTTGTTTCATTGCAGAAAGAATATGCAGAAAATTTGAATGAATCCCAGGCTAAATTGAATAACTTTAGAAACAAAATGGAAGAATTACAGTACTATTATAGAGAGAAAGATGAATCTGCCGAGCAGCTGGAATTCCAAGTTAAACATCTAAATGACAAAATTAGAGTAGCCAAAAAGGTCAGTACAGTAGAATTAAAAATTGTTAATTTGTCATACTTTTTACAGAATATAGAAGGCTGGAGGACTAGGATTTATGTAAAGAAAAGAGAACAGTATTGAAAAAAAAAAGAAAATATCAGATGGTTCTGATGTTGCCCGACACTACACAAAGTTTTCACACGAAACCAATTACATTCAATTTTAATTTGATACCTTACCTTGAAGAAGAAACATAGCATTCATTCATTTTGATTATGAAATTATGATATAATATTCTAATTCAATTGGGATTCAGCTTTTAAATGTAAACTGAAACAAATTTTCCCTAGGAATAATGTCAATAATTTACTCTACAATTTACCAAGTAATCACTTTTATATTTCATGAGTTTTTCCCGTTTTTCCACAGTGTTTTTTATTAAGTTTTATTTTTTCCGTTTATTTGTCATTGAAACATACATCCGGAAATCAAAAACAAATTTTCTTGGTAAACTGGAAATCATTTAAAATGGAATGTTTTAATTAGAAATTGAAGGGACTGTAATATAATGCAGTTTCATACAATATTTCGTTTTTTTCACACTTTAGACTAATCAGGAGCTAACTGACCAGATCCAGAGAGAAAGAGGTGTTTTACACAAGGTAAATAGATATAAGAAGATGTGGTATGAGTGCCATTGAGACAACTCTCCATCCAAGTCACAATTTGTAAAAGTAAACCATTATAGGTCAAAGTACGGCCTTCGACACGGAGCCTTGGCTCACACCGAACAGCAAGCTATAAAGGGCCCCAAAAATGACAAGTGTAAAACCATTCAAACAGGAAAACCAACGGTCTAATCTATATAAAAAACGAGAAACACTTATGAACCACATCAACAAACAACAACCACTGAACATCAGGTTCCTGAATTAGGACAGGTGCAAACAAATGTAGTCTGAGCAGCGTAGTGATTACATTTTTCTAGAGGTTATTGATAATTAAACTGGGCAAAAGTATCCAACTTATTTGAAATTATTGCATGCTAGATAAAAGAATAATCAACCTGATGTTTGTGCTATGTAAAATAGTTTTATAGCTATTTTTCGAAATTTTCCTTTTATCTTACTGATAATTTCCTTTCTCAGCACAGTAGAGTGATTTGAAAAATTATTGCTAGAAACTAAGGGCGCACATGCTGTTGTCAATGAAATTAACAATGTCGTCATAGGTAAAATAGCGATAAACAGATTATCGTTGGTCATTCACCGTACCGGCTCAAGCGAGAAAAGCAATCTCGTTGAGATGACCAACGATAAACTATTATTATCAATACAAATAAGAGTCTGAAAACACATATCAGATATATTTATAAATAAAAGTTACCTTATGTATACATCATTGAGGCAGCAACCCAACAGCTCAAAGAGCAAAAACACATCTGCAGGTCAATGTCTTTTACTTTGTTTTTGTACAGGAGGAAATGATATTTCCATTCTTATAAAAGATATAGATCTATTGGCTCTATACCAAAGTAATTTGTAAAAAGCTTTATGACAACAAAATTTGTTTTGTAATTGAATGTTGTTAATTTCTGATTGAATGATAAAATTGAAAATTTGAGAATCTTTTCCTATCAACCATTTGATTCCTATATAAACCAATTGGAGAACAAGTATATTTATTATACATGTCTATGAAAAGAGTATTTTTGAGCACAATTAAATTATCAAGTTAATGATATAGGTACAAGCTGTATATAATAATATATATCTTGAAACATTTGATATTTTCTTCTTATTTAAGATTTCAGACAAGTGTGAAGCTGCTGAAAGGGAACAACAATTGACAAAGGTAATAACTGCGGGAAATAATCAGGGGAAAGGGAACACAACTAAAACAATCAGCTGTATTCTGTAAATATCTAACCAAATAATAATCTAAACGAGTAGTGTGTGATCATCGATTTTAATTGATTTGATTTAAATGAATTAACTTTATACACTTTATCGCTATTAGTCTGCCATTGTAAAAAAAAAATTGTCATCGCAAGTGAAAATGTCTGATGTCATACAAAAAACGTGATTGTTGTTTGACATCTATAGTTTAAGTTTCTGAAAATCTTAGGTCAAGTATTGCAGATTCTCAAATAGCGATAAGGCCTATTGCCTGACTAGTGAGGAAGGCAGTTGTATAAACCACCAATGCAAATTCACGACTGCGCTAAGATCAAATTTTAGAAATGGTCCCTTTTGTCATCTTGGTCATGGGCGACTAAAAAACAAATATTTAAATGCTCTGATGATAAGACAAGGACAATCATATAAATACACAAGCCTCTTATATATGTGTCATAGTCTCAAATAATCATATATTCAATTATATCTAAATAATTTTGTATAAATAAAGTGAATTCTTGTTCTCCTGTACACAGTTTATATGTCTGACTCTGTCTGTTTGTCTGTCCATCTCAAAATAAAATGTATACAAAATCATTATGATGGGATAAACGGCATAAATACTTCACAATATTCACAGTATTAGATTTTAAAATTTGTGCTCAGCATGTAATGTCTTTCCAAGTTACTCTCCTAAGAAAGTGGGGAGACATTTATTTTCATGTCCAAAACCAACTTAAATTTTCTGAAACTTCTTATACCTCAACTTCGTTACACATAAATGTTCACTAATTTAAACAAGTTGCTTGATTTTTCTTTCACAGGAATCTTTATCAAATACAGAAAACAAGTTGTATGATGCAAGAACAGAAATAGTGGAACTTAAGAGGTATTTATTTGTATGAATAAATGGAGAGGATGGTTAAAATCAATGTGACAGCAAGCCAACAATACAAAAAAAAAAAAAATAGACCTAGTTTACAATCTTAATTGACAGACTAGTGGACGGACATACAATTTTTGTCAAGCTCTATAAAAGGGAAGAAGATATCAAGGAGGGGGGGGGGGGGGGGGGAAGGGTCAAAAAGAAAAATCACAGAAAGACACTCAAAACCCTTACCAGATAAAGATGTTTGGTAATTCCTATTATTGTGGTCTGTGATACAACAAATTTTCAAAGAAACATGTACAATAAAAATCAGCTCAGAAAAAGCACTTTTCTAAATGGAAGACAAAAATATAGCTAACATTAAAATCATACTAGATAAAACTGTATTAAAGAATCTGTGTATAATACACAGAAAAAAATTCCATGGTAAAAAGAATGTAACTTCTTTGCCATGTCTGTTTGTTTAAAAAAACATGTGTACAATTTTATGAATATTTTTACAATATTTCAAAATTTTAATGGCTTTTTCAGCAGCAAATTCATGCAGGTATTTTGTCTCAATTTTAGACGCCTTAGACTTGCTCAGCTTATATAGATATGTACACTTTAGGAAAAGGCTATACTTACCAATATTTGAATACACAATCTGCAACTTTTGTTAAACACTTAATAAACTTTGTCTGCAAACGTAATTAGAAATCACCTGCATGGTATTTAACTTGAGCAGTATTGATTTGATTGCCTAGCATGTTTATAAATAGCCTATTAAATGAGAGGCAGAAGATAGGAAAGGGATAGTCAAACTCATAAGTTAAAAAAAGGAAATGATAATGCCATAGCAGAAAACAAAAACAACCAAAACACAAGCAAAAGTATACAGATCCCAACATAGAAAACTGAAGTCTGAGCAACATATACCCCACCAAAAACCGGGGTAATCGCAGGTGCCCCCGAAGAGAAAGCATATTCTGCTCCACATGTGACACCTAAGGTAGGATCAAATCTGAAATGACCAGTTGCAAGGAAAATTATATACTTATATTAAAGAGATTGGATATTAATAGTAGTAGATGATAGGAGATCAATACATGTATATGGAAAAAAAAACATTTGTTGTATTACTTTGATTGAGAAATCATATATTATAATTTTCAGAACTGTTTCAAAGTTGGAATTAGAAAATAAAAGATTATGTAGAGAAAATGACAACTTACATAGGAGAATGCAGACTGGCAAGTGAGTACTGTCATAAATGCTTTCATATCTTCTTGAGGTATCATGTATGAAAATTCATTTCAATTTTTATCAAGAAATACAAATATATTTTTATAATGCAATTCCTAGTCTGAAAAAAAATTTAGACCATCACAATAACAAGAAGTACGAGGAAAAAAGGGAGGTAACAAGACAAGTAAAGTTCATTACAGTATCGTTGGAAATATAGCTGTTCCTTGTACAAGATTAAAATCAAAGCCAGGTAACGCTTTGAATTTATATTTTATTTAGCAGTCTATTTTGTGAATCTGAAACCAGTGAATGTAATGAATTAAAAAATCAGATCAAATTACTACTCTGTAATGTCTTAATATGAACATTAACACCAACTTTTTAGATAAAGCACAATGTTGTTAGAAATATTCAAGTTTACCCCAAGGGAATATGTTTTAAGCAGGGACACACAATTCATTATCAGTATGTTGATGATGATATATGAACATTTTCTGTTATAAGTATTTATGATAATGTTTTAGTGGGGAACACCTTAGAGAAACATTCACTTCCCCAGATGTATTTAACTGGAATAACTATTACATTATCAAAGCAAAAAATTATTCATATTACGCATAAACTGTTAACACAGTGATATATCTTGCTTGTGAAACCTTATCAAGGCTAATCACAAACTTACAATTGTTTACAACATTCCTTGAGGCATCACACTTATGTCTCTTCTTTGATTATTGTCGCTAGTGAGACAAAAATGAAAATTTGAGATTTGATTATTTCAACTTACTGATACAAATTTTGCCTTACAGCACTTCTATTCTCCATGGGAGTTTCCATGATTCTTTTGAATCCCCATCATCAGATTATGTGCCATCCCCAAAAAGAGAGACACCTACAGTCAGTGTCAAATCTCCAAGGGGAGTTAAATCTCCAAGAAGTGAAGCAGGATCAAGGTCAAATACTAGGAGAGATAACTCTTTGTCAGAAAGGGAGAGAATGAATGGTTCTCTAGGAGATTTGTCTGTTCAAAGGTAATTATAATAAGATTTGCATGTATTTAATGTTATAAAAGAGTATGTGATTGTATGAAAGAGCACAAAATAGTTCTAAGTATGAATTTACAGCAAACAGAAAATTATTAGGTATGAATATTACATTTATAGACGTCACCTACAATGAACAGTTTATAAACACATTTCAGGCTCTCCTACAAACTTAAATGGGGAAAAACATCAATAATTTGAATCCTTCACTATTTTGTGCCCCAAAATTTGTGTGAAACACCTGAAAAAAGTATTACGGTAAGGCACAAAACCAACAGAAAAAAAATTGAATAGGAATATTAACGTTGAAGCCAAGACTTTTATGAGTGTTACCATTGTCAATCCATATGTCCATACGTCTGTCTGCACATACATCCCTTTATAATGTTATATGCAAGCAAGAGCATCATTTGTATCCCATGGACACATTCTCCATTTATTTAGATATTGACTTTATATTGTATAATTTTGCTGTCAAGCTATCAAATCCTTTTAAAAATTTACACATAAGGGAGATAACTTCCAGTAGAATATAGCCAGGCCATAATCTTGCCGGCGAAATGACAATTTAAGTCACCAAAGAATTTTGAAAATCGCTAAATCTCGCCGGCCGACTGACTTCATAGCGAAGTCAAATCGCTATCAAAATCGGTAAATGGGAGACAACTTGTGATTGACAATCCCACAGGTAAAAATAAATGGCGGCTGACAAGGAAAATCGAGATTTTAGAAACGACCCAGGACTAATACTGTAAAAGATCAAATTAAATAAATACAACGGCGACTTTGAACATCCTCAGATATAACTTTCAAAACTGTTCAAACGGAAAACTGACCGTCTGTTTAAGTTATCGTTTTACGATGATTTTCACTCAGCTGATTTGTTTTATTTTTATTACCTACACGAGTCGATCAATTTTACTATTCGGTAGGTAAAGGCTGGGAATTAAAGGTAGATTTATTATATTCATTGAATAAAAATTGAAATATAAAAGGTAGAAAGACAGCTGATGGATAATGTGATTGCAAACGTACGACACTCGACCAGATTGTGATCAGCAGTGGATTTTTTCTCATGACCACTTCGTTGATATGAATGATATTTTTAAAAAATGATAGAAATTAGCTCTTTATCGGATAACTAACTTGAGATTGAAAGATATTTTCATTTATAGACTTACAATCTTTAACAATAATCTCAATTTACTACAACTAACATAAATGTCCTGGACATTCAATAATGTTTTACAAAACAATGACAAGTGGTGATATAAATTAAATTCTCAGTCATGTGAAATTCATCATATTTTTCTAAAGTTTTAAAAATAAATTGAGGCAGATGCATATATGAACTTAATGCATCATAATCTTGATAATATTACTAGGCTACTCCCTCATGTCCCAATCAACAAATTTTATTTAGAACACATTATTGTATCAATAAATAAATAACAACTATATATTGTCTAAACCTTTTTATTTAGAACTTTCTATATATACATTGTGTACAATAACATATGAAAAAACTGCAAGTACATCTTTTATTGAATATAAAACAATTTCCTTAGTGATAAGCTTGAAAACACGATGCAACTGAAACGGTAATGGAATCTCACTTCTCCAAGAAGTTGACCACTTCTCCCTTCTCTCTCATGGAAGGAGAAGTCACTTCTTCCTCTTCAAAATCCTAGATTAGGCCCTGATGTAGCACAGTTGTAGGGCCTTAAAAAAAAAAAAATTCAAAATAAGAAGGGATTTCAGAAAACTTAAAGACAGACTTCAATGATTCCAACATAAACAGTACAATTTATCATCTATAAATCTTGATATTCTGTTAAGTTAGTAATGACAATATTTGATAATCTGTTGAATATCTTTTGACAGCTCTTCCAGGTCAAAATCACCATTAAGAAACAGTGCAAATGGATATGAACAATTAGGTGATAGTGTGTTAGAGAGTAGTGTTGATCAAATTGACACTTCCAAAGTATCACCTGTCATGAGGGCGGAACAGGACCTATACAGACTCAGAGACATGATGCGACAAATTGGACAAAGTCCAAGCGAACCTCCAAAATTTAAATTGAAGAAGAAATTCTACGGAAGTGATATTCAGACTCAAACTAGAAATGGCGATTTTTCTCCTGGAAGTAGTCCCAAAATTCAGAGAAAAAAATCACCATCAAGTTCACCGAAAACAAAATCAACACATTCAAGACGTTCTCAGGATAATAGTAATGGTATTTTGAATAACTCTTCTGCAAGGGGTCAAAGGCCACCTTCAAAGTTATCAGTGAATCCAGATGAATATTCAAGTCCAACTAGGTTTGATATAAGTACGGACAAAAATAAATCAAATGGTGTTATTCCAAGACGACATCCTGGGGACGGTGAGCCACAGAGAGATGAAAACAAGCCATCAAACAAAAGTTTACAAGCAAAAAGTGCACAGAGTTCAAAAGTCAAGAAATCCAAAAAGATTTTAAATGGTAGTCATGGTAAGTTGTATAAAGATAGACAGCAGATATTGGGTCATAAACGTCAAGTTTAAAAATAGGTAAAGAAGAGGCAAAAAAGGTTCAGTAAGACAAGGCCCCAATATGGTTGTTTTTTTTCGCTAAAATTTCAAATTAGTATTTCATGGCTATAATCAGGTTGAATAATACATGAAATAATGACAAGATTGAAAATATATCTATTTTTGTAAATTTATGTATCATCGCTCTTGTGATGACGTCACATTTAGCATCAATGTCATTTTCCAAACAAATTCAAGGAAAATATGCCAATTTCCATCATGTCCATTGGTCATCAGATGCTTAAACATATAGTACAGGTGTCACTTTTCATCTTGAAATGTTGGACTTTATATTGGGGGTTGAAAAAGGCCCTTACTGCAAATATTCCTTTAGAATTTCACTTACATTTTCATTGTACATGACAACCACAAATAGTGGAGATTTCAAAGTGGTTTCTTTGGTCTCATGTATATGTTTCTTTATGGATTAGCTCTTGGTGCAGCAGTAATATATGCAATAACACATTCACAGATCTGAATCTGATAGAGAGTTTTGAAATTTTTCTAAATTAGACTAAAGACATGAATATTTGATGTTTAAAAGTAATTGAAAGTTGCACTGAAACATTCATGACAAGAATTTTTGTGAAGAGTCTAATCCATAATGTTAAGTGCAGTTGTAATGTAATGAAATGAGAATTATGTAAGACATGTTTATTTATGGATTGTTTAATGTACCCCGGTATATTTACATATTTTTCCTTCAGATTCTAGAAATGAGGTTGAAGATACCTTGAATAGAATGCGATCGGGTGAATATGTGACACGTCCAGAGTGGGAGGATATGTATACCTCCATGGCAAAACCATTAGACAACAAACAAGTCCAGACTGTGGTATGAACTTTGAACTTTATATAATTCTCATGTTAAATAACAAAAGGGGGAGGAGAAATCAAAGGATGAAAAACATAAGCTTTAGAAAGAAAGACTACACAATGCCCAAAAGGAAGGAAATGAATACATGGACAAAAGTCAACCCCAAATTACCACAAAACAAACTCAATATTGAGCTAATTTTTCCGGTTATATTTTCTATACATTTTATTTCATGTATTTAACAATATACATATTTAATGCTGCATGAGCTAAAAAACAATGTCCACAGTACTCGCTGTCTCATCAATACACCATATCCTTTCCATTTCATTTCTACACTATTTATGAGGTCATAATGGCAAAACAAAGAGAGATGTGTTATATGCATCATGCAAGTGGCAACTCAAAAATCACGTACAGGTCATCATTTTTGGGCCTTAAATAGCTTACTATGTGGTATTAGTTTTGCTCATTGTTGAAAGTCGTATGGTGACCTATAGTTGTTAGCTTCTGCTTCATTTGGTCTCTGGTTGAGAGTTATCTCATTGCCATCATACCACATCTTCTTATTTTTGTAATCAGACTTTTGACAGGAAGAAGTAACCAAACCAATTACAATGTAACTAATACATGAATTTTATGCATTCAGTGAGTTACCGTAAAGTGGGAAACTTTAAAGATGGTTTTTTTTTTTCGTAAATGTTTCAATTCAGGAGATAGCACCACGAAAATATTCCCTTGCATAATTTGATCTTTAAGATAAATCAGAATTTGGGGCAAAAAAACACACAAAAAAAAAACAAACAGGATTGGTCCTTGTTAGAAATAACAAAATTTGAACACTAAGAAAATATACAACTTGACAGCACCATAGACATAAAGTACAAGATTAAAAAAAGAATTGATTTAAGTTGACCAGTTTTAAATCTATTTATACCAATAAAGGGAGATCTCTTCATGAATAATTACTTGTTTTATATCACTGTAGCCAAGAGAGGAAAAGATTAGAGACAGATTAAGTAATATTACAGAGTTGGAACACAGATATGATGATCTCAGTGCAGAAAAGAGAACAGTAAGATTTTAGTATAATTTGGACAAAATATGAGAATAAATGCACAAAAATTCACAAGTGTCCAAACTATGGTTGATTCAATTTTTTTTTTCTTATAGTCTTTTGGATATTTATTACAAGTTCCTTGTTACCTTTTTTCATCACGTTTGTTAGAAATTTTTATATAAAAGTAAAAATATTTGAAAATCTTGGTACAATTATTTTACACCAAATTTAAACATTTTATTTAACCAATTTTTTTGTGCAATTGGTCAGTTCAATTTAGTTATACCTAATCAATATTGCTCAAGTGAAACAGCTTTGTTTACTCCAGTTCCATTTGAGTAAGTTTTCTTTTAACACCTAATATATTTTTGAATAACTCCATAAAGTTAAGACAGAATTTACCAGTTCCAGGAAAATACTGAATTTCATGGACTGAGAAAAAAAATATATTTTCATGAATACTTGGATTTCATGGTTTCACAAATTCTGCACACAAGCCTTTTGTTGCACTCTTAATCCACAAAAATTAGTACCCAAGGAATAATAATGAATTCACAGTATAAGTCATGTAGTTAATTGTTAATGTGGCAAATTAAAAATTCCATTCTTATAATGTTAAAAAGAAATGCTCTTGAAATTTGTGTATCATCTTAAAAAAGATACTAAGGAACAACAAACTTAGGAATTATGACCTGATCATAAATGTTGATTTGTTTTTACTTCAGTTGGAGTCGACATTAAGCAGAATACCTCTACATGGTAAAGGCAGACAGGAAAAGGTAATTGTAAAATATGAATTAATGATCAGGTTTTCTGCAGATAAATACTGTAAATTCAGAAAGTATTGCGTTCATTTATTATTGCTATTTTTCAAGAATAGACAAGAATGTGAAGTAAATTATTGAGATTTCTGAAAAATTTGCATACATATATATGTATCAGATATCAAAATGTGAGTCCTTATTATTGCGATACTTGCATTTATTGCATTATTCGCGTTACTTAAAACCTAGCAATAATTTCTGAATTTACAGTATTGTAAAATACAAAGTATTAGTATGAGTCACTATATGAAGTTTTTTCATGGTGAGTAAATGCAAGGAATGAGCTCAAGGCACTACATATTAAGTTAAAAATGAGAATTTACAAAGAGTACACACACAGAGAAAGACTAACAATGCCTAATATAAGTATTGATACACTGCAACAACTGCAGTTTTTAGGTATCTGTTAGCATTTGCAATGACTCCATGTCCTTTCAAGCCAAAGCTAATTTTACTGGATTTTTTCATCTTCATTTGTCCTGTAAGGTCTTCAAGAAAGAGTTACAAATTTTTAACAAGCATTATCCTTTTTTTCCCCCTAAGATGTAAAAATAAAAAGATATGATTACCAGTGACAACAACCCATATACTAAAGAACAAAGATGGAATAATTACAGGTCACTGTATCTTCTTCAACAATGAGCAAAACCCATACTACATATAAAGAAAAGACGTGGTATGATTGCCAATTAGAAAATTATCCGCCATAGTCTAAGTGATGTGAATGTAAGCATCTATAGGTCAGCAAATGGCCTTTAACAATGATCAATACTCATACCGTTTATGCAGCTATAACAGGGACCGATATGATAAAATCTGAAACATTTCAAATATGTTAAACCAAAATAACTACATTTAACATTAACAAATAGACACAAAGTATTTAGACCATATAGGGTAAAAGTATAACATTAAGGATTTGCCACTTTTTAGCTCACCTGGCCTAAAGGACAAAGTGAGCTTTTCTCATCACTTGGCATCCGTCGTCTGTTAACTTTTACAAAATTCTTCTCCTCTGAAACTACTGGGCCAAATTTAACCAAACTTGGCCACAATCATCATTGGAGTAACTAGTTAAAAGAATTTGTCCGATGACCACGCCTGCCAACCAAGATGGCCTACATGGCTAAAAATAAAATGAAGGAGTAAAATGCAAGTTTTGTCTATTATTTTGAAAACCGTTATAAATAGAGAAAGTCTGAGATAAATAGAGAAAGAGAGGAGTAGAAATGTTCAAAATGTTGAGCTCTACCAATTGTCCATATACGTCAGAACTGGCATACAACTTCTTATAGGAGTTATTGCCCTTAAATGACAAATTTTACCTTTTTTTTTTTTTCATTTTTGCCTATTATCTTGAAAACTATAATAGATAGAGAGAAACTTCAAATTGCAAAAATGATCAGCAAGACAAGTCCTACCAAAAAGTCGACATTGTCAAAATCGTCAGTTGACTCCTTATCAGAGTTATTGCCCTTAGATGATGATTTTTACCATTTTTTTGTGTTTTTGCCTTATATCTTAAAAAATTTTAATAGAAAGATAGAAACTTAAATAAGCAAAAATGATCAGCAAGACAAGATCTACAATTAAGACAATATAGAGGAAATAATCCAACGACTCCTTATTGGAGTTATTGCCCTTTAATGACAATTTTCAACATTTTTTTTCTGTTTTGCCTTATATGTAAAAAATTATAATAGATAAATAGACACTTTAAATCACAAAAATGACCAGCAAGTCAAGATCTACTAACAAGTCAAATTTTGCCTATATAGTTAGACTGTCACTCTTTATAGGAGTGATTGCCCTTAAATGAGGATTTTTTTTTACCCTCTTTTGTGTTTTGAGCAAAAACTAAAGAAGATAGAGAGAAACTAAACAGACTAAATGATCAGCAATACAAAATCAATAAAACAGAGATTTTTTGTCATGAATTCTATTCACGTCTACAATGTTGGAGAGTGTCCTTTGTTGAATATGCACATAGACTAAGGTGAGCGACACAGAGCCTCTAGCTATATGAGACATAGTGGCCAAAATGTCAATCCACTTGTTAATTATTTATTTCAATATTTTTTTCAGGAGAGAGTAGATGAAAAGTTGGATCAGGTGGAAAGAGAACTAGGATCCATCAGAATGTCACTGAAGAGATACAATGTGTTAAAGACTTCTATTTAATTTTTGTTAGTTATTTGTTGGTTCACTATTTGTTAAAGTGAAATTACAATATGTTCGCTCTTTGCCATATTTGATTTCATTAGTTTCTGGCTGAAATATGTTGTTAACATATTATATTTATTGTATCTGATTTCATGGGTATTACTTCATATTAGCTATATATATATGTATGTATTCTCAAAAACTATACTTCATGTGTACTAAATATTAAACAATGCCAAAGAAGTTGAACAAATTTTAAACAAATCCTTCAGTTTGGTGTCTATAGACATCTCTATTCAAAGAGTTTTATAACATCTAAATGAAAGTGTCACTTTTTTTTTGTGAAATGTACAAGTGAATGATTATATTATTCAGATTGTACTTCTTGTTTTGCATTCTTCAATCTGGCCAACTTACCGATCCTAATTTTAAAAGGAAATCCTTTTTTTTTTTAATTTAAGATTTTTTTTTATGATATGTTATTTCATATTTATTACTGTATTAAGTAATGGTAACAAATTAGCATTATATTTTGTATTGATTATATAGCAGTGCCATATTTCAAAGGTATTATTTTTTGCTAGAGCCAACTATTCCTGGTAATGAAAATCTCCCATTAGGTGTTGAAGTGTTTTGTAGGTATTTATTTTAAAGTACATTTTCTTATCCAACATTAACACATATTTTTTTCATATAGCTGCCAACAAACTTGACATGCAATAAATCATTAAGCATAAATGTATATTAGAATTGATGTATTGCTTTAGGAATGAGACCAAAGCACCTAAAAATAATCAAAATTATTAGAGTTGCCTCCCCCTAACCTCAAATCCTGGAGCTGTGTCGCCATGTTTTAAAAAAAAATTACACAGCATTAGATGTCTTTAGGTTTACTATTGATTTTCCTGTGCTAAAGGGAGATACCTATCTCCCAATGTATTTCTAAAGTTTGGTATAACAACCTAGAGTAGAGTTGTAGAATTATTTTGAAGTATATTTGGTATTAAAAGGGGAATTAGCACTCACTGTTAGACATTATTGTAAACACATATAGTCAAATATGTACAATAACAATTAACTAATTTTCACATCAAATTTAATCATTTTATTACTGCCAAACATTGAACATTGAATGTTTCACATTTTTAAACATTTGAATAATAGTATAAAGTTCATTGACTTTTTTCTTTTGTAATCTAATTTATGATGTTCCATTGTCACTTTGTTGTGGTTTCCGTCAGATTCACTACAAATTTCTAAATGAGTATCTTTTTCATTTATGAGAGGCTAGATTTCTGTAAATGTTTTGGCCATTTTTCTCTTTTCTTTATTTATTTTGCTCATTATTCTCTATTATTTATATTATTCTCTGTTCTTTATCTTCATTTTAAATATTATTAGATATAATTAGTCCAACCTGCATACCAAACTTTTCCTCAGTCAAAGAACATGACGGAAACAAGTGAATCCACAGTAGCTCTTTTTACATACGGATCCCCTGTCTGAAATCCACAAATACCTCCTATTTAAGTATGTCTATCCACTTTCTGGTCGGTATAAATGTTGTAGCTTAGACCTATTTATGTTTCATTGATACTCTGAACAAAATACACATACCTCTTGTAAAACTGCATCTGTATCATTTCTGTACACGTGATTTGACATAACATATTTATAGATGTTAATTTATACTTGTTACACATGAATAAACAAATTACTAAACTTATTAATTTTTTTATGGTTACATCTACATCAGAATTCGAGTGGATGTGTACTCCATTGATTATAATAAGTCGTTGAAACATTAAAATTTTGGTGGAAGGCTGGAGGGGTGGATATATAACATCAAGGTAGCAATCTTTCAACCATGTCCAATACTTGAACTCTGCAATGTATTTGCAAGATGAACAAACTCACAAGATAACAGTCTGCAGACAGACGTTTCACCCTGAATATATGAAAATAAGTAGTTGTGGTATGATTGTTAACCAGTCAACTATCCGACATATACCAAATAATAAGGAGGTAAACAACAACATGTCCCTGTATGGCCTTCATATATATATATATATATATACATACATATGTATGAGCAGAACACATACCATATAGATAGCTATAAAAGGCTCTGACATGGCAAAAATGTGAAACAATTCCAAAGAGAAAACCAATGGCCTGATGTATGCAAAATAGAAATTAAATGAAAACAATTATGGCAGACAACAATCAATGACAACCACTGGATAACATGGTTCAATCATGAGAAAGGCAATTAAAGAATATGATTTTGATGTCAAGATATCAAAAATGGACATTTTTGTCGTTTATGAATTCTCAGAACAAATAAAAGGAGAGAGTTCCAATGTCCCTTGCATTGCACATATTTTATCTGCCAAAAGTCAATAACTACCGGTAAACAAAAAATTAGTTTTTTGTTTTTTAAAACTTTTTAAAATTATCTTGGAGAGTTGGAGACTTGAGAGCAATTTCTGATATAAATAATATTTCCAAGGGGCATAACTGTTTAAAAAAATTTTATTGGCAATTATTTTCGAAATCATATAATTAATATTTCTAAGGGGCGTAACTCTTTAAAAAATAACTGATCAGCACTGATTTTCAAACTTGTCTGAGACATTGCTGATATAAACCTATGATATAAGTTTCATAAAAATCTGGCAAGGATTGTACACATGAGAGCGCTAACAATGCAATTTTCCATATAATTAATATTTCTAGGGGGCAGAACTCTTTTAAGAATAATAGATCGGCACCAATTTTTCTAACTCATCCTAACATCACTGATATAAACCTACAATATAAGTTTCATAAAAATCTGGCAAGAACTGTACACATGAGAGTGCTAACTATGCAATTTTCCATATTATTAATATTCCAAGGGCCATAACTTTTTTAAAAATTATTGATCGGCACAGATTTTAGAACTCGTCCGAGACACAGTTGATATAAACCTATGATATGAGTTTTATAAAAATCTAGCAAGAATTGTACATGTGAGAGTGCTAACAAGACCGGACGGACAGACGCCTGGTATTTCTATGTCCCCCGCAATGTGTTACGCAGGGGACGAAAACAAGTAGCTGCAAAAATACATTGACCTCTGTCGTTCAACTATATTTGGTGAAATGAATGAATGTAAGGTGTGCATGTATTCTGGAATGGTTCATATGACCATGAACATATTTTCATAGATCTTGATCAATAAGTTTATTATATCTTTAAGACTTTCAACATACATTTCAATCATGATCAGTAAAAAAGGCAAAACATGTTGGTGTGTGCACTATTTTTATCAGATTTTTCCTGTTACACAAATTAAGCCAGTATTTGACAAAGAAAAACAGACCCAAGAACATTCAATGCTTAATACAATTGATATACTAAATATACAACAAATAGCAACAGAACCGATAACAAAAGCTTTGCAATAGGAATTCCATAAAACTGGGATTGATTTCAGTTGTGCTGAAAGGTTGATTATAGCCTACTGAGCATGGAAAACCATCATGCCCTGTACTCAAAGCCCAGTGGACTTAAATTGGATAATAGAATGGGAAGAATTATAGAAAAATGTCTTCAGTTATTTATGACACATCTATAGGAGTGCATCCAGTTACCAGTAATGATATTTTTCCCTGACTTTTTAAGTCTTGTATGAACTCATTTAAATTAATACAATCAGTTCGACAAGATGTATAGAAATAGCTCCGAAGCAAGTACTCACGGTTTGTTGGAAAACTTGCTAAGTACACGAATTCAACCAAGAATTAAAAACAAAATTTATTTTTCAATGGGAAGTATGGTGGGTGTCTTTAAAAATGTGTGAAAGTATGCAACACAGCACTAAAACAACCTCTTGGACAAACTTCTAACCAACACAGCACTAAAAAAACCTCTTGGACACACTTCTAACCAACACAGCACTAAAACAACCTCTTGGACACACTTCTAACCAACACAGCACTAAAACAACCTCTTGGACAAACTTCTAACCAACACAGCACTAAAACAACCTCTTGGACACACTTTTAACCAACAAAGCACTAAAACAACCTCTTTGACACACTTCTAAGCAACACAGCACCAAAACAACCTCTTGGACACACTTCTAATCAACACAGCACTAAAACAACCTCTTGGACAAACTTCTAACCAACACAGCACTAATACAGCCTCTTGGACAAACATCTTACCAACATAGCACTAAAATAACCTCTTGGACAAACTTCTAACCAACAAAGCACTAAAACAACCTCTTGGACACACTTCTAAGCAACACAGCACGAAAACAACCTCTTGGACACACTTCTAACCAACACAGCACTAAAACAACCTCTTCAACAAACTTCTAACCAACACAGCACTGAAACAACCTCTTGGACAAACTTCTAACCAACACAGTACTAAAACAACCTCTTGGACAAACTTCTAACCAACACAGCACTAAAACAACCTCTTGGACAAACTTCTAACCAACACAGGGGATCTCGTGGTAGCATGCTTGCCTATAGTCCATGATATTGTGGGTTTTATCCATGGTAAGGTAAGACTGAATACTTTGTTGTTAAGAAAAAAATACCAGCAGCTGGTTGTACGAACGTGCCATTAGTCTAATGAATCATTTAGTCTTCATTAGCCTAATGCATCATAAAGGCTTAATGAAGACTTAATGACCCATTAGGCTAATGCCACATTTGTACAACCAGCTGCAGGCTTTAAAATTGGAATTTGCTAAAGACATGACAGTTTGTAGTAGAGCACTGGTTTTGGTTTGGAGTCAGAAAAATGTGCTCATATGGAAGGGCAAATTTCCTGAAGAATGAACACTGTAATTGATAAAGACAGGGTGATTTGTAGTAATAAAAGAGATTGGTTTGGAGCAAGAACAATTTACTGAAATGGGATTGAATATCCCATGCGAATTAGACACTTAAATAAGACTCGGCTTTCCATCTGCTAAAGACAATGCAGTTTCGAGTAAGAGCAAGGACTGAATGACCCAGTCATCATTATACATTTATATAAGTTGGCATACAATTTTCTTAAATAAGCATCTTAGTTTGCTGTTCCATTTGCTCCTGGCATGAAGACTCTACAACTTGTAATTCAAAGCTACAATATTCCCTCTTCCAGTTTTTTAAAATACATTTTTTTAAAAGGGAAACAAATAATTCAACTTGACTATCCAATTGTTATTATTGTAATTTTCTGAATATCATTTAAACATTATTATTTTTTTGTATGAATTTGTAAAAGAATATTCATGTTATCATTAAAATATGACCCCTAATCGGAAGCCGAAAGATAGTGTAGTGTACAGTAAACAAAGTCTTATTTTAATGAGATTGGTTGGCCTATCTCCTACACACCAGTACCTTGTGAATTAGCATGTAAACAAGAATGTGTCCATAGTACACGGATGCCCCACTCGCACTATCATTTTCTATGTTCAGTGGACCGTGAAATTGGGGTCAAAACTTTAGAAAGATCATATCAAAGGGAACAGGTGTACTAAGTTTCAAGTTGAGTGGACTTCAACTTCATCAAAAACTACCTTGACCAAAAACTTTAACCTGAAGCAGGACAGACGGACGGACGGACTGACAGACCAACGGTCGCAAAGACCGAAAAACATAATGCCCCTAGGTGGGGCATAAAAATAAATCCACCTTCATGTATCAGTCTGATACAAAGCAGGGGTCCTACCCAATCCAAATTATGTTCTCTTCCTGAATATGCATGATATGTGTGCAATACTTGCCCCTGGACATAAAACATTCATATATTCATTCTGTTAATCCAATAAACTCTCATTCTTTTGAGAAACAGTACTTAATCATTTAAATAGTTCTCTTTAAATAGTATGATAGTTTTTCTGCCCATATAACTTTGTATGAAAATATTATTTATTGCTATAAACATTTCCATATTAAAGTTACAAAAACATTAGCCAGATTGTTTGATATCTGAATCAATTAAGTTTCAGTGAAGTAGGTAAAAGCCTGAAAAAAGAAGATCAAGTATTGAGATGCAATCCCAATATTACGTTTATTTTGTCTACACTCTACTTGACACTTATTTAAGTGTACTGAATAAATTTTATATGGTGACCCCAAGGTCTCATACCACTTAACAATCAAAAGTGCTTGTGAGCACTGAAAGGGTAAAAACTTTGTGAATTTTTAAATAAAATATTGAATTGTATTTTGCTAGGCAAGTTAAAAATTTGAGTTGGAGTCATCTTCTTTTGTTCATGATTGCACATTTGTAATTTAACCTATTTCTATAACAGATTCATACACCATGCATTACTTGTGTAATTCTTAATTTAAAACAAAATGTCTTCTTGACAAGTATGGTAATTTAAATACACATCATATTGTAACTTAAATATCAAAGTATAACATATCAATAAATTGCATGACATTAACAGGACAGGATCTAAATAATGATCATTTCACTGCACTATTTTGATTGAACTATCAAAGGTAGTGACCAACCTTGGAAGATATAGATATCAAGTCAGTCCCATAGAGTTTTGATTGCATTTCATGCAATCTTTACCCAAAAACATGCTGTTATTCTTAAATTCTTCAGTGGACATTTTTACTGCTTTCGTAGTCCATTCTATACATTTATAGATCTGTTTCACAAATTTTTAGTGTACTAATGTTTTGTGTCTCTGGTAGTATCAATGCTACATACATGACATTTATCATTAATTATGTATACATTACCAATAACTTGCTTTTATTTGTATAGGCTGGTTTGGATAAAAACCTTTTGTGGAAAAACTTAAACAAATTATACACATGTATATATCTAAAAAAAATTGTTGGTTGACAAATATTAAAGTGAACCAAAAATTATTTACGTCATATTTTTATTCATTTGTATTAATCAAACTAGCTTCATTCCCACGATTTTCTGGTATTTAAATGTTTATAATGTTCTTCGAGATAATGAATTCTTCTGTCTTTTGGTTTATTCCATCTTTCTATTGCATCTTTCTCCACTGCTTCAAGAATTCTTGCCTCATTTGTAAATCCTAATGCTTCCATGTGGCCCTCATCCTCTTTCTGAAAGTATAAATTTAAGATATGAGTTTTAAGATATCAATACTTTATAAATGAGTATACTGCCTTATTATTATGCTCAAAATTTAGAAAAAAAGTTTTAAATATAGTCATAATAATCCTGTTTGAATGGTTTTACACTAGTCATTTTTGGGGCCCTTTATAGCTTGCTGTTCAGTGTGAGCCAAGGCTCCGTGTTGAAGGCCGTACTTTGACCTATAATGGTTTACTTTTACAAATTGTGACTTGAATGGAGAGTTGTCTCATTGGCACTCATACCACATCTTCTTATATCTATATATTAGTGCATCACTGATATTTATGACAAAATGCTTACATAATCAACCTACATATAGGATATAACACGAGGACGTATGTTGGAGTTGTTATATCCTATTTACAGTACAGTCCCCAAAATTCTGATGCATTGTTCCTTATCAGTATACGGTGGATTCATTTATTTTTGTGTGAATACCGATTTTTTGTGGATACTTGATTTCTTGATTTTTGAAAATTCTGCATACAAGCCTATAGGAAATTTATATTTCATTAAGCATTTTAATTTGAGGTTCAAGTATACCCACAAAATCCACATTAAATAGTACACCACGCTTAATAATGCATCTACAACATGTTTAACTGAAAAATCAGAAATTATTGTGTCCATCTATTATTGGGATTTTTGAAAAAAGGACAAAAATGCAAGATCAATTATTGTGATTTCTGGAAAATTTGCATACCGATATACATATATATATATATATATATGTATCAGATATAAGAATGTGAGTTCTTATTATTGTGTCACTCACACAGTCCCATTATTCGCAATAATAAAAACCTCACAATAATTTCTGAATACACAGTATATACAGTATGCATTGACCGATTATTCAGGAAGAGATCAACAAATGAACTAATATTATATTGATGACCTGATGAGGAATGATTCCAGAAAGAGACGAAGAAACTATCTTCCAAACATTATTTTCAGTTGACTTGAAATTGTATCACTGCTCCGTCGGTTTGTAGATAACAAGAGTCAACTGTATACCCAGGTAATCATTTTCACAAGCATATTGTAAATGATGGCAAATTGACTGCCATGCTTTTTCAGTGTTTCCTTTTTTCTTCACAATAGGTCTAGATCTAATGTCTCATATCCACTGATCTAGGTCCCCCATTCTGACTAACTTACATTTTTGTGGTGGCTATACATTACATTTCATGCATCTGCTTATCATTTATGGTCAAAGTACTTATCTAGTTTATATTACTGATAATTAATGCATGTACAACTAAAATTGTATGATTTGCTTATCATGTTTATTTTATATTACAATGTAGAATACAGATGACTGTTTTGTATTTTGGGCTTGGCCTAAATAAACCTTTATTTCTACTGTTACAAATTCTGTTTACAACATTCTGCATCACTTGATAAACTAATTTGTCACACTCAAGAGTAAAACCTATGTTTATAATAGTCCAAGCTAAAATACAATACAGTCAGTCAGTGGTACTACTTGTTCAAGTTATTTTTTGTTTACTTGAAGAATATATTAATATACTTATACAAGTGTATTTTATTTACTTGTATCGGTTGATTATTCTAATGGCTTAGTTTTGTCCCTTAGACATTCAGATTTTTTTACTTATACAAGTAAAAAATCATACTACCTTCTTTTCTTGAATTTCTCAACACTTCTTTGCTCTAATAGAATTTTTAATTGTCTGTCCTTTGCACTGATGTCTTTACTTATCATTTAAGTGTAATTTCATGGACAATGAAAATCTCATTTGTCTGTTTAATTCAAAACACTGCTCATTTACAAGCCTCGAAGGGGCAATTTTTGAAGGCCTTGCGCAATTACTCAAGATCTTTGCGCAATTAGTTTCTTTGATGAATTAATGAGATGAAACATTGAACTCTAATAAAAAATTATGAGCTAACCAGAGAAAAATTGTTTAAGGCATGTTTTTACATCCCAAAACTTGAGAATTTTAGGGATAGTAAAAAAAATTACTTATACAAGTAAATTTTTTGAGAAAATTAAGGGGAGATTATTCAAACCTAATAAGAAAATATGAATATAACAAATTTACTTATATAAGTATATTATTATTTACTTCTTCAAGTAAATAAAAATAATTTGTATAAGTAGTACCCCTGACTGACAGTTACCTTTGAGTTTGAAAAATGCAAATGCAGAAATTAGCAAAAATATTTGAATTTACATTAACATGAATAAAGGGGCATAAGCTATGATCTAGAGAAAAATCTAAAATATGAATTTGTTTGTTTCAAGTATTAATAAAAGTGGAATTTTGAAATAATACTTCATTATAAGCAGTTAGTTTGGCCAAAATTTGTCAAAATAAGCTCAAACATATTGCTGATATATTATTGACTTGCAAATGAATAATTCCACCTCATGTGAATCTGTATTCATCATGTTCATGTGATCTTTAATATAACCCCTATATATATAGCTGGAGATGGATTATGCATGTACTCATGGTACTAGACATGTTCAGCTATTAAAAGGAAAGTAATGTAAACATTGAAAATGAAACAAGGGTGAACCATATTACGTTGACTGATTCAATCTACAAAAAAGCATTCTCATACAGGTAAAAACAATGATTAACTTATTTTTTAACCTATACAGGAAATCAAACAGACCTAGAAAAATCCAATTGCAAGTGGTAGCTATCTATTTATATTTATGTTTATATCGAGTTATATGACTGTCAGCAGTATTCAGAGGTCATCTCGTTAGATAATTAGTATATCATCGAGTTCATGCATTGTTAATTGGTTTTTATTTTTTTTACTTTTTGTAATTTGGATGTACGTTTTGATATGTTATAATAAATCAAATATTAGACTTTGAGTCAAATTAATGAACATGAATTTGACAGCTATTATACAATTTCCCCCTTTATATTAAATAAAATGTTTAAGAAAACTGCTACTTACTTCTGTCAGGTATGGTTCAGACAAAATCCTTTCATTTTCTTCATTGATCAAGAACCATTTTAGAGCTCTCTCCTTGTGTTGAGGGTAAATCTTTGGTATTATTTTGTTTTTACTAAAAAAATATGAAAAAATTTAAGCATGTTAAGCATTGTTAAGTCATGTAAGTGATCAAAACTATATTTGGAAAAAAATGTTCCAGAGAAAAAAGTCTCATTACTGTACGTTATAACAATGAAGAACAAGTGACGTTTACCATTGTTTACAGATAGAAAAAAACATTATGATATACACCACTAGAAGTTCATGTTTTCTGTTAAAAAAAATTATGAGATATGAATGTGAAAAGGCATCACACAGTGAACATGGTGAAGCATGCTCACATGCTTGCAGACTCACTCACAAACTATATAATGTCACAGTAGAGTGCGACAAGTAAACAACTTTTGCTGTGAAACATGATCATTGTGTTAATCATGTTAATTAAGTGACTATAAAACAGATTCATATTAATAAAATAACACACTAGTATAAACAATATTTTATTATTATTAACACAAATATACCAATTTTAAGCCTACAGACACTGATACGCATGACCATTCAAGAAATTAACCTTCATATAAAAATGAAATGTTACATTCGTAATGACACATGCTTCCACAAAGAAGTGCACAAGTAAACATGGTATATAAAAGAAAAACTTTATAAAAAAAAATTTCATGGTCTTAGCATAAAAATGTAACTATAGGAAATGAATTGAAAAAGCATACATGGTAGGAATGTCTATATTTAATATAAAATGCAATCTTAGTCCTAGAACATGCGCCTCTGCATTCTGTTTCGATTTTAAACCTTTTTGTGCAGGTACTTTTAATTTTCACTTTTTTGGGAATGTCTCATTTTTCAATGTTTTATAATGATGCATATTTATATAAAAGGCACAAGTATCGGTCTCTTATCTAAAATATTCTATTACCCTGCATAGAGTAAACCAGGAACTTTCTTGTATCTCTTATAAAATCCAAATACAACTCGAGTAAGCCTCATTTTATTCTTTCATTTCATACTTGCTTCGACCTCTACTTTTTCTACTGATACCCTAAACTGAAATTATTCTTTAACTTGGCTCTTCATTTTAAAATAAGAAATAGGTACCAGTTTAAATAAAAATGGCAGCCTCCTGTCGATTGATCAGCCACTGCAGAATTTTATCACGATTTTGTAATAATAGTGGCATTTCTCCCCATCTAACATGTTTACAAGGTGTAACATATAATTATGTTTTAATAATATATCATTTTGCATGTAACGTAATAGAGAATTTAAACATGTAATGTCTGTTTGGTGATTCATAAGATAAAAGGGGGAGGGTCGGGTCAAACCACATTATATATCATTAAGAATTAATAATAATCATTGTAATAAATTATTTGTAATTATACTGCTCTCTTAGAACGTCCTTGATTGACAATAAAAATATTGCATTGTATTGTATTGTATTGTATTTGCCAAAGACAATGAGGTAAATGTCTCAATTTATCATATGAGACAGATATTAGCTGTGAAAGAGGGTTATTCTCTATTAAAAATTATTTAAAATAGCACCGGTACTACATGTTCTACTTATCAATATATTTTCATTTTTGCAACAGTAATACATGTACACAAATTCATTTATTATTTAAAAATAGTCAGTAGCTGTAACACAAATTAAAACCCTACATTTTTAGCACTGAACAATGAATTGAATAACCCATCAAAATACCCAAATAATGAATTCTGTTTAAAAAAAGTTCAAATGTTTGCTAGCTTTATCATGTTTATGTTAACATGGTTAAGATAAAATATAAGTACACAGAAAACATAAGCTCTATTGAGCAATAAAACTGAATTTTACAGTCAGGTAAAATTTTAAAGAGAGATGGGACATAAAAAAAGAACTGTCAACGCCAGTCTTCGAATTTAGCCACAAGTCCGACGGTCCTGGCCAGTAAAATCGGCCGCGGACTTGTCAAATTTGTTGTTCAAAAGTCCGACTGGGCTTGTAGATTTTTCGGTAGTTGATACGCTCTTTGCGTCTTTGGTAATTAGTGATACCAATAAATCGGTTTCTATTTTGCGCTTTTTCACATGAATTAAACGTATTGCGATTAATACTGGATAGAGACATTGTATGAAATGACAGATCATTGGTTTCCTTCCCCCTAACTTATATTCCCAAAATGTTTCTTCGGCAATGTACTGGTGGAGCTCGTCCGGGGAAGCCGTTTTAGTCCCCCGCCGATGAAAATGTAAGGAAGAGAAAGTACAACGCTACATGGTTGCGTCAGTTCCTTTCCAGTTGGTTAGAAGGAAGTCCGTGGTTGATGTATGAGTTGAAAAACAAAATGTTCTGTTCATGGTGCACAGAACATAAAATGGATTCACAGTTTGTGACCCCAGGTAGTGACAACTTTAAACTGGATACTATTAAAATTCACGAGAAGAATAAGAGTCACAAATTTATTGCTCTAAATATGAGAAGCCTGCAGCTGAACCATCAGAGGCTAAAAAATGTTACAGCATTCTAGAGAAGGCACCTTCTTTCTAAATTTTTAAGAGAATAAAATTATTATAACAGCTACTTTTTACTTTTTTCTCCAATTGTCAATGTTATTCCTATTAAATTTATCTTCAAAACATGACACTCAAAGCTCTCAGAATGCAGGATTTTGCATCTAATTTTTCAAAAATTTTCTGGGGGGGCATGCCCCCAGACCCTCCTAGCTGGTTCGCAGCGCTTCATGCTGCTCAGCGGTGATAATAATTTGTGTGGTCTTGTAGAATTTTCTGGGGACTTGTAAACATTTATGAACCACAAGTCCTACTGACTTGTAGGTTGAAAAGTTAAGTGTGAAGACTGCAACGCCACAGCAAAAATGCACATACAAGAAAAAGACAAAACATGCAAAATAATAACATAAGAAAATAAAGACTAAGCAACACGAACCTCACCAAAATCCAGGGGTGATCTCAGGTGCTCAGGAAGGGGAGGCAGATCCTGCTCCACGTGTCTCTAGACATGATCTGCAATATAAACATTGGATATCAACTCCTGAGAGGAGTAACTTCTCTTTAGTTTAGATGATGAATTTTACCCATTTTTTTTGTATTTCTCAGTTTCTTGAAAACTATATGACAGAAGGACATTTGAAAGAGCAACATTGTAAAAACCAGAAATGATTATCACTGTGATTCACAACAAGGTCTACCAGTGAATCAAAAGATGAGAATTGTCAATGGATTCCCAATTAAAGATTTTTCCTTAAATGATTTTTTGTTTATGCCCAGACTACCATAGTAGTAGTAGGTGGCATTATAATTTTCTGCTTTTCTGATTAACATTCAGCAACCAACCTATGAATTGTAGAATAGTCTCCAAATTCTACCAGATATCAGCACATAGCAACATGTTTTTCTCTTCTTGGGCAGCAAAATGGGCAGAAAAATGGGCAGCAAGTCTAAATCTTGGAAATTGCCCATTCCAGTCATTTTGAAAGAAAGTTTAATGAAATTAGAATTTTTCAATGTTACAGAATTTTGCAGCTGTTTTGGCATTTTTAATTAGCTGATTAAATGAGAATTATCAGTCAAGGGAATTACTTAAATGAATTATTTCTAAATCACTGATTCAAGTAACAGAAAAAGACAAAACAGAAAATGTTGGAAATAAGAGTTGTCTTTCTTTAATAATCACCTATTTAAGTAGTACAAATAAATCACTAGACTAAGTGATTTAATTTTATTGTAGCTTTAAATAACAATACTAATGATCCAGGGACAAATTATGTTGTTATAATTATCAAAACCAACATCTGTCATGTCTGTGTTTATAGGATGACTGGTCATGTCAGGTGATGACCCTGTTCAAATTCTGAATCTGGGATAATGACATGAAAATCACTTGTTTAAGTATCATACCTCTCTTTTCTTTCAAAAAATCACTTCTTTTAGTATTATTCATGTTATTATTCTAATATCCCCACTTATTTCAACACCCCTGAAATAGTAAAATTTTGATCGCGAACAGTAAAATTTTATTACATAATCGGTAAGATGAAACCTTGAATTTTATAGGAAAAATACGCCCACTGCTGGGAAAAATCTGTTAAGAAAGTATTAGTTCATTGTGTAAAGCCTTCATTATAGCATTTTTCAATAAATATAGAATTTACAGCAGAATGATTGCATCATAGGCATAAACCTTGCTACTTAAAAGAAGCAAAAGGTTCATTTTTTATTAGCTCACCTGGCCCAGAGGGCCAAGTGAGCTTTTCTCATCACTTGGCGTCCGTCGTCCATCGTCGTCGTCATTAGCTTTTTACAAAAATCTTCTCCTCTGAAACCACTTTGCCAAATTTAACCAAACTTGGCCATAATCATCATTAGGGTATCTAGTTTAAAAAATGTGTCCGATGATCCCACCAACCAACCAAGATGGCCGCCATGGCTAAAAATAGAACATAGGGGTAAAATGTAGATTTTGGCTTATATCTCTGAAACCAAAGCATTTAGAGTAAATCTGACATAGGGTAAAACTGATTGTCAGGTCAAGATCTATCTGCCCTGAAATTTTCAGACAAATCTGACAACCTGTTGTTGGGTTGCTGCCCCTGAATTGGTAATTTTAAGGAAATTTTGCAGTTTTTGGTAATTATCTTGATTATTATTATAGATAGAGATAAACTGTAAACAGCAATAATGTTCAGCAAAGTAAGATCTACAAATAAGTTGTCATGACCAAAATTGTCAGTCGACCCCTTTAGGAGTTATTGCCCTTAATTGTCAATTTTTAACAATTTTTTGTAAATTTTTGTAGTCTTTTACAAAAATCTTCTTCTCTGAAACTACTGAGACAAATTTAACCATACTTGGCCATAATCATTATTAGGGCATTTAGTTTCAAAAATTTGTCCCATGACCCCGCCTTCCAACCATCATGGCCGACTTGGTTAAAAATAGAACATAGGGGTAAAATGCAGTTTTTGGTTTATATCTCTGAAACTATAGCATTTAGAGCAAATCTGACAGGTGGCAAAAATGTTCATCAGATTAAGATTTATCTGCCCTGAATCCGACAACCCGTTGTTGGGTTGCTGCCCCTGAGTTAGTAATTTTACAAAAGTTTTGCAGTTTTTTGTGATTATCTTAGATATCATTATAATATCTAATATCTAATACTATTTATTATGATTTCAACCTTATTTTACATGAATTCCAAAGCATCAGTAAATACAGGTGAGCGACACAGGCTCTTGAGAGCCTCTAGTTTCAATTTTACTAATAATAAGATATAATCTAAACCTGTATGTTTAAAATTTTGGTAAAACTACAAAATCACAGAATTTCAAATTTGCTGCATTTGTGTACTTAAATAAGTGAGTTTATAAATCACTTATTTCAGTAATTCCCCTGACTGATTATTTCATTGTTATTTAAAAGACCAAATTTAGTAATCATAATTTTACAAACTGGATTTATTTTATCATTTTCTATTGAGATATGAAATATTGCTATTATTAAACATGATAAATGAGCAACCTTGTTTTTTTGAGTACCTCGCTACAGTTTCAAAACCCCAATCGTCATGATTGTCTTTATGCTTTAGAACAGGAATGTCTGTATACCATACATGCTTTCAACAGGTAAACACTGATAAACATGATAAATAGTAATCCATTTTAATTTGGCTAATTTTTGAAACCCCTCTGCTCACATTGTTTGAAAAAAAGATGATTGCAAGGGACAAATTCGAGTCCTCTGACTTTTAAGTTTAACTTCATGAAGGACAGACAAGCATGGCCAAAATATGAAAGATTGTTTCTACTTGTAAACATGGTAAGTGTATAGCAACAGATTTCGAAAATTAGGGGAATTAACTCAAATTTGTAAAAAAGTTATTATATTAAAAAATACATTATTTTGATTTTTAATTGTAATGATGATTTGTATTCAAGGATGCATGGTAAGAAGAGGTTTAAATAATTCCAGAAAATATCAACCTTTGCTCAGAGAGTTATATAAAAGACGAATCAAAGCTGGACCAGAACCTGAGCTCCATCCATCAGAATCAGGATGCTGGTAATATTTTTACTGTAGATTTTAATTTTCGTCTCATGCCAATCTCTAATAAGCATACAAAAGTATTCAATTTGGTGAGGGGCAGAAGACACAAAGAGGAAATTTAAAATTCATAAGTCAAAGAGAAACTGATAATGTCATGGCAAAAAAACACAAAAAGAAAAAAAGAAAATCAGGTCAACAAAACCCCATATAGAAAACTTAAGACTGAGCAACACGAAATAATAAGGCTTAAGTTTTCATGGTATTATATGTACCAGTACAGTGTCATAATTGTATATTACTTAATGAACATCATCTGTAAAAGGCATTTGATGTTCAGTAGTTGTCGTTTGTTGATGTGGTTCATAATGTTTCTCGTTTCTTGTTTTTTATATAGATTAGACCGTTGGTTTTCCCGTTTGAATAGTTTTACACTAGTAATTTTTGGGGCCCTTTATAGTTTGCTGTTTGGTGTGAGCCAAGGGTCCGTGTTGAAGGCCGTACTTTGACCTATAACTGTTTACTTTTATAAATTTTGACTTGGATAGAGAGTTGTTTCATTGGCACTCATACCACATCTTCTTATATCTATTTACACAACTTTACCCAGCTTAATTGATCTAGCTCTAGGAGTCGCTATTGCAGACATGACTGCTTATGCTCATGAAACTGTGACCAACAGGAAATAATGTTATGCAAGGAAGAGTTTGAAGTTAGGCCTTTCAAAATCAATATTGCATATTTAATACATTTATGAAATTTCCTTCATTTCCAAAATAATCATGTTTTCAGAAGAAAAATTGCAGAGGTATTTTAAACAAGTGATAGGAAACCTGCTAAATTGATTTATAAATTTTACAGTGTTCTTGTAGGTCCTAAAATAGGAGTGGGCCATTTTTTTTTGCTGGTAAAAAGGCCATGTAATATTTACAGATAATGGACCATAAATTTGCCAATGTCATATTTTATAGAATAAGAAGAAAAAACAATTACAACTTTTAAATTAATCATTAATGACTTTTTGCAATATATTACTTTTAAGGAATTACAATTCAGAAATATATGCATTTGGAAAAAGATATGGAGAAGATTTTGATGAGAGCTTCTTAAGGAAAGCTTTTATTACCAGGTAAGTCAGAGATGTTTCTGGTTTTGATTTTCTGATTTTGATCACCACACATCATGAAATTAAACATTCCCAGTGGATTTGGATTTTTTTCACAAGTTCCAGACCATGTGGAACCATTACTGCTCTATACTGTTGTAAAAACTCATTGTTTTATATCTATAACAGTGTTCCAGCTAGGATTTGAAAATAGAGGGGCGCGTTTTTAAAAAAGGGCACTTTAGCGCGTTCTCACTGAAAAAAATCAAATACTTAATATTACCACATAATGACATATTTTTAGCAAGCATGTAGCTAAGTTAAATACTCTATACTATTATATACAAGTTTAAAAATCATTTATTTAGAACATATAAGTTAAAATCAATCTGAGAGCACTAATAGTCATTACTATATTCATTTCTCTTTCAGAACTACAGATTTTTCAAAAAGAGTTCAAATGCAAATAAATATTAAACAACATTGACAAGTCTTCTGTTTTTCTTTTTGAAGAAGGTTGTCACACATTGATCAAGAATTTTTTCAAATTTAGTTTCATCACAGTTTAATTTTACAGTTAATTTTTTTGTTAATGTCTGTGTTTTCAAGTTTGCCCTGTGACTTGTCTTTATCAATTTGACCTGAGAGAATATTCTCTCCACCTCTGCTGTACTGAGTGGTTGTATTATTGCAACACTGAATAGTTTTGCAACAAGAGGGTACATAGATAATAGGTTTTTATCCTTATGACAAGGTTAATGAAATAGCTCTAGCAGACTAGGTAAGGAACGATCTGTAAGTTCTGCTGATGACACAAGAGCTATAAAGTCCTGCCATTGAATAAGGAGAGTTTCAGGGTCCATGTCAAATGTATTTGCCAGAGCTTCTATCTCTGTATAACCATACATTGTTTCAATGTTGTCTGTTCCTGTAAGGTCTAAAATCAACTGTTGATCCAAATAAGTCAAGTGGCAAGTGATGGCGCAGAATGAAAAATAGAACTTTCAGAGCATCCTTCACTGCTTTTTGTGCACCAGTAGATATATTAGAAGCCATGTCATCAACGGTGTGTGCCATATCTAAAGTTATTGCATATTTATGTTGTTCACTGTCTTGATGGATTTGTATCTTATCTTTGCACAACAGTTTATAACCTACAGTAGACCATGTCTGACTACCAATACTTCCGTGTGATTGATGCTTGTTACAAAGTTTGCAAAGCATGACATCAACTAATGTTCCATCCTCACTAAAGTCTTTGTCAAAATATAACCAGGAATACTGTTTCAACCAATTATTATTTATACCAACTGTGTGTTTCCCACTAGGATTTCTTGTTCGTGTGGAGGAAGGGAGTGTAGGGTTAGGATTTTCTTGAGTTGCTTTATTTGCTTGTATTTGTGGTTGTATAGGAGTTTTGGCTGTCTCAATTACAATTTCAGGGGTCTCATTTCCATCATTACTGAAAGAAGATAGGGAGAGTGGGGTAAACTTTACATTGAAAATTGTGTAGGTTTGGTTGTGAATTTAAATAAGAGTGCCAATGAGACAATTGTCTTTATTTCGATCTTGAGAAATAGATTAATTCAACAAATAAATTTGTTAATTCAACTTTGAAAGTTTATTATCAATTCAACAAGCATCTCATTATATTTCATGTTGAGCGTATCTAATAATATCAATAAGTTTGTCAAAACGGATTTCAATAAGAAAATTGATACAAAAATCGGACTTTTGAGAGCTCCGTAATCGGCACAATAATAAATTAATTCAACTTTGAAAGTTTATTATCAATTCAACAAGCATCTCCGTATATTTCATGTTGAGCGTATCTAATAATATCAATATTAAAGTTAGTCAAAACGGATTTCAATTTAAGAAAAATGATATAAAAATCGGACTTTCGAGTGCTCCGTAATCGGCGGAATTTACAATAGAAGAACAATTGCGATATCTGATAGAAACCATTCTTCTTCTCGATTTTTCATAAAAGTAAAGAATTAAATTATTTTTTTACCTTTGAGGGTCATTATTCTTGGAAAAAGATGTAATAGACTGGCAAGTCTTTGATATTTTCTTCTTGTCATTTTCGAGTTGGTCAATTTTTCTTTTTTTCGTCGGCATTTTGCGTGTTGATGATTTACAATATACTATTGGAATGATTCTTTTTTAATGAACATTATTTTATAAATAACAAATACAGTAGAAATGAACATCGTTCACATTTATTTTATAAATTCTATTTTGCATCATCAGGTGTTAAAAAATCAATTCATTTAACTTGGATGTTTGGTGCTTCAGGGCAAAGGAATACGACAGGGTCGTAAATTTCACCTGATTAAGTAATTGACTCTAATCAAATAGGTAATTATATTCGGGTTACATGTGTCAACAATTTTAATCTGTTGTCTTATTGCGAACCCAATGAAAGTTTTCCACAGTGCCATCTCTATCTTGACCAGGTATTTAAACTTTTGCAAGTTCACCTGTCCTATTGAATGAATACAATAGCTATTTTTCTCTGTGTAGTTTATTCACTGGGACCTTTAAATTTCTTCTAAGAGAAATCTATCATTCATTGATTAAATTACCTGTGTAAAAAAAAATTCTTATATATAGACAAAAATACTTTTTTTATACTCATTAATTGCGTGTGCTGATGTATTTATTCAATATTAATAATATATTTTCATTCAGTTTAATATAAACATTGATTCAATCATAAAAAGTTGATTTCTAACAAAAGTTTTATCAGTGTTCCTATTGAAATTTGATTTTTTTTTGTTTAGTTATAGAATACATTTAAGAAGATCTTAATTTGAAACATCATTATTTTCAAGTTCTTATTCATGTCAAACAAATTTTTTTTTAAAAGGAACAATGTTGAAAGTTTTGTCAGAAATCAAATTTTTATGATTGAATCAATGTTTATATTAAACTGAATGAAAATATATTATTAATATTGAATAAATTCATCATCACATGCAGTTAATGAGTATAAAAACAGTATTTTTGTCTATATATAAGAATTTTTTTTTACTCAGGTAATTTAATCAATGAATGATAGATTTCTCTTAGAAGAAATTTAAAGGTCCCAGAGAATAAACTACACAGAGAACAATAGCTATTGTACTCATTCAATAGGACAGGTGAACTTGCAAAAGTTTAAATACCTGGTCAAGATAGAGATGGCACTGTGGAAAACTTTCATTGGGTTCGCAATAATGAAGTGTGTGTATAAAGGACTCAACAAAATGGCGACGATATGAGGAAAAAAGATCGTTTTTTAAACTTTTTTCAAAAGGGCACAGAAGGGCGCATCAGAAGGGCAGAGGGGCGCAAAATTTCAGGGGCGGGGCGCAGCGCCCCTCCATTTCATGCTAGCTGGAACACTGTATAATAATATTACTGTGAATTCATTAAATAAATATTTTTGGGATACAACTTTTTGTGGATTTTGTTAGTAGAGGTTAACCACAAATTTAGATGTTCAGCGAAGTTCCAATTGTGTATAGCCTTGTTTGCTGATTTTGAAAAAACAAATAAATCAAATATCCACAAAAATACAATTTGTTCTCAATCCTCAAAAATTGGTACACACGAAAATAAATGAATCCACAGTCTATCTGTATAAAATTTTCTTCAAAATATATTGTAAACTATTCCCCTATTAGCAAATATCTAACAGCCAGGCTAATAAGTAAGTAGGAAAGTACTAAATTTTTCATCTACCTGTAAACATCTGTTAACTTTTTTTTACATTATCATGTTATTAAACATATCCAGTGGATTTGGATTTTTTCACAAGTTTAAGACCATATTGGCCCATTATTGCTCTATACTTTTGTAAAAACTCATTGTTTTTAAATCTGTATAAAATTTCCTTAAAAATGTATTGTAAACAATTCCCCTATTACGAAATATCTAGCATAAGTATTTAGGAAAGTCCTTAACTTTTTCATCTACCTGTAAACATCTATTATAGTTATTTTAACATTTGTTTTAGTGACTATCGACAGGCTGAAGAAGAGAGCAGACGACAACTTGGTATAGATCTTGAATCAGTTCCAGTAGGCGTGGTTGACAATTCGGAATTAGCACAGAAAGGTGAAGGACTATTTTTTATATAGAAATAAAGAGATGTGATATGATTACTAATGAAACAACCATCCACCAGGTTCTATATGACTTGGATTTAACTATAGGATACTGCACAACCTTCAACAATGAGCTAAACCCATACCATAAAAGGACCCAACATGAAGAAATGTGATAAAAGTCAAATGAAAAAGCCGATGACCTGATTTAAGACAAAACAATTAGCTTAAATAGAAATATGACAGATTCTTTTTCCAAAATCAGTTTGTTGACTTTTTACTTTTTTTATACAATAAAATTGAGAATGGAAATGGGGAATGTGTCAAAGAGACAACCACCTGACCAAAGAGCAGAAAACAGCCCAAGGCCATGCCACCAATGGGTCTTCAACACAGCGAGAAAATCACGCACTCTGAGGCAGGCTTCAAGTGGCCCCTAAAAAAAAATGTATACTAATTCAGTGAAAATGGAGGTCACACTACTAAACTGTGAACATATAAATGAACTAAAATTAAAAAAAAAACATACAAGGCCAGAGGCTCCTGACTTGGGACAGGCGCAAAAATGCGGCTGGGTTAAACATGTTTTGTGAGATCTCAACCCTCCGCCTTTACCTTTAGCCAATGTAGAATAAACAAACACACAGGAAAACTCAGTATTTCAAAATATTGAGGAGGTTCTTCTGTCTTTTCATCCCAAATCAAGTATAAACTATTGTACTAAAGACTTCTCATTCTTTGAAAGCTATGAAACTGTTGAACATGAATAATACCACTATATTTTAACTTATAATGTTTTATATCTTTTTAGGTGAACAAATTGCATCCAGATATATTAAAGCTTATCTTAGACATAGCTATCCAATGATGTTAGAGGAGGGCATTCAGTAAGATTATTTATTTGAGGATCATAAAAAAGAGGGAGTGCCCCAAGTCCTATTTATTCAGATGAGGCAAAGGGTAGTGAAATGAGTGAATGGTCAAACCAAATGAAACATAATTCTTGAAAGGCCATCAAGATACAAGTCATCATAATAATTAAAAACTTGCAGTATACATTGAAATTTAGTACCTTTTCTATTCCCTATTTTTGTGGTATGTGAGTTTGTCATATCCCACTCTAAGAATGGGGAGCACATTTCCAATCTGTCAAATACCTACTTCCCATTTGCAGATACTTTGAATTTTTTTTATATGATGAATGAACCAAAAACTTTCATCACTCTTTGCTCAAATACATGTACATTGTACTGCTAAACAGAATGATTTTATGTTTGGACACCAGCTCGACACTGATAATGTTATATCACTTTTTGGAAAATGACGCTATCAGCGGCATGTTTCCGATACCATTGACCAGAACTTACGGAAGTCAATTATTGCCTCAGCCTACCGCACTCGGTTTCATATTTACTATTTTACATACTAACTGGAATCTGCTTGTATTACGCTACATTCGAACAAAGTGTTCGAATCGGACGGGAACCAGTTTACATACTTTATTTTATTTACCAAAAAGATATCTTGACCTGTCCATATGTTTTTTGTTATTTAATGGTATTTGGAGCTATCCCTTTGTTATATTTTTCATATTTATTCGAGCTTTCACTTTTATGCACATGTCTTACAATCGTAAACAATCGGTATGTATACATGATAAATAGATCCGTTTTGTTGGACTTTTTACCCTCCAATGATCAGCAATCGCTAGACAAAATAGTTCTCCTAAATAATGTCAGCCTTTCATGCCATTTCAACTTTTCAATCATTAAAAAAAGTGAAAATCGGAACCATTTTGATATCCATTGGATAGAAACTGGTCTTTATCCAGATTTACGAAGATTTTAAAAATCGGAAATTAGTAATACAGTTATACCCACGCGGTGCGTATGAATCTTTGTTTACAAAACAGGATTTCGGAACGTCTCTAGTTTTTAGATCGTAAGTCACGATAAACTCAAACTGAAAGTAAACAGTTGTTTGTAAGACGCAGGTTTACTCACCATAAACAAGCTGAAACGTTCAGTATGGCATATATTTTAGGTTAAAGACGGTCCCATTCATTTAAAAAGCATTTTGAAAGTAGACGATGGGATTATTTCAGGTTTGGGGAACGAGTAAATTATCACAAAGTTCATTTCTTGACGACCTCATAATTTCATCATGTCGATGGTACAAATCGATTTTTACTGTTTACTGTCGCTTCTCATGTTTTGTATTTAAACGGTTGTTTATTTTTAAACCCGAACCAGGCATATGCATTCTGTAATTGTGCAAATCTTCGTTCTTTGGTCAATTGGCTTATGGATAGTTGTATCAATTTCAACCCTCTTACATTATTTGTTTTTTAAATATATTTGCATTACACATGCAATGGCAGTACCTTTCCAATTACTATTTATGTGTTGTGTCTAAATTTTGTAACACTTTATAGTGACTGGAAAGGGTAGAAAAATTCATCAGATGTGAAAAGGCTGAAGATACTTCAAACGGCACCGAATCATTAGATATTGCATCTTATAAAAAGAAACTGAGATTTGGATAGTTCCACTTCAAGGTAAAAATGTTTATCTCTTGTGAAATGAAATAAAAAAAATATTGTAACACTGTAGTTAATTAATAAAGATACTTTTACGTGTATTTCTGTATTGGCCTTATTATTGGTTCTCGGCCAGCAGTCAAACGGCACCGAATCATTAGATATTGCATCTTATAAAAGGAAACTGAGATTTGGATAGTTCCACTTCAAGGTAAAAATGTTTATCTCTTGTGAAATGAAATAAAAAAAGTATTGTAACACTGTAGTTAATTAATAAAGATACTATTACATGTATTTCTGTATTGGCCTTATTATTGGTCCTCGGCCAGCAGTATTGGCCTTCCACTTCGCCTCAGACCAATACACCCAAGACATGGACCAATAACAAGGCCAATACAGAAATACTTACACAATGATATTATAGAATGACAGTATGGTTCAATAGCGGGAATCAGCCCCTCAACTACTTTTTACATAAATATTAACTTCTGGTTTCAACGCTTTGTTCGTCTTGTCTGGAGATCTTGCTGTAGTTCCAGTTCAGCAAGCATTTTAGAGACATATCCCGTCCATCCTCTTTTGACTTGTAATCTCTGGTGATAGATTTTGCCGCTTGACATTGTATCCTTTCAAGCTTGTTTTTTTTTGTTACCGTGTAGGGGTCCCATACTATGGCTCCATATTAAATTATAAGATCCATTCCTAAAGATCTAGATCATTGTTCTAATCTGACACAAATTTCAATAACTGGAATGCTACCCAAGTTGAATATATGGTGACCCACGGGAACAGCATTACCACTATTGAAATTGTGTTTAATACCATGATTGTTCAATGTCATTAACTTAAATGGAGACAGACATTTGACCTGAAAGACATGAAAGGTGGTGTGGGAGTGCAAAATCAAAAACTAACTGACTATGATATATGGTTAAAGAATGAATATCAATTACATGGGTCAACATGGTCAAGGGCAGAGTTGTTATAAAATAACAATATGGCAGAGAAGTGGTTTCAAGTTTCATATAAAGCGACCTGACTGACATGAAATAAAAAATCGAAGGAGTATCCCTATTTGTCTAATCTTCAAGGTGAAATAAAACTAGTAAAACAATATTATACTATTGTCTAAATATACAGAAATATAATTTGCTTCAAGTAACAGAAATAACTAGGTCACTAGTAACTTATTTAATGAGTATGTGGGGTATAAGAGCTTGCTAACAACAGGCTCTTCATAATCATTTGGTTTGAAAAGGATACTAGTAGTCTATATTCTTGATTTAAAAAAATGTAATTGCAAGAAAAAAATCACATTACTTAGAATACTTTAGATCATTCAGGTAGTCTTTATTTATATGTACAAAAGAACAGCCAGTAGTCATTGGATATTGTAGATCATTCAAATAGTCTTGACCTTTTTATTAGTACAAAAGAACAGCCAGTAGTCATTGGATATTGTAGATCATTCCGGTAGTCTTGACCTATTTATTTATACAAAAAAACAGCCAGTAGTAATTGGATACTGTAGATCATTCAGGTAGTCTTGACCTATTCATTTGTACTGAAAAAACAGACACATATATGAATATCAATTATATGCTTACGAGACATGTTGCAATGTTAAACTTATTACGGTATGTGAAAATCAAGACTTGCATAAAAAATATCACAATTAGAGACAGTGGCATCATTTTTCCTCAGAGCTTTCAGCTCTTTGATTTAGATCTTTCAAATACCTTCTTCCTGTTTCTGATACTTTAAATTATGAATGAGGTACATGTATGTTGAGCATGACAACACGTGCATTCTTGTTGTTTATTGATTTATCTGATAAATAGACGTTTAATTGAAAAAAATTCTCATTATCTTATCACAAGAATGTTATATTTCAGAGCTGTACATGACTATCTGATGGATGACCAGATGATATACTATATAGCCAGTAACTTTGGTTTGACAGACTTGATAATGTCACCAGTTAGTATTTATTTTGTTTGCATTTCATTGTGTTTTAGTGTGAGATACTATTGATATTTTATAATTTGAGTTATTTCCCTTAGAATGTATTTGTTTTTGTACACATGTATATTTGCCAAATGTTGCTTGTTGCTTCATATTGGAAAGAGTTTACATAGGCTTGAGCCTGCAATCCAATCCATTTCAGTAAAATATGTTTAAATTATAATTAAATTAATAAGTTTTCTCAGATTACAGTTACTATATCAGAGATGATTTGATTTAATTGCTCATCTGAACTGATTTCTGCAATAATGGCGTTTGTTAATCTTCCTTATGATGTCTCTATTTTAACTACAAACAATGTATTAATTATCTTGTGGAACATTCATTTCTGTTTTAATTTCAATGAGCAAAATTATCTCTGCTATATGAATTCATCGTTTTGATCATTTCCAACCTAATATAACAATCAAATTGTAAGTTGTCCAAAAGGTGGGCATTTAGTTATTTTCGATACTATTCATTAATTTCACCCAGGTCGTTGATAGGGTGATTTTAGATATGACAACAATTTTAATATAAAAATGGATTTCAATATGGAATATAATTTTACATAGGAAAGACCTTTGTAGGCAATATATATTATCTGTATAACCACACTGTATCCTTTCTGTTTTTAGTGCTTATCTGAAATTCAACATGACCTAATTTAAAAAAAAACTTAAGAGTAAATCTAAGTTTTTATGCCCCCGCCCTAGTGGAGGGGGCATTAAGTTTTACCCTTGTCCGTCCGTACATCCCAAAGTTGGTTTCCTTTCTCTAACTTTAGTTTGCCTCAACCAAATGTTATGAAACTTATACACAATGCTTATTACCACAAAACACAGATCAAGTTTGAACTTTGGTGGCGTCACTTTAACCGTTCTAGAGTTATGCCCCTTTACAAATGGAAAAATTGCTGAATTTTTCATTCTGTTCTCTTACTTTAGTTAGCCTCAACCAAATGTTATGAAACTTATACACAATGCTTATTACCACAAAATACAGATCAAGTTTGAATTTTGGTGGTGTCACTTTAACAGTTCTAGAGTTATACCCGTTTACAAATGGAAAAATTGCTGAATTTTTGTTTCCCTTCTCTAATTTAAGTTAGCCTCAACCAAATGTTATGAAACTTATACACAATGCTTATTACCACAAAACACAGATCAAGTTTGAATTTTGGTGGTGTCACTTTTACTGTTCTAGAGTTATGCCCTTCACAAACGGAAAAATTTCTGAATTTTTCGTTTCCTTTCTCTGACTTATGTTTATACCACAAAACTCAGATCAAGTACAAACAGTTTTGTCCCTTTATAACTTTATATGATATGCAAGCGGGGGCATCATCTGTGTCCCATGGACACATTCCCCATTTATTTTTTAATATTCACAAATTGAATCCAAAACACAGTAGTGTATATCAGATCAAAAGCTCAGTATTGTATTGAATTGGATACATTTATATGACCTTTACATTTCAGAATTACCCACCAGAAGACCATATGTACTGTACTGCATTTAAGGCAGTTATAGGTGCTCTTGCTGAAAGTCAGGTAACAGTAATAGATTGTAGTACATGTAATGACAGATTCTAATAAATCCAATTGTAATATCAGGCTTGTATATCATGTATATAGTAATGTTTCTTATCAAACTAGTAAGCTGCTTCAAGATAAAGATGCATTTCGTCATGTCATAATCTTTTAATTTAATGTTGATTGGAGATCTTAGATAGTCACTGTTAAATTAGTTTTTGGGTAAAGATTGCATGAAATGCAATCAAAACCTTATGTTACTGACTTGATATCTAAATCTTCCAAGGCTTATCACTACTTTTGAGATACACAAAATATAGTGCATTGATCATAACATTCTATTAAAACACATTATCCAGAAATTTATCAATGAAATATATGATTAGATATTTAAAGTCACAAAATTATGTTATACTTGTCAAGAAAATTAACTTTTGCCAGGTGCAGGAATTTAATATATATGTGTTAAAAATATCAATGATGTCATTGTTATTAAAGTCATCCTTAAAAATTAGAGTTATCTTCCTTTGTTCAGAATTTTAATAAATTGAATCAACTACAACCAATGCTTTATACAATGCAATATTTAATTTTGCTTCCCACTGATAAATTAAAGCAATCTTTATTCTTTAGTGCTTACAAGCACTTTGATAAGAAATGTGAGATTGACAGCTTAACATATTTTATACACAACTGTCTATTATTAAATAGGTGGATTGACCTCAATCCTCCTCCTGGATTTTTTGTCGCTTTGTTACTGTTTCATAGATAAATGCCCCCATCTCTTATAATTTCTAAATTTCACTTTTGAAAATGAATATTAAATGTTTCTTTGAAGCATAAATACTGTCTTAATCCTTCAGTGTTAAATTTGATGTTGTGTTTATTTTTAGAATGAAGAAAGAGCAGGGCTGTTTGTCAGAGATTTTGTAGCATCTCAGTTAGCTGGCAAAAATTTGATGGAAATCTGGGATGTGAAAAATCCCATGGGATTGTTGTCATCTGCATTGTCTATGCAGGGCAGAGGTCCACCAGAACCAAGGTACTTCCAATAGCCTTTTTATATACTGTTGACTCATTTACTTTCGTGAGTACCAATTTTCGTGGATTAAGAAAAATATGTATTTTCGCGGATATTTAGATTCATGGTTTTAGCCAAGTCTGTAAACATTCTTTTACAAAATTTGTAATTCGTTGAACATTTAAATTCGTGGTTCTCCTTTACCCACGAAATCCAAGAAAATTGGTATACAACGAATAATAGTGAATCCATTGTAGCTGAATAGATTTCTAGTTCCTAAAACTGAATATTTTCTATACACATGATACATTAGCAACAAGAGCACACAAAAACAAGTTACAATTTGGGATCAGATTGACCTTAAAATCAAATAATAAATTTAAGCAATTTGAGATTTTTAGAATCATATATTGAAACTTTGTTCTGTCATGAAAAAAAAACCAATTTGGGTTGAAAATATACCCTTTGAATGGTTTGTACATAAAAATGGGTTAAAATCTCAAATGGCTGGGTTGCAATATTAATGACTTATCAATGTAGAATGTTTTCAATGTAATTACATGGTGACTGTAAATTTTGCAGGAAAATAGCTAAGTTCCCAAGTCTGGAAAAATATGATTTTTTTTAAAACAATGCCATAACAGCTGGCACACAACTTCAACATGACTTTGAAATATGGGTTGACCCTGTAATGAAGAGTTGAAAACTTGTACACTCTTTCATAAACTTTGCTGAAAATTGAATAACAAAGTAAAATGGACAAGAGATACAACTACGATAAAGGGACAATCAAGAGGCTGCAATTGACTACTCCTGTCTCATTAAACATTGTGTGTAAAAAAAAAATACATTTATGTGTGTTAGTGCCTCTTTAACAATCTTGCTTATCAAGTGTCTGCTATTATGGCAGGTAGGCCATTGAGGATCCTTTGGGATCCGTTAGTTCTTTGACCAAAAGATGAATATACATCATATACAATGATAAATCATTGATTTTTTAAGTAGGTTGCACTGATAGTAGAAAAAGTGAAATTGTTTTGCTCTTTAGTTCTGAGAAAAGAGTTGCATTGTTTATGACTTGTGTGAGTGGGTAGAGATTGGTGTCATGAATTAATACATATAGCAATGTATAGATTCCATCACTTCAACAAGTGTGTTACAATATTTCTCCACTCGAGACAGTTAAATTTTAATATTTAAAGCGTGAGGCTTGCTGACCTTTTTAAATAGTTAAAATTTAACTGTTGAGAGTGGAGAAATATGGTTATACATGAGTTATAGTGCTAGAATCTGTTTCTCTAATGATTTGTATCCTTCTTTTTCAAAGATTTGCAGAGAGTTGTGTTCTTTATATGTGACGTCATCCGGCAGGACGTCACGATAGGAAATTCAGAAGAAATCAAGAAAATTTAACTCCATAATTATATTTCGACCAATCATTTGCTGAGAACAGATATTTCACAAGCGATGAGAAATATTTTACTCACACCGCTCAAGAAATGTGAAAATAGCACAAAAATTAGAGGAACATAATTCTTTCGTTAACATTAGATATTACCAATAAGATGAAAATGAACACTAATATTATATTTAACTAAATCATTTGTCTGTCATAGTAGTACTTTGTTATTTTAGATTACTATGGCAGTCAGCTTCAGCCACAATGTTGTCTTTGTATCATGTTTTAATTATTTCAGATTACTATGGCAGTCAGCTTCAGCCACAATGTTGTCCTTGTATCATGTTTTAATTATTTTAGATTACTATGGCAGTCAGCATCAGCCACAATGTTGTCTTTGTATCATGTTTTAATTATTTCAGATTACTATGGCAGTCAGCTTTAGCCATAATGTTGTCTTTGTATCATGTTTTAATTATTTCAGATTACTATGGCAGTCAGCTTTAGCCACAATGTTGTCTTTGTATCATGTTTTAATTATTTCAGATTACTATGGCAGTCAGCTTCAGCCACAATGTTGTCTTTGTATCATGTTTTAATTATTTTAGATTACTATGGCAGTCAGCTTCAGCCACAATGTTGTCCTTGTATCATGTTTTAATTATTTCAGATTACTATGTCAGTCAGCTTCAGCCACAATGTTGTCTTTGTATCATGTTTTAATTATTTCAGATTACTATGGCAGTCAGCTTCAGCCACAATGTTGTCTTTGTATCATGTTTTAATTATTTCAGATTACTATGGCAGTCAGCTTTAGCCACAATATTGTCTTTGTATCATGTTTTAATTGTTTTAGATTACTATGGCAGTCAGCTTCAGCCACAATGTTGTCCTTGTATCATGTTTTAATTATTTTAGATTACTATGGCAGTCAGCTTCAGCCACAATGTTGTCTTTGTATCATGTTGGAATCTATAGTGATAAGCAGCTGATTGGAAGATGTAAGTGTCTTGGAAAAATACAGTTGTTTCAAATAGATAAATAGTTTTTTAAATAGAAGTTTACCTTTCAAGATTGCTTACCAAAAATGTTGAAAAAATACAGGTCACACTTCCACCAATGAACAACCAAGCCATGTCATTTACTAATTAGTATGAACATGTATTCTTTCATGTAATGAATATTTATTCCTGATTTGTACATTTTAAAAACTTAGAATGATTAATTTGCAGTACATGTTGTATTTCAACATTTAGAAAAATTAGTAATAAGAATTTTTTTTAGTTCCAAAACAAACAACAACATATATTAAAATATGATTGCGTAGACAGCTGTTTATGTTTAACAAATGTAACATCACAAACATCTATCATTCAGAAATGAAATTTGTTTCATTTCAGCACCAGGTGAGACATTACCGATAGCAGAGGAAATGGCTGCCAAAGATGCCTTGTCAAAATTAATGAACATTTCACTCGCAGCAAAGCCATTACAATTTGGTGAAAAATCAGAAAGTTGGAAATTTGACTATAATCAAAGAAATCAAAGTGCTAATGACTTACTACAGACACCAACAAATATATAATTATTAAATTGATTATAGATTTATGTGTACATATTAAATAAAGCTAACATTTGCTACTTCATTCTTATTTCTTGTTATTTGTTTTTGCGCTTTGTACCAATCTGATGAGGCAAGCCCTTTCCATTGGATTTTTGCAGTTTGTGCTAATGTTGTTTTGTGTTAGGGGTAAGAGTTGAGGAATCACAAACATGTTAAACGCATTGAAATTCTTTATGTGCCTCTCCTAATTCAAGAACCTGTAGTTGTTGTTTGCTGTCTGCATATTTGTTTTTTGTTCATTGTTGTAGTATAAATCGGGACATTGGTTTTCTCTTGAATATTTCACATTTCATCATATCAGGACCTTTTTACCATATAAAGTAATAGTTTTGATTATTATTGAAAGCAGTATGGTTACCGGTATATATAACTGTTCCCTTCTGTTTTTATTGGCTATCGTACCAAATCTTATAATTTTTGTCAGGCCTACAACTTCTTTCGCAGAAAACTCAACATAGGGATAGTGATCCGGTGGCTGCGAAGGCGTTTACTAACTTTTTAAAATGTGTAATACCACCAAATCATAGTACGTCACATCCGGTTGCATACGAAAAAGTGTCGAAAAAAAATATTCCCTTGAATTTGACAGTTGTAGGAAATTAATCCTACATTTCATTGCAGTAAAAAAATTCTGAGTCATAAACATATATCTTGGGTGTTTCAAAGCACCCTTATTTTTTTATTTGGTGTCTCTATAGAATATTTTGGAAACTTGAGGTTACATGGTTACTAAAGCTTGTACACAGGAAAAAAAGGGGTGAAAATTTGATTGGTTAACTTCCAGTGATGGTTATTTTCTTATATGCAATGAAATGTCATGTGAAATTTTGTCTATAGTACTGGACAGGATAAAACTTTACTCATGCCAAGTATTTCTTTATTTGAAACAAAGATAAATTATGCACATTTTTTTGAAAAGTGCAAATTTAACAAAGACTTAATAGGGGAAAATCAATGGTGGTATTACACCTATTATGGGAAGCTGCACATGCACCTTTGATCTAGTGTGTACTCTCATTTGTTAAAAATTAATGCTATTTAATTGAAATATTACAAAAATTAAATATTCTGAGTGGATTGAGTCTCAAAAACACATTTTATGAGAATATTGCCTTGAAATAGGACTCTACCATGAATATCAGTAGACAGAGCAAGCCATACTCAGTTTTTTGGGGAGCTTTTTATGACTTTTTCTCCTTATTTCTTATATTTTGCTATAAGAGAAAACTTTTTCCTAAGTAATACTTTAATAAATATATAGTTATTAGTAAATGAAACTATTTTTGAAGCAGTAACAACAAATTATTCACTAAAAGGGAAGCTTTTTATGTCCCTCTCTGGAACGCGGTGTAAATTTAAGTTTTACGTAAAGACTAATTGAAACCTCCATGGAGTCAGTAAAGTTTTATATGGATAGTTCATTCAGATTGAATACTTCAATTACTCATTTATTATCACATTTCTTTCATAAATGAGTGAAAGTTACCCCAAAATGTTTATTTATTGGCCTAAAAAGTTGAAATTTTGAGGAAATGACAGATATAAATGGACCAAAACGGACCTTAAAATAAAGACAAAGAGGTCCATTGCTGGTATTTATCATCTTAGAGTCATCTTTTGTATCATACTCAACTGTTTGTAGGCAGATGAGATAAATATTTGATCATTTATTGGTCCACACTATATTCTATCATGATGTGGCTTGATTTGGATTTTTCGAAGTAATTTTGCTCGAATCACTGTAGATGTCGTCTTACATTATACTAGATTTTTCTCAAACTATTGAACTGATTATGACAAAACTTGACAGTAATGCTTGAAATAACAATTATTACAAAGGAAAAAAAATCACATACAGTTTTTATTCAACAAAAAATCTTCTTTAGGTGTAATACCACCAAATCATAATACGTCACATCCGGTTGCATACAAAAAGGGTCGAAAAAAAAATATTCCCTTGAGATTACATGGTTACTAAAGCTTGTACACGGGAAAAAAAGGGGTGAAAATTTGATTGGTTAACTTCCAGTGATGGTTATTTTCTTATATGCAATGAAATGTTATGTGAAATTTTGTCTATAGTACTGGACAGGATAAAACTTTACTCATGCCAAGTATTTCTTTATTTGAAACAAAGATAAATTCTGCACATTTTTGTGAAAAGTGCAAATTTAACAAAGACTAATAGGGGGAAATCAATGGTGGAATTACACCTATTAGCTTTATATTTTAGAAGGTGGAATACCTGGATGCTTCATACTTTGTTTATAGATGCCTTATGTTATGAAGTTTCCGTCTGTCTTATGTCCATTGTCCTTGACCTCATTTTCATGGTTCAGTGACTACTTGAAAAAAAGTTGTGATTTTTTGTAATGGTTATTTCTTTCTTATTATGAGTAATAGGATAACTATATTTATTATGTGCGTATCTTGCAAGGTCCTCATGCCCGTCAGACAGTTTTCATCTGACCTTGACCTCATTTCATGGATCAGTGAACAAGGTTAAGTTTTCGTGGTCAAGTCCATATATCAGATGCTATAAGCAAAAGGTCTACTATATTTGGTGTATGGAATGATTGTAAGGTGTACATGTTCAACTGGCAGGTGTCATCTGACCTTGACCTCATTTTCATGGTTCAGTGGTCAAAGTTAAGTTTTTGTGTATTGGTCTTTTTTTCTAATACTATATGCAATAGGTCAACTATATTTGGTGTATGGATATATTTTTTGATGTACATGACAGTCTTGCAGGTTTTTGTCGAGCCTGCGACTTTTGTCGCAGAAAGCTCGACATAGGGATAGTGATCTGGCGGCAGTGGCTACGGCGGCGGCGGCGTTAGCTAACTTCTTAAAAGCTTTATATTTTAGAAGGTGGAAGACCTGGATGCTTCATACTTTGTATAAAGATGCCTTATGTTACGAAGTTTCCTTCTGTCACATGTCCATTGTCCTTGACCTCATTTTCATGGTTCAGTGACTACTTGAAAAAAAAGTTGTGATTTTTTGTAATGTTAATTTCTCTCTTATTATGAGTAATAGGATAACTATATTTGGAATGTGCATACTTATCTAGGTCCTCATGCCCGTCAGACAGTTTTCACTTGACCTCGACCTCATTTCATGGATCAGTGAACAAGGTTAAGTTTTGGTGGTCAAGTCCATATCTCATATACTATAAGCAATAGGTCTAGTATATTTGGTGTATGGAAGGATTGTAAGGTGTACATGTCCAACTGGTAGGTGTCATGTGACCTTGACCTCATTTTCATGGTTCAGTGGTTAAAGTTAAGTTTTTGAGTTTTGGTCCCTTTTTCTTATACTTTATGCAATAGGTCTACTATATTTGGTGTATGGAATGATTGTAAGGTGTACATGTCCAACTGGCAGGTGTCATCTGACTTTGACCTCATTTTCATGGTTCAGTGGTCAAAGTTAAGTTTTTGAGTTTTGGTCTTTTTTCTTATACTATATGCAATTAGTCAACTATTTTTGGTGTATGGAAATATTCTATGATGTACATGTCAGTCTCGCAGGTTTTATTTGACCGTGACCTCATTTTCACGGTTCATTGCTCAGTGTTAAGTTTATGTGTTTCAGTCTGTTTTTCTTAAACTATATGCAATAGGTCAGCTATATTTGTTGTATGGAAGGATTGTAAGCTGTTCATGTCTGCCTGGCATGGTTCATCTGACCTTGACCTCATTTTCACGATTTATTGGTCAATGTTTAGTTTTCTTGGTTAAGTCTGTTTCTTAGAAACCATAAGCAATATGCCAACTATATTTAGTATATTGAATGATTGTAAGGTGTACATGTATTTCTCGTTTGGTTAATATGACCTTGACTTCATTTTCTTGGATCATGTTAAGTTTATGTAATAGTTGTAGTAAAGCTTTCATTTAGGACTATCAACATAATATCAATGGTTAGTGAAGAAGGCGAGACATTTCAGCGTGTGCACTCTTGTTTTTACCTTGACCTCATTTTCACGGTTCATTGCTCATTGTTAAATTTTTGTGTTTGTCTGTTTTGTCTTAAACTATAAGCAATAGGTTAACTATATTTGTTGTATGGAAGGATTGTAAGGTGTATGTGTCTGTCTGGCAGGTATCATCTGACCTTGACCTCATTTTCATGGTTCATTGGTCAATGTTAAGTTTTCATGGTTAAATTTGTTTCTTAGATACTATAAGCAATAGGTCAACTAAATTTAATGCATAGATTGATTGAAAGGTGTACATGTCTGTCTGGCATGGTTCATCTGACCTTGACCTCATTTTCATGGTTCATTGGTCATTTTTTCTCGTTTTCCTAGTCAAGTCTGTTTCTTAGAAATAGGTCAACTATAGTTGGTGTATTGAATGATTGTAAAGTGTACATGTATTTTCTGTTTGGTTTATCTGACCTTGAAATCATTTTCTTGGATCATTTTAAGTTTATGTGATACTTGTAGTAAAGCTTTATATTTAGGACTATCAACATGAAATCAATGGTCAGTAAAGAAGGCCAGGCATTTCAGCGTGTTCACTCTTGTTATATTAAACCCTGTGCTGGGAAAATACATTTTTATTTATATATTACATATTATACTATCAAATTGCCAATGCAAGTGAGCCCTTACCTGCAATTATCTGTCATACTTAATTAACTTCTCTAAATTTCATAACTGATGAGTAAACATTGGTTTTGTAGAAAGGTACTTGCTCTTTTTTTTTAACACCATGTCATAATGAAAATATTAATGTATATAATGTGCCTTTCTCTGTAGAGATAGACTGATAAAAATATCATGAAAAATTAATATGTAATACCTGAACCCCTGGAGTGCTGTTAACTGTCCACAGTAAATACGAACAGACATGTCATTAACGAACATCAGAAACACATTGAAAAGAAAGACAGAGATTCAGAAACAATGCTGATAAAAGTTTGGTTCTCAAGATTTATCAGTTCCTTCTCCAATATTGGGACTTCTTATGTTACTCATGATAATATCCGTCGAGGAAGTATGAGGAAATAGCATATTTAGTAACTATTGGTGCAATTCTATTACCCTTTTATATGACCTAATGTCAAAGATTTAAATGTAAATGATTATTTTCAGGTGAAATTATAGACAAAGCCATATTGAACAGAAACGGACATAGAAAAGATGTTAATGTCACCTGATGGCTTTTGGTTTGATGCGATTCCTTTACATTAACTGCCAATTTGTTGTTATGTAACATTATAACTTTTAAAATCTGATTTTTAGGTAGAAATATGTTCAAATACCGAGGATAAATAGTTGCAAAAGTTAGAAAACGGATCAGAATAATGAGAAAATTGATCTTTATTGAAGCACCTATGCATTTTATATGGGAGATAATGACACAAAATGGCGGCTCACTACGTCACCAAAGTCACGTGATGTCTTTCTTGGTTGGATATGGGGCGCGCTTGCCGGGACATCTGCAGAAATATCCATATATCGTCCAACAACAGAGCCATAACAGCAATGTTTTCCCAGTCATCGAAAGATCGTTTACCATAAGTTAAGGTTCTTGGTCGTCTATATACCTCAGCAGTGTTCATTTAGTTGTTACCTGAAATTATATGAATTGGTTTTGTTTATAACAACCTGATCTTGTATACGCAATAAATAACCTTTAGTTAGTTAACTAACTATTTTAAAGATCTCCAAGACAATTATGCGCGTTCTACGACTTTTTGGTCAGGACGGGTTTGAAACCTGCAGAAGTGCTTCAAAGGAGTTTTGATAATCACCATAAATAAAGTGAAGCGCACGATCGTGTATTTTGTTCCCCACAGAAATTATAAAAAAAATGCTTCGTTTGAATTTTCTCCTTTCCAACAATATGAAATAATTATCGAATTACATCTTATAATATTGTTCACATACGAAACATGAAATCTTTTATTACTCTCTTTTATTACCAAGGCATTATTTATAGCCTTTGTATGACATATACGCATGTACCATTAACAAAAGAAATTAAAAACCCGATCGAATACTATCGATGTACACATCTTTAGTTCATTTATATGTCAAGGAAGTTTTAAATTGTCAACGTATAAAGGAATCAGTGTACATGAAATATAAATAACGATAGATTTATTTGGCGAATTGTCTTTTATGGAATGCCAAGACTGTCTTATTATGTCCATTTTCATGTATAATGTAACTGTATCTCACAAAACCTGTTTAACCCAGCCGCATTTATGTGCCTGTCCCAAGTCAGGAACCTCTAGCTTGTGTCAGTCTTTTGTGTGTTTTTTTTTCAATTTTAGCTCGTTTATATGTTTTGGAGTGTAGTGTGTCGTCCATTTCGCTGAACTAGTATACATTATCGTTAAAGGGCCAACTAAAGACCGCCTCCGGTGCGGGATTTCTTGCTGCGTTGAAGACATATTTAAGGCCTTTGGCTGTTTTCTGCTCAATGGCCGGGTTGTTGTCTCTGACAAATTCCCTGTTTCCATTCTCAATTCGATTTAACCATTATATTAATGTGATATTTAGCTCACCTAGCTCACTTAGTGTCCACTGTCTGTCGTCGTCTTCGTCAATCGCCCGTTAACTTTAACAAAGATCATCTCTGAACTACTGGGCTAAATTTAACCAAACGGTTTTGTCACGATCATCAATCAGGTATATAGTTTTTAAAATGTTCCTGGTGACCCCACCGGCCGACACATTGGCCGGCATGGCTAACAATAGAACATAGGCGTAAAATGCATTTTTGCCTATAATCACTAAAATCATAATAGAGAGTTGACCTCTTACTGAATTTATTGCCCTTAATTGACGAGTTTCCTTTTTTCTTGCATTTCTGTCTATTATCTTTAAAACTATAATAGAATTATATAGATACTTAAAAAAGCAAAAATGATCACCATGACAACATCTACAAATAAGACATTTGGCTGATAGCTTCAGTAGACTCAATATTGGAATTATTGCCCTTAGTCATAATTTTTTACATTTTTTTACCATTTATCTTGGAAACTCTAATATACGAATAGAAACTTTAAAAAGGAAAAAAAAATCAGCAGGATAATATAAACATAAAATAGGTCAACATGACTGAAATTGTTAGTTAACTATTATATATAATTCTTACTTAAAAATAAACATTTTTGAAGATGCAGGTGAGCGACACATGCTCTTTAGAACCTCTAGTTCTATCAAACGGTGTAATTTTATACATCCCGCCATTGTCATTGTGTTATTGTGCTATGGTAAATTTGTGTATGCTTGTCTTTCGTATTGCTAATGTGCTTTGTCTATTTGCCTTTTTGTTTTTCTTTGTTGACATATTTGTTTTTTTTTATAGTTATTAAGATTATAACACAATGTTAACTGCTGTACCCCCATTTTTGACATTTTTACCTATTATGTCTGTTTGTTTTGTTCACACATCGTTGTCAATATAATGGAATTTTATGCGACTGTCATACAAGTGAGAGGTTTAGCTACCTATAAACCAGGTTTAATCCACTATTTTCTACATAAGAAAATGCCAGTACCAAGTCAGGAATATGACAGTTGTTATCCATTTGTTTGATGTGTTTAAGCTTTTGATTTTGCCATTTGCTTAGGGACTTTCCACAAAGCATTGTGTACATCATATAAAGTTCCTTGAACATAATAAAATGTCTGGTGGACATCATATAAATGCGATTGAACATCATGTTAATAGAAATATCAAGTACACATCAAAAAATGTCATTCACACATAATAGAAGGACAAAAGCACATAGCAAAAGGAACAAATCACATCGTATAACGAAATAAAACACACTGTATGATATTTCAGATAAGACAGATTTGGCGTTCCATAGTATGCGTTTCATTTGATACTTCTCAGGATCTTGCACATTCAAGTGAGTCTCATAATTTTTCAAATTTTGATTATTATAATTAACATAATGAAAGTGAGCGGAGTGAGAAAGGGGTGAATAAAGTTTGAATGAACGTGTAATATTTTTGAACGGCACGAAAGGGCCCTAGCTGTGGATAGCAAATTTATAATTTAAATTTGTAATGATGTGCGTTCAGCCATAGACTGAATTGAAATTCAATATTGTATAACACTCGTTGAAATATTATTTGATGCAAATATAAACAATATGTAGTCATTCAGAATTTGTAAAACAAGACTAATTTAAAAAAAAATCCGGATTGATTAATACGTTGATAAATATTCTTGAAATTTGACTGTACGCGAGGAACGGGTATAGGACATCACATTTCCTTAATAATCAGTATACTGATGTTCACTAACGGGCTAATAGAGTATAACTCTAAAGACTAACACACTCACTCAAAATTATTTCAAATTTGAAATAAAATTTATTATTTCAATCAATCTTCAAATTATATTTTAAATGACTATGAAGGTCGCAAGTTATTTTACAACTGTCAGATTTTTATTTGCAGGATGGCGGATTTTGAGATATCAAACTTTATGAAGATACGTTTGCTTTTAAAAATTTCCAGAAAAGCAGTGAAGAAGAAATTTGACTATGAATTCCACCCTAACGTTCTACAAAAAGAATTGCGCTCCACAGAAAACATGAAGCGATTGGAAAAATTAAAGAGCAAAAGTTTCAATCGTACCCAGTGGGATTTAATTACAAAAGGTAAGTGAATAATTTCAAGTAAATACCATCTCATTTTAGAAACGATCAATTCGAAAACGACAGAGAAGAAAAACGGCAAATAGACAAACATACAGAGTGTGGCCATAAGTATTTGTCACTTGAGATTTTTCACTATATATTTCATATAAAACTAAATATTTTCACAAAATTATTTTGGGGTCATTTTTTGTTTGATTTTAAGCAACTTGGTACCAATAGAAGCAACATTGTCACAGGTTATTTTTTTATTTGGTTGTATTTTTGTTGTAGATCATTTTCATTTTCTCACGAGATAAACACAAATACTATTTTCTGTTCAGAAATTTGCACTATATATTCAACCAAATTTAATTGTAAAATTTTATTGTATGTGTTCACATCAAGAGAAAACAAAAGCACCTGAAGACAAAACTATGACCAAATAAACAAATATTCTTTAGACAATTCTTCGTCTTTTAACACCTTGTTGATAAAAATCCAACCATAAATGCCTTCAAAATATTTTTTGGAAAAAATATGTTTTTATATGAAATATATGGCAAAAAATGCAGGTGACGAATACTTTTGGCCATGTACTGTAGTTTACTAAACACTACATAGATAACTGAGGATTGAGCAAATAGAACAGAACCCTAAAACACATATCCTACTCCACATGTGACACACGTCTTGTTACTCATGGTAGGTATAAATCCGGTAATAAGTATCATTCTGTGATGTCACAATCGAAGAAAAGCAGGAGGACGGTATTGTGGATAGGACAATTGAAGCATATCCATTTATGACACAGATATTCCAAAACAGCCAACCAACTCTTGATGATTGATTGATTGTTGGTTGCTTAACGTCCAGTGGCAAATATTTCATGCATATTCAGGACGAGAACAAGTTCACAATAAATACAATAGGTAGGTTCTGTAATAGATTAAGGGATTAAGGTCGGAGAAATTTAGACTGCCACGGGAAATGAGGGTATATTGGATAGGGACAGAAATTTAGCCTTGCAACAGGTCACCTACGGACCCCTCAAAGAGTTGTTGCAAGGGTTCTTAACGTGCAAAGAGCGTGACACTCTCTTTACACGAGGCATCGGATTTAACGTCCCCATTCTGACCGGACGTGGCTGCAAATTTGTACATCCCGCACAGCCAAACGGACGCCCCACTTTAGCACGGGTTTTACTGCCGGTCGGAGGAAGACCAATGGTGACCATACTTCTATTCCCCAGTCACCCTTGGGGGGCCCAACTCTTGATGTCCTCCGTCTAACTTTCGAAGGGATAACTTCAGCTTTACTACTAGGGGCCCTTGATTCTATAGCTTTCTTATAAGCAACACTCTTAACAACAAAACTATCCTTTATTGATACATCTACTGAATCCGAAGCAAAGACACAATTTTAGCTTTCAAAAACTTACTACCACCACGGGGCATCGGTTTTATAAAGTTTGTAATAAATGCCAGACGTTTGAAGACCTTAGAGAAATATATAAGTAACAGAGTTTTTTTAAAAACATGAATTTTGACAGATCTGTGAACATCTGATGACATTATTTGATAGATTAAAATTTCTGACTTTCAAATTTAAGACGCCTAAGAAAAAAGTCCATTCATTCTCTTTCCTTTCATAACAAATCATTTTAAAAGACCAGAACTAAGATTCGACTTTATAACGAACTACTGCTGTCAGATGACATGTGCAAACAGGAATGTTTTTAAAGCAACAATGGATTTCTTGGGGTTAAAATAAACACTTGAAACTTAAAGAAAACCTGTTTACACACAAAAATATACGGATTGCTTTTTCTTTCCAATTTATAATATTAGAAGAAAAGTAAAAAAAAAAAAACAACATCCATAATAGTGTAAGGTTATCATTTTATTCTAAGGCTGTCACATCGTTAACCTTAATACAATTACATAATCTTATTAAGAGGAAATTTAAGGTTGAATGTTATTTGTAAAAAGCTACTCGTATCATTTCCGGTCATAGAAATTTTTTTTAACCCATCAGGTAGTGACTTCAAACTATGTTGTTAAGCAAAAATATGTTTCTATAAAATATATCAATTGTTTTCTATTGAGATTAGAATTTGAAGATGAAGAAAATAGTTCCATTGAAAAAATACATATTTATCATGTTACCTCGATCTGTTTATTTTCATGCCCTTTTAGGTTCAAAGCTAATTGTATATAACGAAGTATTATTCAAAATTCCGCTTTTATTAATATTTGAAACAAAGAGAAATATATTTCAAATTTTTATCTTACTCATAGCTATTACCCCTTTAACATGTTTAAGTAATTATTTGCATGCATTTTACAAATATAAAATGTATGTCTCATATGACAGGTGACGTTTCATCAGACAACTTTGATTTGACTTTGATGATAACCCTTTTAACACACCTTGCTGATTTAAGTATTGGAAATGCACTTCCTTATCCTAGCGTCAAATCGGACGAAGCTGATTTTACAAGAATAAAATACTACCGTAACCTCATCGCTCACAACACAGAAGCTGCAATTTGTGAATCCGATTTCAGGACATATTGGAACGATATTGAACAGGTAAAACTAGATGATCAATAATCAAAGATCTTTATTTTATGTCAAATTGTAAAACATGAAGTTAGTATAGTTCTGCTCTAAATCTCTCGATCAAATTCTTATGAGACTACTTTACTTGTTAAATTAACTTCTAAAAATCTTTCCAAAATTAACGTTTTTGTTGTAAATGTCGTTCTCAGATATCACTGTGAACTACGATTTGATCAATGAAGCATGGACAGCCGTGTAAATACTTTTTTGAGATTTTTGTTGACAAGTCTTTCAAATGTAGCAGGAGGGGTCAGTGTCCACACCTCCCGGGACGTATAGTGGCTAGTATTTCGTCCCTATTCGATAATAGGGATACCTGATATCAGATGTTGGCTGAACAGAGGCATTACTAAAATAGAACTATAATTGAGAATAGAAATGGGGTATGTATCAAAGAGACGACAACCCGACCAAAGAGCAGAAAACAGCCGAAGGCCACCAATGGGTCTTCAACACTGCGAGAAAATCCCGCACCCGGAGGTGGGCTTCAGCTGGCCCCTAACCAAAAATGTATACTAGTTCAGGGAAAATGGTCTTAACTCCAAATATAAATGAACCAAAATAAAAAAAAAAAAAACATTCAAAACTAACTAAGACCAGAGGCTCCTGACGTGGGACAGGCGCAAAAATGCGGCGGGTTAAACATTTTTTGTGAGATCTCAACCCTCCCCTATTCCTCTTGACAATGTAGAATAAACTAACACACAACCAAAAGCACAATAAAACTCAGTTTAAAAGAAGTCCGATGTAAGAATAGGTAATGGAAGAAAATAAACAAAATGACAATGATCAACATAAATTTAACAAAGAACTACTAGCAGTTACTGACAAGCCAGCTCCAGACCTCAATGAAACTGATTGCAAGATTATGTCTTCATCATATGAAAATCAAGCACACTCCCTCACGTTAGCGGTTGCGTATCATACCATCATCAAAAATACGAGAAAAACATAACCTGTATCATGCCAACAACTGGTTTTAGAATAAATGTGTTATTTCTGATGCAAAGACCCTATGAGCGAATCAATATTTATTCAACAGAATGCCATCTTTATTGACCTGACGACAGTATCGTAACTATATCCCTTCTGAATAAGTCTGTTAAAGGTTTGGCTAGCTTTTGAGGTAAAGGACGACATTTTTGTTCTTTGTATAGAATGTAACCATGATATATGGGATGTGCAATACCTGAACGTATAAGAAGTTTGTGTTATTGAAATCCCTGGTGTAATAAATTTTCAGTAATACAGAGATTTCTTTTGTTAAAATCAAATACGTTGTTACATACACGAGCGAATGGAACAAGTTGAGATATATAAACACCATTAAATGGTAACAAGGGAACGTCACCATCTAAAAATGGATAATAAGCAATATGAAATGACAAATCATCTCTTTTATCGCAAATTTTGGTATCAAGCTTTCCGTTAAAGATATAAATGTCAAGATCCAGGAAAGGGCAGTGTTTATTGTTAGTATTAGATTTATTTTAATTCAGTTCAGCAGAATAAATCTCTTTAGTGTGCATACTAAAGTTGCATTATTGAGAGCTAATATGTCATCCAAATATCTAAAAGTGTTATTAAAGTTTTGTAACAGATGATGTTGTTTCGATGGGTCTTTGCTTAACTCGTTCCAATACAGAAACAGGTTCGCAATACGTTAGGCACAGTTAGTCCCCATTGGAAATCGGTAACTTGCCGATATATGAAATCTGCGTAGCGAACAAAAATGTTATCTAGTAAAAATCCAAGTGCAGTTATCGCATCAAAGCAGGTCCAATTAATATAGTTCTTTTGTTTGTTGTTACTAAGAAATGAACTATTCCCCTTCTGCCTATTTGAATGCCCATTTAATTAGGTATTTGATTTGTTTTATAAATGAGGCAAAGTGGTATGTAGGGTAGGAAAATCCAAATTTTGAACAGAATTGAATTCTCCAATATGAACATACAAATTATCATGTCCTTCTAACTAATTTTTGAAACTCCATAAAATAGATAATTCCATTGTTTTCAAAGGCCTAATTTGAACAATTTATTACCAGGTTTTTTTATTGTACCAAGTGTAATAGTAAGTAGAATAGACATTTTGGTAGCGAAACAATGGCTTAAAGAGGAATTGTATCTATATTTGTAAGGTGTTTTGTGCAGCTTCGGAAGCAAGTACACATGGTTTGATGTATTTACAAATGAACAGCAATCAATTAAATCATAGTCAAATGCAATCAAAAAGAATAGTAATTCAAAAGTAAATTTCAAAAGGGAAGTGTAATTAAATAGTAACAATTCGGAAACGAAATAAAAAGAAAAGAAATTTTTCAAGTTAAATCAAATTCAAATAGTTATTATAATAATATTCGCAAGTTCAGTTCAAAAAGAAAATGCAATTGTATTCATAGATATAAGAAGATGTGGTATCAGTGCCAATGAGACAACTCTCCGTCCAAGTCAAAATTTATAAAAGTAAACCTTTATAGGTCAAAGTACGGTCTTCAGCACGGAGCATTGGCTCACACCGAATAGTAAGCTATAAAGGGCCCTAAAAATTACTAGTGTAAAACCATTCAAACTGGAAAACCAACGGTCTAATCTATATAAAAAACGAGAAACGAGAAACACTTATGAACCACATCAACAAACGACAACTACTGAACATCAGATTCCTGACTTAGGACAGGTGCAAACAAATGCAGCGGGTTTAAACGTTTTAATGGTACCAAACCTTCACCCTTTTTCTGAAACAACAGTGTAACATCACAACAAAGAAAGACACACTATAAAATATCAACTGAAATAGCTTAACTCAATCAAAGGACATATTAACACCGGTGAACATACACTGAACAAATAAATTTGACCTATGATACAATGTAAATACAAAATAAATAAACTAAGGGAAGAATAATAAAAGTAACATGTAATACCGGTATGAAATGTTAAACAATTTAAGAAAAACAATATGCTCGAACAAAAATATCAGCCATTTGCAATTAATTCAAACACAGGTAAATGAAAATAATTCTGTTGTTAGGTATACGTGTACAGTTCCAATAGAGAAAGGAAATATTATTACAAAATAAACAATTTTGATGTTCATAGTACGAAGTGAAAATTTATAGTAATACCAAACACCCATCAAAGCTGGTATATACAGCAGATATAACCCTGAATAACATTAAATAACAAAAAAACATTACAATTAGTATCAACAGGTTAAATAAACAAGAAAGTACGATTTGAGAGTACTCGCAGTTACTGACAGCTAGTTAAAAGCCAAAACAATTAATAATAAAAAATCATGCATCAGAGACTAAAATACATGTATATATGTACTTCACGTTAGTTTAATCGTCTGAATTGTTTTACATTTGTTATTTCGGGGCCTTTTATAGCTGACTATATGGTATGGGCTTTGCTTATTGTAGAAGGCCGTACGGTGACCTATAGCTGTTAATTTCTGTGTCATTTGGTCTCTTATGGAGAGTTCTCTCATTGGCAATCATACCACATCTTCTTTTTTTATATCCACGTTGTGTTTTAGAACCAAGTAAGATGAATCCAAATAATTAAAATGTAGTTGCTGGTACATAATTTGAGTGCAGCCAGCGGTTTCCTGCGTGCTGTAGTCTAATTGAGACTGAATTTAGAGTGTATTAGAGAAGAGATGCAGAGTTACACTGCAAGTGTGCGTGCTCCCCTAAGGAGCGACTCATCACTTTAATAGATGTATTTAATAATATGGTATTGAATAAATGAATATTCATCAAATATATAAAAGAGACTTTAAATTCTTTATATAAATAGTTAAATTAGTGAAGTTTCTTTATGTTTTAGCATGTCTAGATCAAATTGAATGTAAAATAAACATACAATTACGTGAATTATAGGGGCACTAGCTGTCAAATTTATATTCACCGATTTGACTCAAATTCTCATATTCGACTTATAACATACTAAAACGTCTATCCAAATAAAAAAAGTCTAAAATAAACTATTTACAATGCATAATCTCGGAATTATGTATCAGCATTTCGTGTGTAATTTAGTCTAGACGCCATCTAAGCAACCATCGATGTGACCTTCCAAAGACTGCCGATGGTTATATAACCAGATATAAACTATAAATTGTAACTTGGATGGAGAGTTGTCTCATTGGCACTCATGCCACATCTTCCTATATCTAGATTCATGCCAAAAATGTTTGCCTTATACTGAAATGCCAAATAATCGTGTGCAGAAAAAAACATTTAATGCCCTAAAGTTTAAACTACTTTATTGCCAAAACACACTGTATTGTATGGGACAAAATAGATAGCGAACTCGTGCAATTGGATTTTCCTAGGTCTGTTTGATTTCATATTATAGGTTAAAACAATATGTTAATAATCGTTTTTACCTGTATAAGAATGAGTTTTTGTAGATCTAATCAGTCAAACAAATGGTTTACTCTTGTTTCACTTTCAAAGTTGACATTCCTTTCCTTTTATTAGCTGATCTCGCCTATTCCATGCGTAACACATCTCTAGCTAAGAGGTTCAATTGAAATTCACATGAATACGGATTTAATGAAGACGAATTATTCACTTGCAAGTAAATAATTCATTAGCGATGTTTCTGTGCTTTGACAAAACTGAACCAACTAGCTGCTAAAAGCAAATTTTTATTTCACTATTTCACTTTCATTAATGATTGAAAAAAAAATCATATTGTATTTATTTCTATATCTCGTAGCTAGTGCCCCTTTCAGTGAAGCTATCCAATTCACCTACATTTTTTGTCTCGTCTGAGACTTATGTCGTAGAAAGCGAGACATAGGGATAGTGATCCGGCGGCGGCGGCGGCGTCACGTTGAACAATTACTTTAAAACTTAATATTTCAGAAGTAAAAAGTAAAATCACAAAAATACTGAACTTCAAAAAGGAAAGTCCCTAAACAAATGGCAAAATCAAAAGCTTAAACACATCAAA